TGGGTCAGAAGAGTCAGATTCCGTGAGTTTACGTACTGCGAGCAACAGTTGCCGAAGCGTGAGCCTTCGCACGTAAGACCGGTGGTTCCGCCACACTCCCCTGTTTCCGTAATCGCAGCAGACGAGACTGCCGTGAGGGCAGTCAAATAAGCCCAGAGGAATGCTAAACGCATGGTTGCGATATAGATGAACGAATGTAGACCTTCGCGTCAGAACGAATGATGACACTAGAAGGGAATCAACTAGAGAGAGAGTCGAGTAGGAAAGCACAAGAGACGATGAGCGAGTGATGTCTGCTGTGGACTCTCCATTCCGCGCAAGAGACATGATCATATATAGTCCTCAAGTCCATGGAGAGAGAAGCTTGTGGCATAGAGGCTTTCATCGAATCCCCATCCCAGGCGTCACCGACGCCGAAAAGAAACAAAAGCCATGGTGGAAAGTTATTTTCGTAGATGGGTAGAGCCACAGACTTGGCATTGCCATGCAGGTTACAGTGACGACGTGCCTGTCATGGTCCCGAACATGCCCATGTAGGTGATGTGTTGACCTGCACAGCGTTTAGGTAGATCCACAGGCGAATAAGCGAGATGTGATGTTCCCCTTTAGCCAGGGAGGTGAACAAGAGTTACTACGCCACATGGTCCGACAATGTCTTTCGCGCATAGCCCATCGCAATCGATAACGGCGATCTAGACTCTAGTACCTGCAGAAAAGGCTGGACGGGGCTGCCGAAATGTGGGGTTGGGGTGTTTGAAATGTCCACGGGTGACGATCCCCGTCAAGTCCTTGTCGTTGAGGCTTGATCAATTAGCGCCGAGGTAAGCAATTGCAAGAAGGGGGGCACTTAGGCGAGAGCCAAGATGTCCAAACAAGCAATTATCCGCCAGAGCTAACGACTTGACACCCGTTTGCGCGATGCGGCTGGCTGGAGTCCTGGCTCGCTAGGGGATTGCGGTCTTGCCTGCGGCGCACGTGGCGTGAGTTCCTGGAGCCAACGTTCATGCGATTGGGGCTCTTGGTATCGACCCGTTCCGCTGGGTATGACTTGCTTTTGCGCTTGACAATGTTGCGGCTTTCCGGACGTCTAGACTGTGCTCTCTCATCCCTTGCTCTTGCGTCTGCCACGAGGGAAGGCGCTTCGAGGGGGACATCTGTTACGTCCGCGAGGATATCTCGTATGGAGCAAACTACATCGCTCATGGTGTGGCTGATCCAGGAATGTATATACCCTGATTAGCAAGTATTGCGCGTACTAGTAACGCTGTGTATCACGAATTGTACTGTTACAGTGTGTGTCTAAGAATGACCGCGGAGTGTACACTCGGCTTGGCTCGTACGGTACCTGCATTAGTGTCCGGATGGCGTCCCCGTACTCAGCTGGCAAGCATCTCGACTCAACCAGTACGCCTGCTGTTATGCCAAGACGTGGCTGAGGTAGATGCATGAGAAGAGAGAAACATAAGCGTAGCGGGATACGTCCGCTACACTCAACAATCCTATCGTTCCGCGCGCTTTCGCACGACGGATGCTATTGGGGCTGAACAGGCGAATCGGTAGCGGATCAAGGAGTGTATCGATCAGATGAGTGAGTGAAAGATTAAAGGGAGAGTACATGTGAATCACGATGGAGCTAGGAGCTCCTTCCTTTCCAGCTCGGTGACGACGATATCAAAACAAGCAGCTGCGTTCGTTCTACTATAAGCACCCGGTGCTGCGCGTTGCAGTGATGTGTTACGTGTATTATCTTCGAGTGTCAAGCCAATCCACCACATATTGCAGTGCTTCCAGCTAACACAGAAGGATGATTGCTTTATCGAATCCTTTGCGAGTTCAGACGCTTGCGAGCATTCATGGACGTGTCGGAATGGCCCGGCACCTATACAAGGCATGCCACAATCTCTGTCCACACGTACAAGCTATGGGAAGATGCGGCTAAAGTTGCATTGCGAGATCGTTCCCTCGGAGCCACTCGCATCGACCCGTCAGTGGCGCTGCCCAATACGTCAAGCCAAGTTCCTTCTTCCAGTCCGTAGCGTCCCATGGCAAGCAGATGCCTGCCAATGCCTTGACCATCCCCACGCCATCCCCAAAACCATGGCGATTCGCCAACAACCCGCACAATATATACAACAACAACGTGCCATCCAAAAACGCCTTGGGGGTATCAAACGCCATATAATGCCGTAAACATATCATATCGTCGTCCATGCTTCCGGAAAAGAGATGCAACTCAAGGATTGGAGTGAACAAAGCGCGCGCCCTGACATGGCGAGCGGGCTTGCTTGAACGCCTTGATCCTTGGCAACATCCATCCACTCGTCCACCTCCGCTCGCCCTCACTGCTCTGGTGGTGACCCAGTCGAATGGAATAGCCAAGGCGGCACTCATTACCGTCGTGTTCAAACTGCAGACACCTGCCATCGCCTACACACGCCTTCTGGCATCTGTCAAAGGATTTGGCCGCTGTCTTGCCCTTTCTGTATACGACGTCCTCGGACATGTTGGACCAGTCTTCCGCCTTGTCTTGCAGATTCGGTTCAATCATCGTGAATAGCTCTTCAAACATGAGCGGCCTTTCGGGATGACTCCGCGCTTCTTCCCACTGTGCCAATCGTGTAAAGTCATCTTCGCCGAGATGATGCATCGTCAAGACCGCCTCGCACCACTGCTCGTTGTCGAAGCGCATGGTAATCGGCTTCTCGCCGTTGAACATGGGCCAGTATCCTCGGAGTGAGACACCGCTCTTCTTTAGCACCTGCGCCAGCATCTCGTCGCCGCAGCACTGCTTCTTGACATCGACACCGAAGAAATGGGTCCCAGGGAAGTGCTTATTTTCACCAAACATACGGCCCAGCGCCATGATCTTATCGAGCGCGCCACGCGATAGGACAAAGCCCGTGCCGCCGTGTGCAAAGACTGTCTTCTTCTTAGGCCAGACCGGGGAGCCGAAGTAGTAGGCCGACTTTGGATTGAACGTGGACAGGAAGCGGTACATGTTGTCCCAATTCACATACGTGTCCAGTTCCAGAAACACATACCACTCCGACTCCGGGCGGTGGTAACTCGTCCATTCGACCATAGGCAGGAACTTGTATTTGTCCAGACGCCAGCCCTCCTCGCTCTTATCACCACCCGCCGCTGCCGTGCCATTGGAGCTCTGTATGCGATCATAGACGTCAAAGTCCGGATTGTTGAACTTGTATTCCGGGCGGAGGTGGGCGAGGGCGTCGGATATGTCGAAGCCGTTGTACGTGTCTTTGCGGTCGGAGAAGATGAGCAGGTCCTGCTTGCAGCGCCCGAGTCGGTTAAGGTAGAGCGGCAACTGGGTTGCGACTTCGCCGGCGCCGATCTTGAGGACAACGGTCACGCGGTCCATGACGCCGCCGGAGAAGGGCGAGCATTCGGTGCCGTAGGCGACGTGCGAGGCAGGCCCGCCGCCGGGTGTCGCGGGCGATGGCGGGAGGATATCGTAGCCGCGCTCGCCGTGCCATAGGCGGACGACGAGCGTGAACAGGGAGAAGACGACAAAGACGGCGACGGCGCATGCGAGGCGCAACGGCGTCAATCGCACCCTCATGGTGGTGGTGAGGTGCGGCCTCTGGAGGTCATGTTTGGATGGGCCGGCCTGGCGCCATGTGGGAAGGCGCTAATGTACTCGGTGGAGCGAGAATCCGGCTAGCCGGCCGTTTGATGCGCGACCGCCACTGGCTAATTACGACATGACCTTTACGAGGTCCACGGCAGTCATAGGCACGACTCAACGAAACCGACTTGCCTTTACGTGGCTGTGTGGAGACGGCATGCATCGTCACAGGAGGCTTTTATGATTGGTGGAAAGAACTAGGGAGAGTCGTTGACATTACAGCCGCCTGTCCCTCTTCGCACCATGCTGCTATCCCACGACATGGGACTTGGGGACGTTAGGAAATTCCAGAAGCTGATGACTAATTACTCCATCGCTTCTCATCTGATCTAAGCAGAAATTGATCCGCAAAGCTTCATGTCCATATGTCCCAACGCGTGCCACGGATGAAGCCCTGATCATGTATAACGAAGGGTGGCGAACACGTCTCGCTGACTTCAGCACTATCACGCTGAGACCGAGAAAAGGAGACATGCGGAAAGATTGGGAGACTAAGGAATGAGATGATACATGTTGTTCTTCCCTCCAGACGGAAGAGGTGCTGGGGTTTGTTGGTACAGGAATGACGACGCGTGTGCTGGAGTTGATGGAGACGATGGAGATGCGGGTAGAGACTGAGAGGCGGTAGGATGTCGTTTGAGATTAGTGGTGTTAGCAAGCATTGGAAGGTCAGTGTTGTTGTCTCCCAGCTTGTGTATAGATGTTTGTCTACTACGAGTGATTTGCTTTGTTTGCTCTAGTCACTTCGGCCGTCGCAAGCAGTAAAGTGGTATGGCCACGTTCCCGATTTGGGCTCTAGGCAACTTGCAGGATATGTTCTCCGTCTTTAAGCAGCTGCCATGACAGCTCCGGCAGAGTAGTGCTTCGCCCTTCTCCTTTCACTTGCGCTCGTCTAGTGGAACCCTGGGACCAATCAGCATCGTACCTGGTGAGTCCGTGCTCAGAGCGACTCGTCGGGTTTTGGCTGGGAGGGAGCAGACAAATGCTGTCCAGGAACTCATCACCACAGCTTTCCTTCTCAGTTCTGTGCTCTTACTCGCATTTCTCGCCTCACTGTCGTCGACATCTTCCGGTACGTATACATCCACGCATAATCGGAAACACCATTGCGACCTTTGCCTCTACCCACGGTCACCTCGTAGCGATGTGCGCATTGCGATCAAAACGGCCGAGAGAGAATACTCAGCTGGCGGGGAGACCATCACCAACGAGGAGCTTGATGAGCACTCAGTCGCAACCGGCACATTCGCCATGGTTAAACGGAATGATGCTTTCGTACCTGTAGTAAGCGTGTCGATATCCGTTTGCTTTCAGACTATCACTGACGTTGCTGTAATATCAGGTAATTCAAATAGAGATGTATATCATTGAAATTTTGCTTCTCCAGGAGACCGCTGTGGAAACGTTACTTTACTGACACAACGTGACATAGAACCTACCCTACCACATCAGCCTCCGTCTCCTTCGCCACAACATCCACTCTAACATCCGCAGTCTTGCTCTCCTCCTCCGCCTCCAACCCTCTCACCACCGCCGGTCCCCTCCTGAGCATATTATACTCCCCACACGGCACAAACCCCAAATGCATATAAACCGGCCTAGCACTCGGCCTACTCTCCAGATACATCGGCGTACTAACCTCCTCCGCATCCGCCTGCCTGATAGCCCAATCCATCAACCTCTTCCCTACACCGCGTCCCTGCCACTCGGGCCACGTTAGCAACGGCGCAAGATACCAATGCGGCTTCCCCTCTGTAATTTCCCTCCTCGTCTCGTCATCTTTGCCAAACTGAACGCTCCAAGTCTCATTGCTAACATGCGACCACATCTCCTCGAGCTCAGCATCGCTCCAGCCCATCTTCTCTTGCCACCCGTAGTGCTCAACGGCAGTGCGGCGGAACATGTTGTGCACGCCCGGATTCGAAGGAAGCGTCCAGCCTGCTATGCCAATCGTTTCGCCCGTGGGGACGTAGACGGCTTTGATGAAATTGTGATGTGGGTCGGTGATGGCTGGGGTTAGGCGTGCAGCCATGCGCTGGATACGGATCTGGTTACTGTTTTCCTGGGGACGGAGCTCCAGTGGTTCTTTCTTTGCCCACCAATCGTCGGGGAAACACAGATAGAGGCCCTCGGCAATCTTGGTGGCGTCACGTTCGGTGCAGAGTTCGATGCGTATGTCGGATTCAGGCAGCCGTCTTGAGGGTTCGACGGGCATGGTTTGGAAGCCATTGGTGAGGTCGGTGGGTACTTTGATGAAGGTGGCTTTTTGTTCTGCCATGGTTGCGATTGCGGTTACTCTTGCTGAAGTTGTGCGTATCAATTCGTGCGTTGAGTGAGAAAATGCTCTAATCTTTGCGAGCGTATGCTGCCTTCCTTATGTGAACTTAAATACCAGGCAGCCTCATGCGATGACGGGCGTCGCATTAAGTCGCTCTGGCTTAGCGCTGACGCTCGCGAGATACGCTGGTTGATTCGGCATGAAGCCTAGACTTTCGCGTCAGAAAGAGTCATCCCGCTTGTGCACGGAATTGATGTTGGCCACAAGGAGCAAAGTGACATGAAGGCGTACCCCGCTTCTCCCGAAACGTCCTAGCTCAACGCGGGGGCTGCTCCGTTCGGAATCGGAATGGAAAGCTGCTCCTGAACATTACATACGTCTTAACTCTTGAGCCATTGAACGCATCTTCCCCTCTCGGAATCTATGATCAGAATGACTCTGAGACTGACAGCAGGTTTGTCCAGGCGCTTGATCACACGAGCTTGTCCCATGCCTTACCTTCGTCATGATGGCCGAGAAGAAGCAAACTACGACACATGGTATGAATGCATAACTGGATGGATTTCCGGTCGCAGAGATACAGGGAACACAACTTAGCCAGGTCGACCGAGATGTTGACAACGAGAAACCCAACCTTTGCGATACCAGATGGACAGACTTTCAATGGATACCTTGCGACTGGAAGACCAGGTATCTACATTAGTCCGAACGAACTCTATGGAGAGGTCGTGATCTACCGTAAGGAGGGCGAAATGAAGATACTGGAATGGACATCAGGTCAGTCACATGACCACTTACATGCAGTGGACATCGCCGGCAAACATGGAATACGCCTTCCGGGCATCTTGATCGTTCCAAGTGAGACCGAAACGAGTCTCACCATCTTTTGGAAGCAGCCGGGTGGAGAGCAACTTGCCACCTCATTGGATCTCAAGCAGTATGAACTTTCGAACACGGTGATGGATGACCAACAAGCTCGCGAGATTGATGTTCTACATCTTTCCGAGCGATCGGAACAACGTGAGCCGGATAAGATTGGAACCATTGTCCAGTCGAATCTGCCAGCACAAGAAACTCGCAATGCAGGTGGTGTGTTTATTTCCAATGTAATTTTTTCGAAACCGTCGCTTATAGCTTCAGAATGCATACATGTCACAGCGCGGCAAACCTACTCCGTGCCCTGGAATCTGACTATTGACGGAGACTATATTGTGCTTCAACGCCTGTCCAGTGTTGATATGGCACCCCAAGGCTCTACAAAGAGGTCCTTACGCCTCACTACAGATTGTAAGTATGTCTATCAACATACTCTTACATCGCTGATCTCTAGAAGCAACCATTCAAGTTAAACGCTACAAGACGGGTATGCATGTAAGCTTTCTCCAGCGCGTGTCGATCCCTAGAAACTTTCCAGATTATCATCTTCCAGGCGATTCTACAAGAGAGTACATCGATGATGTGACTTACTACATAGTGCAACCGCCTCGAGTCGAACGTGAGCACGACGATGACGGTACTGAACGCGAGAACGAGACAAAAGATGATGCAGATTTCCAGGAACAGAGTAGGCAGGACGTATACTATGACGCCAAGTCACACTTTTCGGACCTATCGGGCGAGCTGAATGTCAGCGAAGATCCTTGGGAGGTATTTGCGAAAGCGTTGAAGCGGATTGTTGAGGCTGCGGGTGGTACATTCACTCGTCTGGCTGACCAGCAGTAGGTTCTTACTTGAACTGTAATATTTGTTGATCCTAGAAAGGTCATCTAAGTTTGTGTTGAGCGTTTGTCACTTCTCAGTTGCTTTGCGTGATCATAAAGCATATTATAGCCAACAGTCACGCGCACTTTGATCAAGCTTTTCGTTGCGCTCAGTATACATATAGCGTATCATCTCGCCTGCTCGATCAATATTCTGCCTCAGTAATTGTCGATATATCAGGATGCATAGTTTCAACAATTCAGGCGACAACGATATTGTATTAGACGGAGAAAGTCACTTCGCAGTACCTGTCTTAGAAGTCTGTATTGTCGACACGCCCGGAGAGACAAAGAATCACAAAACAGTGGTCAGGATCGAGGCAAGTGACGAGTTTAATGTTGAACCTTATCTGGTTTGAGACCCTACCTGAAATCAAAATCTATTTCTCTTGATCCGACAGAACGAACTTGAAGTCAAACAAAGATGAATTATATCATGATCTACAAGGTCGAATTGAGTTATGTCTATATTATCTAAGAACTATACTAACTCGCATGGCATAATTTACTATAGATAGCGCCAACGCGAGTCTGGCCGCGCGTCGGCGAGCTATTTACGAATGTTCACTCTTCCACTGTCTGACCACTTCGTGCGACGTGCGCGGGCCGACGGCTCTTTTATGTAAGTAACCAACCTCCACATCCCGACATAAACAGGCAATAAAAGCAGCTATGTGCCAGCGCCACGATTACATCTCACGAGGTCGAAATCATTGTGATAAGTCATGCAGCTACGCAATCTTTCGGTTCTGATCTTTCTTAGTCAATGCTTGGTCGCACAGTGCCTCGCTACCACTACTTGGCCCAACTCGTTTCCCAAGCAACTTGTCGCTAACCGGCGTCGTCAAGGTCTGACCACCTCGGAATACCTGTACCATCATACGATAGTTCATGGCCGCAAATCATGGAACGCTCCAGACACTGTCGACCAGCCTATCGCCTATGTTCAGGGCCACATCTTTGACTCAGCCTACGGCATCAATACCACGGAAAATCATGCTCAACCCTCCTATTTCGGCCACAACGACATAACCGAGCTATACAGCCGTTCTGAATCAGCCTTTGCCACACCACCATCGAACAACTACACTGCGACGGTCATCGGTCCCGATGGGAATGCTTTCAGTGACTTCTCGGGAGTGATGAGCTTTTACGCTCACGAAGCATTTCAGGACGTACAGAATACTTGCCAATCTTCCGATAATTTCGAAACTTACAACGCCTTTTATTGGGTTGTTGCAAATGCTTCCAACGCGAACACGTCTTCGTTTGACAACTCGACCTTCGCGGCCAACATTATGAACAGTCTTCTCGCGGACATCCCCTCCGGTACGATCTATAATGCCAGTACTCACACGCCGGTTCCTGGTCTCGACTCTCGTGCCTACTATGGTGGTTACAATAATCCAAGTCTGAACGGTGTCTTCAAATTCTGGCTTTGCGACGACAACCCCTCCGTTACTGCGTTCAGAAATGCACAGGCCAAACTTATTGCAAAGAACAAAGACCTTGGTATCAACTTCGATGCGAGCTTTGTCACCTTCAGTCGATCTTTTCTTCTCTATGATCGTCTGAATAGCATACCTTTTGATACTACAAGGGGGAATTACGCTCTTCTTGCAGACCGCTTTCGCGGCAATGTTGCGCAGCCCCCAAAGATATAGAATATATGGTGTGGCAACAATTAGGATAGGTGCATGTATTTTTGTAAGTTATAACACTAAATTATCTGTAACGTCTGCTTCATACAAAAGTTCCAACCAATCAAGCTAAACACCCTAACTCTTTCTCTCGCGTTACTATTTGCTTTCGTCGTCTGTTACGATGCGTAGCTCTTTTGCGAGTACGAAGTTGTTCACGTTATCAATCTAGACTAGACCAAGACCAAGTCAGACCAGATTATTACGATCATTAGAAGATAATGACGATAGTTGAGGTTTATTCCTCTTTGTCCATGAGCACGCTTCAAGCAACGCGCGTCTTACCCTCGACATGAAGAACGCGTATACACCTAAACTGGTCCTCGAAGCTACAAAAAAAGGTATTAAACCTAAGCGAAACACTAATCATCATGAAAAGTTACCGCTTCAAATAAGGCCGCACCATCCACGTTGGTAACCACGAGATCACCACCATGGTCATGAAGAAAACTCTCAAATGGAAAAAGTGCCATGTGCATCTTCCTGTTGATGAACGGCATGGAGGCTCCATACACAGGACAGTTATGGGATGTGAAAAGAGTTCGATTGGTCAACGCAACTTACGACATGCGGAACACAATGCTATAGTCTTCTCTCGTTTCATGAATGAACTGGAGGCTTTGTTACGTCAAGGAAGGGTACAGAGATGTAGGAAGAAGAGGGGAAAGAAAATCGTCTTAGGAGAATGCAGCGGAGGCAAGTACCGACGGTGATCATAGCAGCGGTAATGATGGTGATGAGAACGACGATAAGGATGCTGAGGAAGTGGAGTGGCTGGAGGAAGGACAAGAGTAGAGTCCAACAGCTGATGAATGTGAGTGTTGAGGAATGTTCAGGAAGCTTTACCACGACTGGGTGCGATACGATTGACCGGCACCGGAGGGATGGTCGGAGCTACCTAAACACAGACCATAGTATGACCCATTGGCTGTACAAGCGGGTAATTGCTAGAAAAGTAAGCTGAAGGATAGTCAGACTCGTTCTGCACGACGTTCGTGTACTAAGATCAAGCCTCGCATAATCTACAAGCTACAATAGTGCTCTACCTTCTACCTTCATATCCATCCACCAGCTCAATTAGCAAGACCACGTTCACGAAATGATGATTCGGCTGGAATACACAGCTTCATAATGCAAGGGCTAGCGAAGCATTCCCTAGGCCCTGTCTTGAAGCATGATCTTCACGCTCGTTAGCAGGCCTCTTTCTGCCTATAGGACTAGTAACATCGAGTACACCGGCAGAGTATTTAGCACAACCCTTATTTTTTCTACTATGCGGTATAATTTACCAGAGCGATATGTTGTTAGACACTATTATTAACGTTGTGTGTTCTTGTTGCTAATTAGAGCCTAGCGCCTAGCGTTCCCCGCCCCGCTAGATCCGGTCAGCGTCCGGTCAGTGGCCGGTGAGAGGATTTAGGTGCACTGCCCCCACGGGCTGCCTCTACACTCTAGTTTAAATCTTCGTACAGTAAGCCTGTGCTCTCTTTGCTGATCCGTCGCGACTGCATCAATAACTGTCAAACAACACTACAGTGCAAGATTTGTCGAATCAGAGCAGCACCATCAGACACTCTTGCATCGTTATCACTTCCCACATCAGTCAGAGAGAGAAGATCGCCCCAAGGCATCGTCATGGAAGCTGCCGCTGCGCTCGTTAGTTTTGTCGGCTTAGCAGGCCCCGTTGCGCAAGGTCTGAAGTTCTTATATGACCTCACGACCGACATGAAGGACTGCCCGAAAGATATTCGTGAGATGAAGACGGACCTTGAACTAGTAGAAGAGTTGATCACGCAAGTCATTCGGCAGTGCAACGAGCGTGATGTGCGACTTCGAGAAAGCACAGAATTGGCACGCGCAATTGGCCACGCTCAGGACAGCGTCGAAGAACTCAAGAAGGAAGTGGCTGCATATCTTGTGATTGGAAAACGTAAGCGGTTCAGGTTCGCAGTCAGGCTTAGCCAAACGCAAAAGCTGAGGGGAAGCTTGGATAGGACTAAGACCATCATGTTTGAGTTCAAAAATCAGCTACAAAGGTAGGCTATCCGAAAATTCTCTTGACGGTCACTAACATCAAATAGCGACCTGCTATATGACATCCGTGATATGAATCAAGAGGTCCTCAGATCAGTAAAACAGACAAGCAGAAATCTGGAAACATACGACACAAACGTTCACAGGGTAATGGAAAACTCTGAGGTCCAAGCTGAAACCGCGAAAGATTCCAGGGGTGGAGAGCCCTTTGCACAATTAGCAAGCGATAACTCCTTTGAAGGTCTGACAGACATTGGAATTGTCGCGAAGAAGCTCGAACATATCACGGAATTGTTGACGGAAACAAAGATATCGTCTTCAACAACTTCGTCACCATCAACGCCTGGATTGTCATGCGAATCGAGTAATATCTCTGTCATGAATGCGTCTCAGGAAACTACTGCCGGTAGTATTTTGAGCTCGCAAAGCATTGCGCCATCAGAATTCCGAAATACTCAGCAAGCGAACATCGCTTCAAAATACCCCCTTCTACAATTCAGAAACAACCAGGTAAGACCAATCGCGCATCCACTACTACTCATCTGATGTACCTGCGCAGTTCCAATTCTTGATCGCGACCATCTTCACCCAGCGCGCCGAAAACAAACAACAACTCGCTTGCCAACGCGCCTCAGAATGTCTGGCAGCATATCCAACGCCAGAATCACTTTCAAAGGCCTTGCCTGAAACTCTTGGTCAGTACTTCGGAGGAATTGGTTTGCAAAACCAAAAGCCACGTTATTTAATTAGCTTAGCTCAAGCGTATATCAGAGATCCACCAAAGAAGGGCAGACTGCGTTCGAAAGTTAATTGTCCCCGATCGGAGATCTCACATCTACCGCAGATCGGGCCAAAAGCAATCAATTCCTGGCTGGTATATTGCTGTGGAAGGACGGATATAGACACCTTGGATAAGACACTGCTAGGTTATATTGAGCAACTGAAAATAGAGGCAGGGATGAACTGACTTGGAATGTCTTAACGTTAGATGTGCCGAATTTCTCAAGATCGTACGTATGCTTAGACTTGCTCAGTAACGCCTTAGAAACTGGTGTCGTCGAGCTTACGATGCTTAAGGTTGACAAAAGCTCGAGATTCTCACATGCGCTTCTGCTGCTGGATCTCAGGCATCATCAATCTCGATAAAACTTCCACTGGTCTCATCATGCAGCATGCAAAACACACCCAAGGGGAAGACCTAAATTGTAGAATGCATTGCTATGTTAGACAAGAGTAAACATTGGGTAGATCTTGAGCGATTCAAAACTGTCTAGCGTTGAAAAGAATTGTATCGTCGTTAGTTCTGCATCAGTCGTTATTGCTTGCTGCATGTACCGGTCTTCATAGCAAGTACTACGTGGCGCATATACAGTTAAGAGCAGGCTAAGTGTGTTGCAGAAAGTATTGTCGAAAGGCAGTCCTGCATCAACACATTTTCCGATCAAGAGTTTTGCTTGATCAGGAAACTACTAACAGTAATGCAGAATAGTATATATCGTCAGCTAGGCCTAAAATTTGGAACGCATCTGTATCTAGCAGGAAAACCTCCATTGCGTAATGATTACGCCGAACTGTCGTATCGCACAGTCAGTAGAATTTCTCGATTAAAGCCATTGAGAACAGTAGAATTTACGGCTCAAGGCTCGCACCATAAGATCACCCAATCTTTCAATGTCCTGTGCCCTTATTATGCCAAAGAATGTTCGTGGCGTCTCGCGACGCATAGAGAAACATCATCCATAGATTAGAAGCAGACTTTTGATTGTATATGAAGTTGTTAAAAGCAATGCTGGGCGGGGAGTGGATTGCTGGAGTTTCGGGTGAGTGTTCGGTTAGCCCGCAAGGTACATTAGCACGTAAGCCCAGATCAAGACTTATCGCAGTCCTACACACTTTATCAAGTATGCTATTGGCTGAACCGGTTGAGAATATATCTTTCTGTATCCATATTGCGTAAAGTTCAAAATTCATCAATAACAGGCTCACTCAATACCAAATTTACGGATCGACGAACCAGCAAGAAGGCACAACTCCGGCATAGCGCAAGGGCTAGCGAAGCATTCGCTTAGCCTTGTCTTGAAGCATGATCTTAATGGCCCGCGAAAAGCCGCTGGCGCCTACATCCCAAGCTGTTCCTAAAATTAATCCAGGTTTGGTCACAGGGCCCTTGCTCGGCCTCTCAGCTTGAACATAGCAGGCAGTGCGGCCGCTTGGCAACTCCGCCCACGTAGGCTGGTTCACCGGTGTTCATATAGCTCGTGAGTCTTCGCACTCGCATTAGAGCTGTCCTACATACACCTGGAGATGGTTGTTTCAGACCCGGGTGTAGATTTCTTCGTCAGCTTTAATGACCTCAACCCAAATGCGCAGAAACAATGCATATATTTCGTGAAGGCTGACCGTCCAGACCGAAGGTGCAAGTGGGACTGCTCCGAATTCGATAACAGACGGGCGATTGAACTGCATCGTATCATCGCTCAGAATGAGTCGGAAGATACGCTTGTAGATCATATCAGAGATTACATTCAGTCCACTTGCTGTTCCAGAGCAAAACATCGAGATATTATCTTATCCAGTCCACTCTTGATTCCTTTGGTCGAGCGCTGGCTGGATGAGATCCAGGTTAAAAAGGACTTGGAAAGGCCTTCAAGGCAATCGGCTTGTTCTTCTGCGCCTACAACGCCCCAGCGAACCTCACGGGCCAGCAGTTCAGTCCCCAGTTCATGCAACACATCTCCCTTCTCGGCTACTAGTCGTGCCACCACGGTCGAGACACCCTCGTCCAGTCCATCGTACAGTCCTTTTGATACATCGAAATGGCCGATTATTAGCCCAGATCTATCGCGATTAGAAGCAAGTTCAGCACCTCTTCTACGTGTCTCCCCGATGATCATACCAGACAATGCGCCACTTGAAGCAGAGCCTCTAGAAACGAGCAAGCGATACCACCTCCGTTCCTGCGCAGTGAGCGATTCCCTTACACAGTTGTCCCAACGAGTCGAACTTTCCATATCGGCAGAGTTCACCACTCATACCCACGATCCCACACATGAAGATACTGTCGCATGGAAGATCTGTGAAGATTTGAACGTGCGAGATCCCAAGCGGGACCTAGAAACAGGAATGGTCTACATGTACAGCCGCATATCCTCACCCGGTTATGTCAAGATTGGTTGGACGGCCAGATCGGTCGACGAACGTCTGGCACAATGGTCAGAATGCGGGTATACTCCTATCGAGTTGTTCAGAGCAACTGGAGTGCCGTATGCGCAACGTGTGGAGACGCTTACGCATTACGAGCTGATCAAAGAGTGGCGTCGAGAGCAGCCCTGCAAAGGGTGCTTGAAGAATAAAGGTAAAAGAGTACGTCATCAGGAATGGTTTGAAGTAAGCCAAGAACGGGCGATTCAGATCTTGAGCACCTGGGTGGAGCTTTTCAAGAAGGCCAATCCGTATGAGCTAAGCGGATCGCTGAAGTCTGACTGGAGGGAAGTTGTCAATGGAATGAAAAAGAACAACGAAACTGTGACTTCAAAGAAATTGTTGGAGCACTATGAGGCCACCGTCGCAAAAGAACCCCTATGCACTAAGGAGACAGTAAAAGTAGAGGGAATGATGTTTGTAGAGGAAAGATCAGATGCGAAGCAAGGCGCAGATGCAAACGAAGAAATGATTAAGAATGAAAGGATGGTCATTAAGAAAGAGATAGTTGTCAAGGAGGAGGAGATAACCGCAGAGCTTTCGACGCAGTAATGGTATCATATACATTGCAATTGGCGCAAATTGAGCAACGCGGGCAAACTAGACAGTCGTTAGCATATCTTAGATGCTAGTAGTTCACGAATGTATCAGAATATAACGTTGTATGTTCGGCCAACACTAAAAAAAAAGTAAGCTATATGCGATAATAAAGAAGAATGTTGATGTAGGGGTATTGTGCTGCCCAAACAGAACGCCTGACAAACTGATATGTGCTGAGATACATGCGCCAAATGCAACGTACCAATGCGAACGCCCAAACTACCGATTACATGTCAAGGGGGCGAAGGGGGTATCCTACTACATATCCGAACGGAGAATAATGCGAAACGGCGATAATAATAAAAAAAGGAAAAAGGAAAAAGGGAAGGAGAGGAAAACAACGCTACACCACGTGCGAATGATGCGCCACAGGGTCGCTCAACGTCCCGCCCGAACCCTCAGACTACACCCACCAAATGTACGCCTGTCAAACAGACCGCCTTGTATAATGCGCGACACATCATGTTCACGCACGATCAGTCAGGACTCCCCATCAGCGACGCGACCGTCTCTGCCGACTACTCGGCTCGCCATTCCGATGACCCTGTCCAGCTGAAGTCTGCGAGCTGCTTACGCAATCCCAATTAAAAGGTATCTGAGAAGTCGGGATAGTAACACCTTCATACCGTCGCAGCCTCTCCCGGCGCGGAGGCGGAGGCGACTGCGCAAAAGCCTCCTGTCGAAGCTCTTCAAGCGCCTGATTGGTAGCAGCGAGCACGGCGAAGCGTCTGTCAGGCACGCGACGCGCCGCCGTATTTGGTGTGCGGGAGCGAGCTTGGCGCGACGAAGATGCTGACTGTTCATGCTGACGAGATCGGTGGTGGCGGTTCGCCGATGACCGCAGCGACTCTGGGCTTGTCTGAGAAGTAGTCGTTGTCGAAGAGCGATGTTGTCGAGATGAGCGTTGGCTGCGGGGTGAAGACTCCAGTGTCTGGTAGCTGCGATGTTCACGTTTCGGTGTCTTGGGTGGGGACGGCGCGAAGAGTGACCATCCGCGAGAAGGTTCGGGTCGAAGGTTCTTTTTGGATTTGGAGTGTCTTACAGGGTCGCGCTTTGCCCCGCGCCCGCGTAGAGTGCTTTGTGACGTTTGTTTTGGGTGCCGCCGCCTATGATGTTGGCTTCGATGGGGTCGCGGATTCAGCAGAGCCTCTTGAGATGAATTGACACTACTTGGTTCAGGTGCACGTCGATACATTTGCGGCACCTCGACATCTGGTACAGAACGGTGCCTTTCGCGATTGCGGTGGGCATCTTCGTAGTGGTGTTGCGACCGCGGACGATGCTCCTCCCTTTCTCTTTCGCGGCGCGGCGAGCGCGGGGTAGAATCTCCAGATCGTCTCTTTCTGCTCGATTCCTTCGAGCTGCGCTTCTCTGAGTATTCTGCGGCAACTGGCCTTCCTTCTCCATGAAGCGCGTTATCCGCCGGCCGGTCCCGTCTCTTCTTTTCGTCCGACGACGACGAGCTCTTGCGCTTCTTGTTGCCCGGAAAGCCAAAGTTGAAAGACCAGCACATAGCGACCAAGATTTCAGGCTCGGATCGCTATGCGCCCAATGTTCGAGTCCAGTATCCAGGTTCAGAAGTGGTGATGACTGCATGCATGTGAATGCCGAAGTTCGGAGTGCTAAGATGCACGATGAGGGACGCAAGGTGCTACTTAAGACGCGCGACACAAACCAATAGATAGGAACAACCTAGCGTTTCAAGGCAGAGGAGACTTGATGAGAAGCGGCCTCACTATTATGATATCATGTCAGGACAAAGAGTGTTCCGGCCTGGCAAGGGAACAAGTGCACCGCATTCGCGGCGTGGAGGCCGAATTCCAATAGACGCATGGCCAGAAGCTAAATCAAGAAAGGATTCAGTCAAAGTACCTTGTATCGAGGGTTTGCGCTCCAATCAGAGCGGAGCCCACTTGATGGTGTGCGAGGAAGTGACTGATTCGTAAGTTTGCACACAGTGGCTTACTGGGCCACATGACACCTCGGGCTCCAGCTGATCGACTCATCCTCTGGCGCACTGCAGATGTCGGTCTGCAGTGAAATGGAGTGTAGAACACTGGTACATGCCAGCACAGGGCCGGCTGTCAGTCTTATATGGTGCAGCGATCTGCCCGCAACGGTTTATGCTTCTTTGTGTGCGGCTTCTGTGCGTACCTGCGTCGCTGCTACGTGGCACCTGTGCTGTACAGAAGAGCGGCGGGACGGTTGCGGGACGATCCTGGGTGCAGAGTTCGGCCATGTTGCAAGAGTGATGGGCATGGCTAGCTGCATAATGGTGCAGCTTAGCTGCATGATGATGACCGCCTGACCAGCCCGGCGCTGCGACATGTTGGGTTCCTTATCCTTATCGGCCCATGAGCGACGTCATTGGCTCTAGGGCGCCCCACAGCCCCCAAGCGAGCTGTGAATGTTGGCTGTGATGAACAGCAAGGTTTCAGCCATTTCTCATCATCGCCCCCAAGGGTTGCACGGCCGCGGGAGTGCGCTGTTCCTGCTTTTGCAATCCCTTAGCACAGACAGCGTTCGTGAGACATCTGCTCCGCCTCGACGCCGCGCTGCAAGTAGTTCACGGAACCTTAGTAGGTCCGAGGCTGCCGTCCAATAGTCGCGCGAAGATGCGTTTTCCCAACCAAACCGTGGCGTTTACAATGAATCGAGGAACCATTCGGAAGCCAGGAATGGTCATCCTGTACTGCAACTGCCGTAGACACACCGCAAAGAACGATCTCGGCGGCGCCGGAGTATTGAAGAGGAGACTGAATTAGAGCATAGTGCATGCTACACGATGAGTCATCCAATAGATGGCTAGAGTTGATCGCGCATCATGAGGTCTGAGGTGGAGAACGCGGTACAATCCGAGATCAAAGCTGCGACCTGTTTCGATCGCACTTGTGAGGCTGACTCGGGTTTCGGGTTATTTGGATTACTACCACTTGGCAGGGACGTACACCAATGACCCGTCTCGTCATTTATCAGTGAAAAGGGGACTGGCAGCCATCGCGGGATGCGACGCGCAGAAAGCGAAAACGCGTTGGACGTGTCGGAAATACGCGTTTATGTCCGGGCGGGGCACCCCGCTGTCGTCATGTCGCAACGACAGCGGCAGATGTAAATCTCCCACTCGATAGTCTCTACACTTCACGGTCACACAATCGATTTAGATAGCAAAGATGCCTCTCCTCGCGCAGAACCCCAAAGACCGCGTCATCCTCGGTTTGATGACTTTTGGTAAGTTTCGCTAATATACCATCTGCAACCCATGTCCAAAGCCATTACTAATGCATCTCAGGCCCCGATGAGAGCAGCGGCGCACGTATCACAGAGTTTGATGAATTCACCAAGCACCTTGATTACTTCCAGTCCCAAGGCTACGATGAGATCGACACTGCGCGCATGTACGTTGGCGGGAAGCAAGAGGCATGGACGCGCCAGGCTGGATGGAAAGACCGTGGCTTCACCCTCGCCACCAAAGTCTATCCTTACGAGGCTGGCGTCCACAAGCCCGACAGGCTGAAAGAGCACTTTGAGACCAGTCTCAACGAGTTGGGCGCAGACTGCGTGGACATTTTCTATCTGCACGCACCAGACCATTCCGTGCCATTCGAGGAGACTCTTGGTGCCGTCAATGAGCTGCACAAGCAAGGCAAATTCGTCAATTTAGGGTTGTCTAACTTTGCCGCCTGGGAAGTCGCGGAAGTGTACAACATCTGCAAGGAGCGGGGATGGGTGAAGCCGACCATCTACCAAGCCATGTACAATGCTATCAGTGAGTGTATGCCTTTTATCCGTGTAACATTAGTCTAACAGGTGCCAGCTCGTGCCATTGAACCCGAGCTTATCCCAGCTTGCCGCAAATATGGCATCGACATTGTCATCTACAACCCCCTAGCCGGCGGTCTCTTCTCTGGCAAGATCAAATCCAAGGACATCAAGCCTGACGAAGGCCGTTTTGGCACCAAAGCAGATCGAGTCGGAAGCATGTACCGTGACCGCTACTTCAAAGATGCTACCTTCCAGGCACTCAAGATTGCTGAAGAGGCTGCGCAAAAGCATGATTTGACCTTGCTCGAGATCGCGCTGCGATGGTGCGTTCACCACTCCGAATTGAAGACTCGGGTCAAAGGCGGTAACGATGGCGTGATCATTGGAGTCAGCAGCTTGAAGCAGTTGGAAGGCAACCTTGCGGATTTGGAAAAGGGTCCGCTCCCTGATGATGTCGTGAAGGCGCTGGATGAGGCTTGGATGGCTGCTAAGGCTACAGCGCCGACTTACTTCCGTTAAATGATGAAATACACGGCGAATCTTGATCAGCATTCGAGATTATTCTTCTTACTGCGCTGTTATATAATTGTGATCGTGCAGTCCTCTAAGCCATTCCGAATTTTCATTTCATCGCCATCGACATGGTCAGAGATTTGAAGTCCTACTCTTTCAAAAGTGTTGCCATTGACACAGTGTAATAGAAGGCTCCACGTCCTAAAGAACGAGGCTGATCTGTAGTGTCCTTCAGAAGGCCTGAAGATACGCCGAGTACGGGACATGCCACCTATGTATAAGCGATATATGCTCATATCGGAATTCGCCTCCATCAATCCTTGTGCGATAAGATCGTAGTCAACATTAGCTTGCTTCCCATCGACAGTGAAGTTTGATCGAAGAGTAACAGAATCCAGACCTGTATGTGTGACCGAGAAGTGTCGGGTATCATGCCCTGTACAGTCCTCCGCATGCTTGAGGCGGGCAAGCCGCCCGCTACCTTTTATCACGATACTCCCGGCTGCAACTGTACCTGTTGGATCGAGTGATGACGGTGTACACTCAGCAGAGATAATCTCAACCCAATGTCTCATGCTCTCTGTATTCGCTTCCGATGCCACAACGTGGTAGGGTCTGTCGAATAGGACTGGACCCTCAATCGATGCCCATGACCAAGATGGGGCGCGCCACTTCTTCGGTTTCTTGGTCTTATATCGTTCCACTCCGCTGCCATCCTCAGGGAAAGCATGCCAAAGCAAATCAACCACAATATTGTCTTCCCAGAGACCGGCCAGATATGCACTCTCCAGACGGCGTTGATACTGCTGCGCAAGACCTGAGATGGCTGGCAGACGGTCTTCTTCATGACTGAGCTGGAGCGACGTGAAATCTTGGACAATATCTTGCCAATGCAGGTGAAGTTTCTGTGTAGAACATCCAGGTAGAAGGGACGAACTGTGATCAAACTTTATGCCCTGACTTGCTTCCGAACACTCACAGGCTGAAGCTTGTCGACATTCCCAGCTCAACTCTTCACCAAAGTACAAGATGCGTGGTGCTAGCAACCTCTCTTGATAAACCCAGGCTCGTGACATGAGGGGGTAATTTTCGCTGATGTTCCCCGATGTAGATGCATTGGCTGGATGGTAGCGATGAGAAAGCCTGGAATAGATGGTATAGGTCGCTCCGTCCTTCATCCGACCGACATGGCTTCTCAAGCTGGCAATGCGCTTCTTGTCTTCGAAAAACAGTGAATCTGTGTCACCTTTGGAGATGGCTGCTCCAATTGTGAGCAGAGAGTTCTCGAACACTTGCGCCATCTTGGATCCTTCCCTCGCCCAGTCATCTGCATCGTGTTGAATGATGCAAAGCTTGTCGATCCATAGATATCGGACATCAAGCATGCGGCATACCTTCACTGTATCCTGAAACAACAGGGGTAGAGTATCCCAAGGCACGTTGTCTTGATAGCCGGCATAGGTTTTCCTCGTACACAAAATGGTCGAGTGACCTCCCCAACAGTGACTGAGGCAGATGTATGGGCCTGCCAATTCATGAGTTTCTATTAGTCTGATGGATTCATTTGTGTTTCCTAGATCGAGTACTCGTGTAGGTAGTGTGGCTTTGCTTTGATTGGAACATTGTTCGTGGCCAAGAATGCAGTCATTCATCCACCGCTGGATTTGATGAGAGCTGAGCTCCAATGCCGTGTTACCCAACAAATGTGTCTTGGGACGCACTATGCTCCATGGCGAAGATGGATCCTCTGCTCAATATCATCAGTCAGTTGCATAGTGGCAAGATTCTGTAACGGGATACATGATGCATAGCTCATCGGCCATCAACAAAGCGAGTAATGACTCACCAAAAACGGTATAAAGCTCCGCTAATCTATATCCTTCGCGATAGTTGGAGTGAGCGGACACTCGAAGACTGCCATCTTGGCTCATGTGAAAGAGATCCATCACAAGATTCTGTTTGTTATGCGTCATGTCTAAATCGAGACCGACGCTATGCAAGGCTTCTTTGATCATCGTGCATGACGTGCACTGGTTCTGCAAACCATGCATGATCAGCTGAGGATCAAGCTTTGGGTAGATGCTCGACCATTCGACTGCTCTCCAATCGAATATTGCCGGGTCCATGTCGAGGCATCCTGAACATCGTGTAGTCTTTCGTATGGTGGCTGAGTATTGCGCTCGACTTAGTGGCTCATCCATGATCTGAGATGCAGATGGATGTGTTAGTGGCAGCCTAGAGGTGACGAAGCTCTCCACTTCGTGTACAAAATCCTACGTCACTGTATTACTAATACACGAGGATTCCTTTCGCTTATGTCACATGACATGTTATAGATCCAATAACCCTATATCTTTGTATGATGTAACATGGAACACATAAGACCTGCATGCCACAAGAGCGCAACTGCACGCTCCTTACATCTATATTGCATCTACCTACCAGGGTCTCTAGCATGCAGACCGTATCTCCTGATCCCACATCAGGCACCGCCTTCGATATGCTCTACCTCAGTGGCCTTGTATTTTGCCGTACCCAATCCATCCACGTAATCTTCGCCATTCGCTATCCTGCGAGCATCTTCATCCAGATGAGAGTGCGGCACCCATTTGCTGCCGGGAACAAAAGTCGGACTGTTGTAGAACATTTCGTCCATGTCTTCAAGGCTGAGTCCCTTGGTTTCTGGCAAGAACGCCCAGAAAACAATGCCATTGACAAAATTGCAGACAATGAAGACGATATAGTATTTCCAGCCGATCGCGCTGATGGCAATAGGCGTGACTTGTCCTATCATGGTGTTGAAAGCAAAACTCGTCATCGCGCCAACGCTCACACCTTTCATGCGAAGCGCAGTTCCGAAAAGCTCGGCCGGAATTGCCCACGACAACGGGCCGGATGTGATGAAGAAGACAAAATTGAATGCCCATGTCAAAGCAACAAAACCCCAATGAGCTCCATTGTTGGTAGCTGATGCTGGGAACTGTTGAATGAGAATGGCGTTGACCAAGAATGTGATGCACATGAGACCCGCTCCGTAGATCTCAAGTGGCCGTCGTCCGATTCGGTCTATGGCGAGGATGCATACGGATGTGCCGGCGAAAGCGATGATGGCGTTGACTCCATTGAACAGCAAAGATTGAGACGTTGAGATGCCGATTTGTGCGTAGATTTGAGGTGAAAAGTATTGGATCGCGCTGACTCCCGTCATTTGACATTCAGCTTGGATAAAGCATGCAAGCATTGTTCGCCTGAGGTTCGGCCAGTCGCGGACAAGGTCGAAGTAAGTCTTTTTCTTCTCCAAATGCTCCGCCTGAATCTGTGCTTGGATGAGATCGAACTCGGCTACCACATACGGATCCGAAATATCGCCGTGAGCATGAAGAAGGGCGAGGTTGCGAAGACCCTCATCAGCTCGATCGTGATCGCACAGCCACCGTGGACTCTACCGTGTCGTCAGCGCACTGATCTCGTAATTGAGTATCTGGTTGTAAACAAACCTCAGGAAACATGTATATCAAGCTACCCAGGAAAAGAGCAGGAATGATCTGCACAGCGAGCGGTATGCGCCACTCACGGCTGTCACCTGTTCCCGCCCATGTGAGGTAACAGCCATAGCCCGTCCAGCTGGCAAATATCTGCCCTACAGCATTGAAGAGTTGCTGGAGACTAGTAACCTTGCCACGAATACGACGGTGAGTAATCTCTGCTTGGTAGATTGGGATAATCATGGTCAAGAAACCAACACCGAAACCAGCAATAAATCTTCCAGCATACAACATGCCTATGACGACGCCAGCGGTCTGAACGATACCTCCCACAACGAAGATGCACGAAGCCATCAGAATGGTACCTCGTCTACCGAGCTTATCGGTAAAACCTGCTCCAAAAGCGCCAAAGAAGCATCCTGCTGTGAAGAGCGCAACGACGGTGCCAGATCGAGAATCGGAGTTTCGTTGCAAGAAGAGGGATTTGAAAGAGTCAGATGCTACGACTTCTGCAATCACGGCTAGATCGTATCCAAAGAGGAACGAGCCCAGTGATGCAAAGCACCCGACGAGGAACTGATATACGCCAGGTCGCATGGCGAAGGATGTACTGTGTATAGCAAAGAGCAAAAGAACAATATCCCTAGAGTCGTTTCTCTCTCTACCTGTACTATTATAGCTCGTGGTGAATGCTCATGCGTGTCTATGACGGTCATTTTGCCGACTGGTTGGCTATTGGTGTAGATACATGTCGGTGGTTTACCCGACTTATCTCCATGAGCTATCAATCGTAAATCTTCCGCCATGATGCGCAAATTGAGGGATATAATTGGGTCGTCTACCCCATGCGGGGCCATCGGTGCGGGGAAATAAGCTCTTTTGCCGAGCCGTGTGGCTAGTTGCTAGGGACTAGTGTAGTCTCCGGACATTCAATCTCCAGAATTTGGCTGAACAATTATGTCCTGTAGCAATAGGGTAAAACGATCTCCTCGTCTTCTTCTGTATGTGGATGTGGTTCTAGGTAGTCTGAGATTGAAGAGTGCATCCTTTCCAAGGCATCTATCTAAAGACAAGTGGTCTAGCTTCTCTCATCATGGTGTTTACTGATTGTTGTTGATTCTTGCTCAGCGTCAATATAATAAAGAGTCCTGCTATTGAACTCCTCACGCAGCTTTCTCTGCCCGTCTCCTAACAACAGCATTGAAGCTCGGCTTCGCAAACCACCTCGTCCTCCACGTATATCTCTCACCATTCACATCCGGCAGAATCTCGAAATCGTACTTTCTAACAATCTGCGGAACGACCTTGCTCATCTCCAACAAGCTGATATTCTTGCCAATACACGTCCGTGGCCCAGCGCCAAAAGCCAAGAAGTTGCGGTCCAGCAACGCGCGATCCTCTTTGTTCTTTGTGATCCAGCGCTCGGGACGGAAAACGTGCGCGTCGGGCCCAAAGATTGACTTGTTGTTGTGAATCGCCCATGCGTTGACGCCGACTTCGGTGCCAGGTGGGAAGAATTGACCTGCGATTACGAGGCCCTGGGGACCGACGACTCGAGTCAAGGGTGCACCGACGGCAGGGTGTACACGTAAGGCTTCCATGATGACGGCTTGAAGGTAGGGAAGCTTTTGGGCTTCTTGGAAGGTCGCTGGGTCAGAAAGAGTGCCGGCTGCTCTGGCCTCGTCGAGTTCGTGGCGGAGAGCGGCGAGCGCGTCTGGGTGCATGGTCAGGTATGCAAAAACGGCAGAGAGCGAGATGGCGGTCGTATCTGATCCCGCTACGATATTCTGGGAGGTGGCTTGGCGGGTATGGAAGCGTGTCGCCTTGCCTTCCTGTTCCATGGGCAGCATCTTGGCGAGGAAGTCTTTGCGGTCTTCGGGCGACTTGGTACGCCCTGAGACGCGATTGTCGAGGTGGAAATTTATAAAGTCAAGAAGCTTCCTGAAGCTGGGTTTGATACGAAGCGTATCCATTGTCATACTGATCCACCAGTGCCATTCAGGAACCAAGCCTATGACTGCTCCGTAGGCCATGCTCTCGTCGATAGCCTCGACGATGCCGGACTTGTCGCCACCGTCTTCCATCAACCCAAAGCGCGATCCGACTGTGATTTCGCCAATTACGTCGAAAGCGTAGTATTGCATGAGCTCCCTCACATTGAGAGCCTTGCCATCTTGAGCATACTCCTCTAGTCTCTGCAACAAGATCTTGTTACAAGTGTCGACGAAAGGCTCATAGGATAGAAGGCTCGTTTGCGAATATAGCTGCGCAAGTGGACGTCTGACTTTGGCATGAACAGATATGCTCGGCTCGGAAAAGAGGTTGTACTCATCCGGTTGGCCGAACGGATGATAGTACTTTGATTTATCCATGGCATTATGATGTCCGAGAATCATCTTTGCGGCTTCTCCGTCATTTATGCTGTACCGATTTGGTGCAAGCCGCACGATAGGACCTGTGTATGTTAGCCGTATTTTCCTACCGCCATTTTGCTCACAGCGCTATTAGCATTGATCTTGGTGTGATCGTACCATACTTCTCATGTAGTGCAATGTTGTGGGTTGAGTTCTCGTGCTTGCACACAGCATGAATTTCCCAGAGTCGCGTGAAGCGAGCGAGGATGGGGCCGGGCACACTTCGAAGAGGCGAAGCCAGGGTCTGGTAGGCATACTTGAAGATGATCAAAACAAGCACCACAACCACACCGTAGACGTAGTATCGCCCGTGCGAGCTTTCGCCGGCCGTCTGTTGTGTGTATAGGAGATATGCCATGATGGTTGTCGGAGTAGAGCCACCTAGGTGCTCTCGTGATGATATCAACTCGGCTTGAAAGAATCTTTATACACCGTTGAGATACATGGATTTATCGGTACTAATTGCGGCGCCTACCGCTCGTACAACATGCGGGGGCGGGGTTAGGCCGACGGACTTCATGCATAATGACCAGAACAACGCGCTCCGCTACTAGCCTGCAGGGACTTGGCATGATTCTCCATAGAATGCGAATAGTCTCGCTCCAAGGTTCGGCCGAGTCTATCAACAGCCTAAGAACACCTCTCCAAAGCGGAAAGAAAGTTCGGCAATTGGAAGCGTCTAGATGGGTAAGCGCGTTTCCGACTGTCCTTCTAGCAGACTTACAGCCTGTATATTCGAGAGTCTCTCACTGGCTCGTTTTCTCAACCGATACACTGTAAAAGCAGTGTAGGTAACGCAGGGCTGAGCGTTGCAGACGATAACTGCTGCCTCACAAGCCGGCCCGATTGGCGCGACTCAATCGTTGTACGATGCTAGCGCTTGGTACTTAGAGACTAACCGTGAATGTGATGTTTCACCTTGCCATGTCGGTGCGCTCAATGCCCTATATTACTTATCACCCTACCCAACGCTACCAACTACATATCTTAAACACGTTACAGTTCTGCTAATGTAGAACTTTCCGAAGAAGTCATGGAATGCTTAAGATTATGAAAAGCTAGAGATGATTCGCCGAACCAGTGAAGAAGGAAGGTAGGGTCTGCTGCAAGAAGGAGATGGGTTAGAAGAGTATATTATAAACTGAGATAAGGAGATCCTCGAGGACAAGATGTGTAGAGTGACAAGAGTCTAAAGTATGCTATGCTGAATCGAGTGCAATAGACAAAAGAAATGCGCGATGAAGTACAACCGCCCTATACATTCACTTAGTGAGGGCCGCCAATAGCGTGTCTTTCATTGTACCACTTATACACCTCCTGTGCCCTCCTTACACGGTTCCTCGTAGCCAGCGGACTCAAAAGCTTCACCAAGACTAGCCAAGCAGCGAGCACAGGTAGTGTGTAGTATAGCCTGTTGACGCCGCCCTGTGTGATGATGGTAATAAATGTCTTATACCAATGTAGCGATGGAAAGAAGTAGCTGATCCTGTACCAGTGATGAAGGATTTCCTCCGGCCCAAGCGATGCCGCAACGTTGAAGATAACCCAAGTGAGAAAGAAAAATGGCACAAAAGCCATAGGTATAAATCCAGTAATGATGTCCAGGACGTCAAATTGAATCATACTGAATACCCAAGTCAGAGCCCAGAAAGCAAAGAACATCTTCGCATCGATATGGTAAGAGCCGCGGAATGCGAAGGTCCATCCCGCAGTACATAAACTGGTGAATATGGGCCAAACGGTGCTCCAGAATAGGCGGGCGAGAATATGTGTGCGCAGGTCGTAGGCAGCGTACAAGTGCATGCCGTTGCATATGCCGTTCCATGCCATGATGAAGAAGAATTGCATGAGGATGGGTAAGACGGTTCCAAGGGTATTGATGAAGGCTTTGTCGTCTAGATCGGCGAAGTCTTGGGATGCTGCTTGGGCTTCGACAGCGCGTGCGGGAATCGCAAGAGCGGATAGTGCAGTAGTGCTGTTGGCAAATGAGCCGCTGGCGAGGCGGGCTGTCATGAATTCAGTGTTGAAGATGCTGGATGCGACTGATGTAGTGGTGATAGTCGATGTGAGTATTGTCGAGGCGTAGAGGGTGTAGTATCGCGCCGATAGTACATAATAGGTATAGACGTTACTGGAATCGTATTGTGTAGTATTGCCATTCACGGCATCGTCGAATCGAGTGGTCGCCCCGGGTTGCGCAACGATCGCTGCCCAATATTTCCCCTCGAAGACCTCATGTCGGATCTGCTCAGGGGACGATCCCGTGGTGTTGACATTGACAAAGGTAGGAAATCCGTAAGTCCCATTGTTCGATGCTGCTGCTGCTCGTAGAGCCTCGCCGAAGTCGCTTTCATCAAAGTCTGCGAGTGCGACTTTAGCTCTGTGAACATAGGCTCCTTGATGATGAAATAGGCCGTAAATGTGGGACGCGTTAATCCAGAGGACGGCCATTATCAGAAGCGCTGCTGGGAGTAAGGCTTTCAACATCTCCAAGGGCGAGACATTAGGCCCTGAGTACCGCTTCTTTCCAGTGAGTGTCCTCGTCATCTCTATGGCGGGTTCCTGATCGTTGTTCGAAGGGCCAACGCCTACGTAAGGGCCTTGCATTGCAGCTGCCATCGTTTGCGGATGTTTTGTGGCCAGCTAGTGTTTTTAACAGAGGAAGAATATCTTGACGAGATATGTAGATAGTGCTTCAAGATATCCACGTGTGCAGTCAGTGGTTGGGAAATTGTAGTAGAGTTGCTACACAGAAACTGTGAAGGCCACTACCTGCAGGTCCATATATCATCTTATGCGACCCGGCAACGAGCTGAGGCTGAGCGTAGAGAATGTCCGCCATCATCTCAGAAACTCGTCCGGTTGACTGTGATCTGCGGCCCGCGCCGCATAGACTGTATGTCAGACCGCGAACATTTTGGTTTCGTACGAGATCCTTGTGCACCGTGACGCTACAGAGAGTTGGAACAAGGCGTGGTGGCCCCTGATTGGGTGAGCAATGTCGGACATCGAACGCGCGGAAGGGTCGGGCTCCGGAACTTCAGAACCTGCGATGTACGATGAAGCTTGGCAACACATCTCTTCTCGTACTTGTGGACAAAGGACGAATGGTCTCCCCGATTGGTGACGGTACTAGCCCGACAGCGACAGCGAATTCTAGCACACGAACAGCGAGCCTACAAACATTCTTAGTACCAATTCTGACCTCTCCTTTCCCTGTCACTCGCAGAACTAGTGTACATCCCCCTCTTAGCTGTTCGCATACCAAGTCTACAGAGCCCAGCCAGATGCTGCACGCCAGCCAGGACACCATCGACCACCTGCACATCGCTACCAACCGCTTCTTCAACAGCGGCTTTCATATTCGTCATGCCAGCACACCCAAGTGTCAGGACATCCGCGCCTTCGTCGACGAGCTTCTGACCCACCTCGCACATAATACCCAGCACCTCTTTCTCGGGCTTAGAATCTAACTCCAAAACGCCCAGGTCGCAGCTTCGCACACCAACACAAAATGAGTTGAACCCGTAATGCTTCACGGATTCTTCTAGGGTATACCTGGATCGCCGTGACGTAGCAATAACGCCAAACCGTCCACCGAGCGTTCGCGCAGCAAACAGCGAGGCCTCCATAATACCGACGACCGGCTGCGACAGCTCTTCTCTAAGCACCTTTATAAGGGCATGGTTGCTGTAGCAGGCGACGAGAAAAGCGTCGTACTGATGTGCGATCGGGATGATGGCTCGGGCGGCTGCTGCCGCAGACATGACGTCATCAAAGCCGCCTTCGATGGCTGAGGGTGCGGGTTTGGGCGCCGTGAAACCAGTGACTGTGACATCGGGCGTGAGTGTCGATTTGACCATCTCGAGACATGCATGCGTCATCGAGGGTGTGGCGTTGGGGTTGCAAAGGAGGATGCGAATTTGCCTGGTACCAGTGGTGCCAGTCACTGATCGTAGGCATCGATTTGGAGAATCGTTCAGGATAATCTCATCGCTATCAGGAGCAGACACTGGCGCTGACAGTCTTGGAGGTTCGATGACTCCTGTTTGCGAAGTTAAGATACTGTAATGTTCCGTTCGTCGGTGTCTCGCGAAATCGAACGTCCGTGATTTGCCCGGTACACATCGACCAAGATCGCAATCGGCCACGATAATCTCGTCGGCCTCTGTTTTGCTTTCGGCCATGATCTTTCCATCAGGACCGATGATAGTCGAACCGCCTACCAAGTCATACTTCCCATCATCTAACCCGCACCTTGCCGCGCTGATAGAGAAACACGCGTTTGTATATGAATGCGCTTGCATGACAAGCTTATGATGAAAAATAGCCTCAGCACGCGCGTCTTGTGGACTCACATCGGGTGAAGCACCCCACATCTGTGGAGCGAAGCCTGGTGTGTTGAACCCAACGAGGACGACCTCGACGCCTTGAAGACCTAGGCATCTCCATGCTTCAGCCCAACGCCGGTCGTTGCATATCATCATTCCGAAGATGGGTTCGCCATCCTCAGGTGTGGTCTCCGTCAAGCCCGGTACTCGAAAGGCCTTGAAGCCCAGATTACCAGGCTTAAAGTATCGCTTCTCAAGCTGATTGACTGCATCGGGTTCCGGAAAAGGCTCGACATCTCCAGGCAGATGGATTTTTCGATACTTTGACAGGATGGATCCAGATCTGGCGTGGTAGTAGATGCATGCGTTGTAATGGTCGCCTTCACCTGTGGCTTCTGCGAATCCGATGCAGATATCTACCTCCAAATCCCTAGATTTATCGAATATTGCTCGTGTTTCCTTCGCTGTGGTGACGTCGCCATGCTCGAAGAACGACTCAAGTTCCGCCTCACCGGCGAAGAAGTGGCGAGGGAAGAAGGTTGTGAACGTGCATTCTGGGAAGAGCACAACCTGTGCGCCTTGAGTGGCAGCTTGACACAGAAGGTTAAGGAGTCGATGCAATGTGATTTCGCGACTGGCATCGCGATGCACTGCGCCAACTTGGGCGGCAGCTATGCGAATGGTGCGGGGCATGTTATTCAGACGGGCTTCCGAGGAGTCTGAACGTAACGCAAGAGGCCTTGCGCAAGTTGATAAAGCTTGCCATCCCATGCATTGGCATGATAAGAGCAACGTCCGATATGGTCATCGCAGAGCTTATCGAAGGCGAGATAAGTGGATGGTATTTTCGTGTCGGTGATAAGAGCAATACCCGTTGGGCGGCGGCTTTAGCGTTCCCCGCATTCTTAGCGTTGAAGACATTCATGCTTTTGGATAAGGCTTCTCGCACGGGTAACTTGCTGCCAGGCAATGGCTCTCTACTGTCGCGTTAATGGCCTTGCGGCCTTCCTCTATTGACGCGACCTCGTCCCACTGGAGCTTGGCCCAAAGTTTGACCTCGCCACTTTGTAAGCACACTTCCTTGCCGGCTTCCAACAGCCGCGCAATCCTGTCTTCAGTACGCGCGGTCCCACCTAGACCAAATAATCGGCTCAGATGCATGAATACGATTGCATATACCTGATAACCTAACCACACATACTGAGTGTCTTCTGGCATCCAAAGTAAAGCGATCAGTCCAGCAGGAAAATACAGCACGAATAGGTATATCAAGGCGAGGCAGCAAATCTCACGGAACCGGTCGTAGCGCGTTTCACGAAGAGGGTGACCGTAGTGTCGGAAGAAGGGAAGAATGATGTTAGGCTTTCCTACGAGCAAGGTAAAGCCTAAGCATGGAAGGATGACTTCGTAGATCTGTGTTTCGGGTGGCGCCGGCCGCGCGGCGACTGTTTGTGTTTGTGCAGCCTTCGGCAGGCTATTCGATGTGCTCGTCCCACTCAATGTCGTGGAGGCCTGTAGTGTTGATGTACCATTGCTAGTTGGAGGAGGTTTCCTGACCTGGGGAAAGGTCTCGCGACGGACCGTGACGAGCAAGGAGATGAGTTTCAAGACTAATGGCAGAGCCAATAGCCCAGTTAGCCAGAACACTCTCTGTTTTACGCCGATGACGACTGCAAAAATTATGGTGCTCAGCTCGCTACAAACAATTCCAAGGATCGTCTTGAAGGTGACCTTGTCCTCCGAAAGCGTCACGTAAGATGCATTGGGATCGCTCGGCTCTTCCGAAATGGTGAGGGTAAACAAGGGTTGTGTTGCTCTAGTCCTCGATGTAGCCGCCTGTGGAGCGATCGCGCCGTTGGATGACGCCCGCTTTCGTTGTCGGGTTGCTTTCCGCTCCCTCGTACCCTGGTTTATCATCCTCAGAACTTCGACCCAGAATCCATTCCGGATGTCTTTTTCTCCCTCATTGACAACGCGATTGAAGTATTTGACGTCGTTCTCATGGAAGAACGCCGTACCCAACATGTGACCGCGTGTTGCGCCTCGATATAGTCCATTCTCTCGTATCGCATCGAGGGTTTCGAGAGCGGCCTTGTGCAAGGGGCCGCCCATTGGCATCATCAGTGCGCTGACGAGGAGCGTTCGAAGAGAGGCGTAGTTGTAGAATCGCTGTGGCCATAGTAGTCGTTCGAAGACGGTAGGTTCGGCGACTTCTGCACCAAGGTAACCGATCACAGAGCCAAGGGCACCTGCGACCGCTGTCATTGTGCTGGGTGATTACAGAGATCGAGTAGTGAGGGTATGTTGTGCCATGGGAGCGTTTCGGAGAGAAATGCGCATATGGTCATATGAACATTGAGAGCAGCAAGGCAACAGCAAAGAGCCATCTTGAGGCTGAGGGTGCCGTTCTCACCATCGCCGCCTAGGAGCGTGTCACGAGCGTACTGACAAGCTTGGACCGACGCCACCTACGCAACCCACCAAACTTGATCGCATCTTCCTCTACAAGTGTACCTGGCATACCACTTTTTTTTGTCGCGAGCATCTTTCTCAGCTCGTCAAGAAGTATGAAGAGTGACCCGGACGCTCCTGGAAAAGCGCCAAGCTTGTGAGTGCGCTCTTCTCTGTCCGGCGTGTGGCAGTCTAGCCTTTTTGATGAGACTAAACCTCAGCCCTGCCCCTCCTCATCAAACAACGATGCAGCCCCATAGTCAACATGAAGACCATCTTCCTTTGCCTAGTCATTGCAATTACCGCCTCTCATAAGCGCCACAGGCTGCTCTGATATCGCAGTCTGGATTGACAAACCCTAACCGCTGCAAAAGCTGTATGAGCCTCTTTCCTTGCCCTTGACTAGCAAGTGGTGAAAAGGGCGATTCGAAGATGACTTATGCAGCATGCAATGCAGCTATTGTACGGCTGAGGCGCTCCTAAACTATCGCTGAAGATCGTGAGCTGAAATGCTGTGTGAAGAGTAACAAGGCTGAGAGCTGAGGTCAGGTTTTCTTTTGCACCATGCTTCGTACGTCCTAGTGTTGTCACCACAGGCCGAAAGAAGCGTCATAATCTCTACTGACAGCTGACTGCTCTTCACCATCACAGCTCATCCATAAATGGGCTGATATCTCCTCCAGAACCATGTGGGTAGACCTACCCCGCCTCATCACAGCAATCCAGGGACCTTTGAACTTTGTGTATCATCAAGTAACACCGCGTTGCAATGAATGACGAAGGCGTTATAGAAAGACCACACGCTTACCGGCCTGGAGCACTTTGCTATGCCATCGAAAACTTTGTTCGCCAACATGCGGATGGTCTGACTCACGAAAGAGGCCTTGAGAACTGGTACCGGATCCTACGACTTGGGACGAATTTGGCCACGTTCGAAGGGACTCTTACAGGCCATCAAATTAAAGCACTTCAGGTCATAGGAGAGTGGTGGGAAGGCAAATATTCTGTTCGACAACGAGGCAAACGAATTGCAGAACTCTTCATTTTCGGTCGAAGCTTCGTAACGACTAAAATGCACGGATTCGATCCGGCGAAGGAAAAGAGTTTCTTTGATCAAGACATTGAAGCGTCGCTCTATCATAATGCGCTTCAACGATTGTTCGTCCTGGAGTTTATAGCAGAAGAAGGTTGGGAAGTGAAGAAGACGAAGAATGGTGCGGATCTTAAAAACTCCGATGCAACTTTTGCGCAATTGCTGTACGATACCCGAAGCGATGCCGTCAAGTTCGCATCTGCGCAGCGTTTGGCCTGGCACTACGCTAGAAGCCCCACTATCGCGCCTCTTGAAAGCCCCTCCCTCTTCAACCATGACATACCTGCGTGGATCGATACTAGCCCTTGGCTTAGTCCAGAAGAAAAGATTGGGCTACCTTATTACTTGTGGGATATCAAAAACAGGATGACTGTCGAGACATCAACATTCAGAGATCAACAGCCCAAGTATATGTGTATCAGCCACACATGGGGTCGCTGGCGGAAGCCATCCAAGGTCAAGTTGAAGGGTGTCGGATGGCTCATACCCGAGAACACAAGATTTGATGTCACGACACTCCCACAATTGCTTGAAGATGCTGACTTTGGGCTTGGTTACATCTGGCTGGATCTACTCTGCATTCCTCAGGACGATTCGGAAATCGCCAAAAGAGAAATCGCCAGGCAAACTTGTATCTTTGGTAACTCTATCCCTTGTGCCATTTGGTTTGGCCCTGATATCCCAAGCTGGGAACCAATAACCAGGTCTTTGGCATGGCTCTGTCTCGACTACCTGAACTCGACGGGATGGGAGGCCGGAATCAGAATCAACGACGAAACCCTGGCGGTCGAGCGCCCACCACTGCGGGACCCGATAGCAACCCCAGAATTCATGATGCGGCTGGGTTGTGTCGTAAATCATCCTGTTGGTATTTTTCGCACAGAGGAGAATGCAGACGGAACTAAAACCCACCACTTGCCGAGTTGGTTCACGTCGTTATGGACTCTGCAAGAAGTCTGTCTGAGACCGTCCATGTTCCTTCTAGACGAGAAAATGCGGGCGTTCAGAGCACGGGACACTGAACCGATTATGTTTGACCAACTCATGGCGTTTCTCAGGGTTGCGCAAACAGCACATCGGCCAGACCATCATCTCGATGCTTTTCTGGATGATTATTTGGTTGTGCAAACGGAGGGTTCTGGAGGAAAATGGATTTCAGCAGAAAACCGTCAACAAGCGCACGACCTGTTGTACGAGATGCATTCAACAGAAACGCGATATGCACGGTCGGAACATGGGAAAGTAATTCCACGTGGGTGCTTGGAGATTCTCGATCTTGGGACTAAAGTACGAGAGATTCAGGACGTTGCAAGAGAGCCCATCCGTATAATTCGACTCGCTGATGGTCGAGAATGCAAAAGAAGCCGAGCTGTCGCCATCATGTCGGTTCTCGGATGCACAAAGTGGTACCAGGCTTATTTGCAAGAAGCTCCTGTGAACCAGGTATACAAAGAAGTGTTGGTCCTCGGCAGATACCCACTACAGTTTCTACAGGAGGTTGCGAATCGCTTTGGAGCTAGCTTCTACAGCTGCGGTCTCTATCTAGGGCCCAACAGTGATCCGGAGGATCGTCTCGTTCCTGAAAATTTGCCTAGTGGGTCTCTTCTCCCATTCTGCGGTACCATTGGCAACCCTTATGGCATCTCTCCGGTTGCGCCGTTTGTGTCGGCTGATTTGCAGGTCGGCGTTACCCATCCTTCCGTCAAGTCTTGGTCTATCCAGCAGGACGGGAGTGTCTACATCCCCCAGGCTGCGATACTTGCTACTCAAAAGGACCTGATCGAAGGTCGCCAGTATGACATTTGGTTCAACATATATGTTTCTAGCGTGCTATTTGAAGAGCCATGGCAGTCTCGTAGGGCTCTCACACTCCCAGAACTATTGCCGATGCTGCCGCCCGAATTGGATTCCATTTTCATCGTCACAATCGAGGGAAATGAAACGAGCATGGGTGTTTTGATGCATCGGTTTTCGGAGAAAGAAATGGTTAAAGTTGGTACTTGGTACACCGCAAATACGAGCCTCTGGGACAAAGCTCTTCCTTCCGAAACGGTGGATTGGATAGTTCGCTGAGAAATAATGTAAGTATATATATCGTGAATGACAAGCGAACCGTCTACCTCTGCTAAGACTATACGTCTTTGAATCTCCACCACTATGTGTTGACAACCCGATTTTGAATCGCTTCCTGACAAGATAGGAAGACCCTAGCTGTCTAAGCTATCAGATCTAACGCGTTACTAAGCGAGTAACACACTGCCTTCGACTACATTGTATCTCGAATAGATCTCAACAGTCGATACTATAACTGGTCATTCAGAGAATTATATCAAAACTAAATGCCTGGATATAATCTCTGGGGACTAATACAAGTGAGCGAGGACTCCATGTTCGAATGAGGCAAGCTGTCTTCAGTTTCCAGTTCTTCTTGCATGGAGGACACCTCGCCGCATGAGTAGAATACTAAATTACACAGAAGTCGCCTCCAATAGGATTTGGAGGTAGCTGGTCGAGCTGACTGCGCCAATAGCATATACCCACTCTTACCCAGAGGTGAGACCCCTTCCAAAACTCTTGTTGACGTAATAAGACAAGACTAAGATGTACGGACTCCCGGTCCTGGATCCGGCCCGTGTACACGAGAATCAGCTCTTCAACGGGCAAGATATTGTCCAAGCTATCCGAAAGCGCTCTTCTTATCTCGTCACAACGCTCGCGAAGCCGCCTGTCTGTATGTGCTAGGACTTGGGGGTCGCCCCTTTCTATAGATTTCCAACTTGCGTTTCCGATGTTGGAGTTGCAATCTAATATGAGATTCCCCCAATTCCACTCGTCCTCCAAAAGTGGGATCATGTCGGCGAGAGGCCAAGCGCGGCCCGTTATAATTGCACGCATGTTGGCGTCGATGGAAACGGAGCAGTCATTTGCTTCGCGAGCTCGCAGCTCGCAGCTTATGAGTGGTGATGGTACCCAACACTGCTGTGTTATTTGCCAACTCCGGCCAGCTCGGGGCGTCTGCGAGTGAACGAACATCTGGGCAAGCACGGGGCTTTGCTCATTCAGTCGAATGGAGAGTTGATCTTTCAATTGCTCGAGCGTGAAAGATTTGTCAGGCTCCATAGTTTTGCCCAGTCTGAGTCCGTAGACTTGCATGATTCCGTAAATTTGATCTTCCTCACGCTTAGCTGTGCGGTGTCTGGCCAGTCCAAAGGCAACATTAGGATTGTTGCATATCATGAAGGCGAGGATATTCGAGCGAATCTCATCTCTTGCCTCAGATATCTTCTTCAACAGGACAGGAGAGTTTGTAGAGGTTTTAACAAATCTGTACGTTCGCTTCAGCACGTTTAGGAGAAAGTTTCCTGCCATACTAAGGTCCATCGGGGTCTCGTCATCTGCAGAGAGAACTATCTCGCCTTCGCAGGACAGGATGATGGCATCTCTTCTGAGTACTGATTCCTGCAATGTCCATAACGAACTGAACCATGGGTCACTTGTCCACGACCTAAGCGCTGTCATCGCGCTATCCAGGGTTTGAATGGCGGGTCCTTCGTCGGGAGGGTCTGCATATGCATGTCTTGCTTGTTCGAGACGTCCAAGCATGTCGGTAAACTCCAAGAAATCTTCTTCTGATTCGTCGATCTTGTCGAGTTGATTTCTCGATGAGGAATGCAACCAAACATAAGCTTCACGTGCTCCTTTGAAGATCCCCATCTGTTTTCCTATCTGATCCATGCCTTCAGCAATGTCTTCCGGGTTCCTCCCCTGATTTATGCAAGCGATGTCTACCCAGACATAATCGACCTCCTTGGCTACACGTCGCAGGACGTTTTCGAATTGTTTTGGCGAGAAGGCAAAGTTAGGGTCGACTGCTGGAATCTTCCATGGTGTTCCCCTGATATTGATGGACTCATACTCAATGGACCTCCATCGGCCCCAAGTGTAGGAGAGTATGTTGTAGATTGGCTTTTGGTCTCCGGGTAGTGGTAGCTCGACTGATGTCATGGTAGGGACATGAAGGAGCCTTCGGGGCATCTCCAGCGCAACGTTACCCCATGCGTAATCACTCTGAGGCATCGTGCATGAACGATCATAATACAGTAACACAAAAGGAGCGATGAGAGAGTCTTTTGTTGTTAATCGAAGCTCAGCCGCAGTCAATCTTGCCCTCATCACTTGAAAGCTTGGACCAGCTATCCGTGCCGAAATGGGCTTAGCTACAGTCCTACTCCCCGCATCTAGCTGATCCGTAACCCCTGATTCGCGAATTTCGACACCCCTCTTTAATCCCCAGCCTCTACCGTCTTCTCTCCCCTAACCTGGATCCAGACTTCTCAGCACCATACATGCTCTAATCGCGATTACGACGCATACGCGTCAATTCTCCTATGCCGCACACTTGTTCCATGTTCACAAGCATGAGAGGGCATTCCCGGCCGCTTCAAACGACGCCTTGTCATCAAGCCATTTCACCAGGGCGGCGCACAAGCTCTGGATCGTTCTTACCCTGCGATGAGAGGTACATTCATACTCATATCCTTCTCTAGTGCTCCACGACCAATGACGTTGCTGCATTAGCTGGCTTCGCTCTCTTCGACGAGGCATCGTACCGCAATGTAACATACATGTCAAAAGTACTCTTGTTATTGGGATGCTGGTCGCCCAGAACCACAGCAACACCACAAGGTCACCTGCAGTCGCGACGGCTCAATCCGCAGTATGTGCAGAATGACGGAGTCGTAAAGATCGGCGTTCTTTATTTAAGAATTTAAGGCGTGCCTGGTGGGTATCGCTAAGCCGTCACAGCCAGCTTGGCGCATGTCAATGCCACACATCTCACTTTGGCAAGATCACATCTTTCCCAACACGGCCATGGCCTTGGGTTCGTCTAAGCAAGTCAGCCTTGCGTCCAACCGGATCCGTGCGGCTACTTCCAATGATACCCGGACATGTTGAAATACGATGCTTAGCGTTATAGTTGGATGGATAAATCGGCACAAGCACGATACTTGGCTAGGCGTCCCATCGCGTGTCTTGTAAAACGAATGGAACGGGGCCATCACAACTGACGTCAAGTCGGCGAGGCGATGAATGTCAACTGTACCACCGGTCTGATATGGTAGGCCTGAGGGCGTACAAAATCACGCGATGCGCGCGTTACAGGTACACAGTCAAAACCATCATCGTGGTATCCATAGCCCTCGAACCTAACGCCTCTCGCATTAAACGACTTTTACAAACTGCTTCAACATGGCACCACGATCATCGCGTCTGGGAAATGTCCTCCTCGCTGCATCCCTTATAAGCACCTCCGCCGCACAAAACACCACAAATACCACAGAACCCGTTAACTGCAACCCGGGCGGCCGTACGCCTTCTTACGAGCAGCCTGTAAATGGCACACGTACATGGAACGTCTCTCTCGGGGACGCAATCGACCTCTACGTCTCCCTCACATTCGGCGAATCCCGCAACAATCCTCGCAACAGCACCGATAACCGCGTCTTCGACCCATGGACATACGCATACATTAGCGCTCCCGAAAATACCACAACTCAAGCATGTGTATATATGTTTGATGCACTAGACAACCACCGGCAAGGCGGCGGCCAGAATGGCTGTGACGGCGTGATATCACAGAAATGCCAGGACTTACTGGAGAAGGAATACGCGTTTCCTGTCAACATTCTTCAACTCATCGACAGCTCAAAAAACGGCTATCAATGCCCCGGCTTGTCGCTTGACAAAGATGAAGTGGACGAGGCTTGTGGTGAAGGGTTCTGGGGCGGAATTAGCACGAGTAAGTGCAGCATTTCATTCTCTCCACCAACCTATCTACGAACACATCACATCTAGTTTGGACTCACTAACAAATCATCTAGCCCGTACAGCAAACCTTACAAACACCACTTGCAATGCCGCTCCCCCTGGCATCGACGTACCAGCTGGCTTCAGCACGCGCGGACTCTTCGGCGTGGGCCCCACACAAGAACCCTGGGACTACGATACCAACGTTGACAACTTCACTTGGTACGATGAATACATCACGAGGCCTGTCCCGGTTCTTGTTGCTGCTGTGTCTGAAGAGGCATCTATGAGTGGCGTGACAAAGGTCGTTTGCATTGCGCCTGATCATGTGAGGGAGGGGAGTCGTGTGCCGCCGGAGTCTGTGAACAATGAGAATGCGGCGGCGGGTATGGAGTGGGGCAGGAAAGCGGGGATGGCTACATTGGTGGCAGGTGTGGTGGTCATGTCTTTTGTGATTGCGTAGATGAATACATGAGATCTTTTGTGGAAAGATACTGCGACATGGATGGATATGATGGACATAAACATTTGGAGGGATAACTGACTCATCAGATGACTTGTAGCCGGCGATCATGCTCGTAGCTCAACTCATTGATCTCTAAATCCAATCGTCTGATGTTTTCCGTCTCTTCGTCGATCGTGCTGTAGCGCCGACGCATGGTGCTCGGCGCAATCGAGACATTCGGTTGACTATACAAACTACTGAGAATTTGAGGTTCCATAGGAAGCGATGGAGCGGGACGAGGCTCAGGACGTCCAAATATCACAGCCCCTTCAGTAGCTATAGAGGCTGGAGGGTGGACACTCTTAATTGCAGATTCTGGGACGAGCTGTTGCAGGCGTGTACAGTCGCAGTCTGTTAAATCTCGGCATGCATTGAACAACGTGGAGCTTCCTTGATGCCACCGAAGCTTACTTTTGATAGTGAGGTACTTTCGATCCAACCGACTGCCCGCCTTATCAAATAGGTTTTGCAGCACGCCTGTGGTTGTAGTCAAATAGTCATGCCCATGTGGTACTCTTCTCCACTTATGACACAAAACGTGGTTAGATCCGTCTGCTGGTAGGATGACATCTCCCAAGCCATTAGCGAATAAGACCAAGGCGTCGATGTCTTCAATGAGCCTTGACCATCCACCATGGTTCTTACTGATAGGTGCTCTCTTGAGTCTGTAAGGCGCATCTTCGAGGACCACAGCTTTGAACTCGAATCCGTATAAACTCTCATGCAATGAGGTCGGGATACGGACGCCAGGCGCCTCGCGCTGGCGACTGATATTCTGGGCCAGGAGAAACTCTAGAATCGACCAAATATTCAGGATATCGTCCATGAAGGTATAGTTATCGTGTTCGTACAGGACTTGGGATCGATGCTTCAACAAGACCTCTTTCGCTGACGATCCTGTTGGGATGTTTGTATCAAGACTAACTGGCTTCCCGTTCACCTGAAACGGGTTCAATTGATGGCGATGCTGGATTATGTGCAACATGACATTAGTTGCGGGAACGAGCCATGATCGTTTTCCGTCGATGTCGTGCAGCACTACGGGGCGACTCTCTGCGAGCGGGATAACTCTTTGATATGGACCAGCTCGTTGGAAGTGGCTCTTTCCATCTTTCAACCCGAACCTTACATCCAACGCGGCCACTCCAAACTGCTGGAAACCGAAAGATGTACCCGTAAGCCTAGGTCCCGAGTCCGCTCCATTGGCTTTGGTGTAGTCAATGTTATCGTAGTTTGCATGGCTAGATCCGAGGGAAGTAGTTGCTATCGAACACCATCCAACGATGGCTCGTAGTGATGCAAGACCCTGGAGGCCAACTTCGTGGAGCATGGCGCGTGACTTGCAGCGTGATATACCATCGTGATATGATAGCGGTGTATCTTCATCGGGACTAGAGACGGCATGCCATTGAACCCGATCAAGTTGGCGCCGAACTGGGACGAGCATGTGAGAGAACCCTTTCATCACCAAGCCTCCTTCGTATTCAACCACGTGTCGAGCTCCTGAGATCCCAGCCAGAAGTTCCAAGGGTATTTCCAATCCAACCTCCAGCGCTCTTTGTGCTATAGGAAAACCAGTCACAATACATGCATTGTCAAACAAAGGTAGCCAGCATGTCTCTCCATACGTGTCAATCTGTTCGTGGTGGACTTTGATCTCGAAAACACCTCGCTGCTTTCGAAGAAACAACGGGCTGGAATAGGCTAATCCCTCCTCGAACGGCGATGTTGTGAACGCGGAACTAAACCATGATAGCTGCTGAGCTAGCTCTACGAGCAGATGCTTTTTCGTAGCTTGCGCTGTAAATGTGGCGACAGTATCAGAGATATCCACTCGGACAGAGAGGCCCAGATCCCTCTGTAGGAAAGCCTCAACTGGACTGTCTGCATCCGATGCCGCGATAGCAGCGTGAATGGCATCGAGAAGATCCAGGTAGAACGCGCCAGTATGGGGCCATGTCGCTTTAATGTAGTCGGCACACGTCGAGGCTTGGGCATGTCGAGTGGAACTGCCGGTGAGTGTCACGACCGAGCCGAACTTGGGTATTTGTACTCCACACTCATCTTCATACTGATCTCTCATGAATTTCGTGATTGACCACCAATCCATCTGAATGTCAGCTTTGTAGCCATATTGTTCCTGGTGAAACAGATCCTTCTCTGACATCGTCGCCCAGATGGTTCTCATTGCAGACTTGTCTCGAGATAGGCTAGACCGCACGCATAGTGCCAAGAGTCTTATCTCATCAGTCGCACCCAAAAGACCCATGATATGATCGAGTTCTAAATCAGTCATTTGTTTTTCGAGATACTCTGAGAGCTCGACTTTATAGTGGTCTGGAGGCGCAACCTTAGATTTCATATGTTTGCGACCACCGCAGTCGTCCCAAAGCGCGACCCTAGTGTTTGTCTTAAGACCGATTCGCTGGGATGAAAAGTCCGGTGGAGCCATGAATTTCATCCCTAATCTTAATCGATTCACAGATGTGGGGTTGTATTGTGTGGATAGACGTCTGGTGGACAACCACGCGATGTGAGTTTTGCAATGTTGAATTAGGATCGCTGCAAATAAAGTGAGCATCGCATCTTTCTCATTAGCGCTCGCTGAAGCATTGACGACTGTCACTGATCTGGATAGCAGTTGAGTGGCGTAGACCGTGAGAGCGTCCCTGAGGCGCATTTGGACGATTGCTGTGTATCTCTGACTCGTTCCAGAACAGTGCCTTTGCACGCCAGATTTCCGATAAACCATCTTGACAAATCTTACGACGAATTTGACAAGGTTATCATGCGCTTTTGCCGATGAACCCGGCTGTGAAAATAGTTTGGGATGCGTAGAGGACATCACGGTTTGAGGATGTCGTTTCCAAGGGAGCTTTTTGTCCATGGGCTCCTTAGTATGGTCGTCGACTTCATGAGCTATGTTTTCATTCTTGCTTATTGCCGCCGCAAGATCCCGAGACCACGTCCTTTCGGGCGCATTGTTGTCAGATGGCCATTTGCGTTTGCTCTTAAGATGGAGAGTCTTATCGTCGAGGCTTTGGATTGTGTTGGCAGAGTCGTGGTTTACCAATGCTTCAGGCTGCGCTTCTGCCTGCTGCAGTCGCTGGATCTTATCAACTTCGGCAGCATGGTGTTGCATCTTCGCAATAATGGTACGGGAAAATGTCTTCCTGGGGAGGTGATGTCTCCTTCGTCGAGTATTCAAATGACTGGGTGATCATATTAGGAGCGGGTAAAGTTTGTGCTTCCTATGCGCTGTTCCAGGTGGTGGCTGAGCACGACTGTTCAGCGTTGGCCCAATCGCCCCTCTCGTTGGTTGGCTGAACTGATTAGCCTTCATGCGGCTGCGCCTTCACCAAAAACCAGCCTGCATGCTCAGCTGGACCAATGAGAGTCAAATGGTAACGGTTAGATGCATGCGCCGAGCTGTAAGGCATATTCGGAAGGGAAAAGGTATCTGCCTTCTTTCGGCCTTGTTCATCGCCTGACTTCTTGCATAGTTATCGTAACTCCGATTACCTACTGAGCTTTGGTGTTACCAGACTTCTCCTTCGAATTGCAGATGTTGAGGTATTCGACAGCGTTGCCTTGTTCGTACTCGACGACATCAGCAGCCCTAAGGCGAATCTAGTACATCAAAATCCATCGCGTCTTCATCCCCATAGTCACTATCCATTACACCTTCGCTATCTGCAAATACCTCCACTTCTGCCCGATCGTGAACCACCTCAGGCGTATCCGTGACCGCGATATACACGTCGGCCGTGTCTTCCTGCTCTACACTACCCGATACTCCAAGGCTGCTCAGCCCGCGTTGAAACCGACCTATGGTTCTGTGCAACCAATCAGATTGTATCTCGGCGTATTCAATCTTCAGCCCTGTGTCATCTTGCCAACGACTCCATTCTTCCAGCTCTTCGATCTCTTCGTCTGATGGAGCGGTGGTTCCAAACACGTTTTGTACTTCCGAAGCAATTTCCAGGTCTGAAAATCCTTTGAATTCGTGAATGTCTACGAATAGATCCTGGAAGTTGTGCTCGAGTTTGTGTAGCTGATCGATAAGGGGATTAAGCTGCTTGCCGAGCATCATACTTTGGGCTGCAAAGTCCTCTTGAGCCCAGTCGAGCTTGAACGTATACCATCCCTGTATGGCTTCAGGGATACTGTGGCCGTCCAGAAGGAGTTGTTCAAGGTAATCCAAGTCTCTGCCCCAGATCTTGTTCTTGTTGAGCACCTTGTGCAGTTGGGTGAACAGGGAATCCTTAGTCGGCTGGGATAAGTTGTTCGTTTCGTTCCTGAAATCTTCCATGACGCCAGCTACGTCTTCTTCTAGCTCTTCAAGTCGCTCAAACGGTTCGTACGCGTAATCATAGCGTTTTCTCAAGGCGGTTACATTGCCCTGGGCCTTGCAAGCCTGAGCCAGAAGATGTTCGATGCGGGCGATCATGCCGTAATGGACGAGTTCGGTATCGCACAGCGGACATGATCTAACAGCGGTAAAAAGTTCGAACTGAATCGCAATCCTGTACCTGAGGAAGTCTAATGAGTCTTGCTCTTCGTTCTCGAGGAAGTGCAGCCGGCATATACCGCGCTTCGAATCGGTCGGGGGTGTCTCCACTGGCAGCGGTGTATGTTCAGGAATTCTGGTGCAGCTTCCGTTCGGCCTTGAAGCGGTTGGCATAGGCATGATGGCTAGATTATTCCAGTAGGGTCGCTACGACGTTGAGAAGACCACAGAGTATGCCGGTGGCACCTCTGATGCAACATGTAAAGACCTACAAGTAATGTGAGGCAGTCGAACAGATATACAGTCTTCATTTCTGTACCAAGGTTCTGGTGTTTGTATGCAAATCCGCCTCATTGGACGTTGAATGGGGATGGACCACGGCCCACCAGAGTCCTACGGTAGAGCTCATCATCCGCACCTCGGATGCTCGTGGAGGCGCGTTTGATTCGAGCAAAGATAATACCATGCAAGTCTGGAAAAAAAAACTTTCGTCTCTTCGTGGTCATGTCAACTGCGTCGACCCTGGATGAAACATGATCTTTGGCGGGCTTGGTTCGCGCGTAGACACTTTCTAGTCAACTCCGTGGTGGAACTCATTCAGAACCGCGCTTTTGAATTTCCGGTATATCGCGCAACATGTCGTTCACGGGGGCATTAGAAGCGACTTGAAGCAACCAAGGCGAAGTCGCTGACGGTCGTTGTTTTCGTACACAGTTCATTCGCCAGCGGTAAGTGTCCAGGGCCATTGCGTTCCATCAACTCCCACTGCTATGCATCGCGAGCGCCGGAAGAGATCAGATACCAGCCCTGAGCGATATCGCAACGCGAAACAGTATCTTTTGTGAAGTTTGACGATGTTGCGAGATGCAAGAAGCTGCTTCGCTGGCAAACCTCGACGATCCTGCCTTGTTTTTCGGCAACGCCCAGCCCCAGCCGCGTCTGGGCAGTCTCGCAGCGCGTCACCGCCCTCCGCAAAAACCTCCAGCTCTCACCTCAACTCTTCCATCCCAACTGCTCTACGCAGGAAGAAGTTTCATTACATCTCGCATCGTGCTAGCGAGCCAAATTGACCAGCAAGACAAGCCTTGCTTCCCGTCCAGCGTTGCAGCGGGCCACTCAAGAGCTGCCCGCCGTTCCAGGGTAGCTTATCCATCAATCCCCACCAACCACAGCGCCCTTCACTCCCGGTTACCCGGAATCTCGCAACCATGTCTTCCAACCGCCACGGCCACGACAATTCGCACAACGTCTCACGCGTCTTGTACGACCATGTTAATGGGCAGAACAACCGCAATAACAACCACAATGAATCCACCCCGCTCCTCCACAACATCATCCCCTCGCACATCCACCCCGATGGCGAGTCCGGCCGCAAGGGCTTCCACCCATCCCACTTCATCAACGTAGCCTGGCGCTCCGGCAGCAATGCAGCAAAGTACACCAACCTCCTCTGGCCCTTTGTCATTGTAGCCATTGTGCTGCACTTTGCTGCACCATCAATGCCCATTGCCATCTTCGCGACCAGCTACATCGCCATGGTGCCCGTAGCCAATCTCCTTGGTTTCGCAGGCCAGGAGTTTGCCAGGAAGATGCCAAAGGTCAGCGGAATCCTGATCGAGACTGCATTCGGAAGTATCGTGGAAATCATCCTATTCATCATCTTGATTGCCAAACATCATTCTAGGGATGGTTCGAGCGAGCATGGAAACCTCATTCCGGTCATCCAGGCGGCGATTCTGGGATCTATACTGACAAACTTGCTGCTTTGTCTTGGACTGTGAGTACTCCGCGACAAGTTCAAGCGTGCACGTTATACTGACTTGGATGCTAGCTGCTTCTTCGTCGGCGGCCTCCGCCAAATGAGCCAAAAATTCCACGCTTCCGTCAGCGAAGTCGGATCCGGTCTGCTCCTCGTAGCCGGTTTCGGTCTGCTCATCCCATCAGCCTACTACTCCGCGCTCAAGGGCTCCGCTGTCGCTCACGCGTCAAAGCACCACGAGTTTACGGAAAAGATCCTGCAGCACAATGTCCTCAGGATCAGTCAGGTGACTTCCATCCTCCTCATCATCGCCTTTTGCATCTTCATCTGGTACAATGCGCGCTCCCAGCACTCGCTCTTCGACGAAGTTCTCGAGGCGGACGAACACGCTGATCTGGACCACCACGAGGATCTCGCCAAGCCCAAGTTTACTTTTACAGAGTGCATGGTTGCGCTTGTCCTGTCCCTCGCTATTGTCACGCTCCTCGCCGTCTTCCTCGTCGAGCGCATCGAAGATGTTGTTGAATCTGGGGTTCCAGACCAGTTCCTCGGCCTCATCATGTTGCCGCTTGTCGAAAAGGCGGCTGAGCATCTGACTGCTATTGACGAAGCGTGGGATGGTCAGATCAATTTTGCCCTCTTCCACTGCATCGGTCCGTCTATCCAGACTGCTCTCTTCAACGCTCCGCTCGTGGTTATTGTTGGCTGGATCATGGGTAAGGATATGGACCTCAACTTTGAGATCTTCATGATTGTCTTGCTGGTGCTGGCTATCGTTGTGGTGGGTAACTTCCTCAGGGACGGCGAGTCGAACTACCTTGAGGGCGCTATGCTTATCATTGTTTATGTCATTGTGGCTGTGGCTGCGTGGTACTACCCTAACCCTGATGTCGCTACTTCGAATGGTGCGGAGTAGTGGGGGCAGTGAGAGAGTGAGATGTATCGGTGGAGGTGGCGACGCCTAGTCTGGCGAATTTGCAACCAGGCCATGTCGACTCTAGTCATAGCTGCCTCACTATTTAGCTCTAACGTAGTCTAGCTCTTAGATATGCTGGTTGGGACTCGGCGATTTGCAATGTTAAGCCAACGAGTAGGAACTATACGATCACGAATTATGTGTTCCAAGATGATAATACTAGGGTCTCATAATGAGAGCCATGGAGATAGCTAGGTTCGTCTTGACCGTGCCAACATGCCTCTTATCCCAGCTAAGGCATATCTTGATAGAGCACAGATCTCAATAGCACTCTATCTAGTTGTAGAAACAGTAATTCCAAAGATACCTTGTGCATCCATGCTAAGAGTAGGGAACGCATACCAAGTATGAGGACAAGGAGTTATACAGCGCTTAGTGTAAGACGGACGTCGATGATCCAGAGAAGTGCATAGCAAACCAGAGTAAAATCGATTTCAAACAATCATAAACTCATACCAATCGTTTCCCCTGTGCTCATAGTATTGTTCAGGCATATCCATAGCACCAAACGCATCTGTTAAAGCACCAATGTGGTCCTGCTCATCTTCCGCCCAACGCTCATCAACTCGAAGAACACCAATTCGACGGTATTGACCTCTTTGAATCCCAGTCAACTGCAGTAGGATCCCTTGGAGTGATCCACCCTCTGAGATCCCGAAGATAACAAAAGAATTTTGCTGCTCAACACTATTCTCGAGTATTACTACTCCGTCAGGCTCATCAAATGACAAATCAACACACTCAATGTTGATGCCGGACGAGAGCAATCTGAGTGTGCTAGGGCCTCTCTCATCATGCAAGCGGCTAGAATTTGTGGCAGTAGCTCTGCACAATAGACCTCGGAAGCGAACATAGCCCCGGGAGCTCGCTGAAACCGCACCAAACGGGTCCGATTGAGGGAAGGTCTCTATACTGATGAGCTGTGCCAATGAGGTTCTGCTGTAATAATTTGGAAATGAAACCTCGCCATTGTACGACGCCCACGACCATGAAGGTGCGACGTAAGTCTGTGATCGACTGCCAGTGTTGACGGGGGAGGCAGACCACATTAGTTGCAACTCGAAGTCTTGGCTCCAACGGCCTGCGTAGTATCGCAGAGTCCTGTTGTCCTGACGATGTTCAAACATATATTTTGCAACTCCAGATAATGCTACTAGCTTATCTGTGGCTACCGACAGCTTGCCGGTGCTGTATAAGTCGACAATGTCGCGCCATGTGTTCAGAAACTGGGTGATGCGATCGCCGGCGCCGTGGCTCGGTGCTATAGGTACAGCCAGATATGTCCTCTTATAGAGGTAGGTGTCTTCAAGCTTTCCTGTGACGTCCGTCTCGGATGCCTGACATTCGTCGCATTCCCATACGACTTTGTGTTTCAGGAAATGGACAGTGCGTGGCGCAAGAAGACGCTCCTGAACGATCCACCCTCTATCCCCAAGCGGCGCATTATCAAGCAGGGCCCCGATTCCAGGATTCGGCCATAATACGACAGGTTTGCGATACCAACCTGTGGGTATATACGTAAGATTCACCGATAAGGGGTTCACAGATTTCCATGATCGTTGTTGGAAAAGGCCTCCTCGAGAATCTCCAGCCGCGTTCGCCCCGATGTTGACAAATGAATTCATGTAGACAGACGTCATTCGAGTACACTCATTGGCCCAGTCAGTGTCATCGTCCTGGATAATGCAAAGAGAATCGATCCATATGTACTCTATACCAAGCGACTTAGTGAGCATGATGGCTTGCTGGAATGTTGGTGGAAGCCTGCCAACATCGATCCCATCCAAGAATGCTTGCAACGTTCTCCTTTCAAGCTTTATTGGCATATATTGACCCCAGCAGTGACTTAGAGTCGTGTACCTTGCATCTTCTGGTATTTGAGCAGTCTGGCGGAGATATGCTTTGGGGCTTGGTATTAAGGGCTGCACCTGCAGCAGTCGGGTAGGAATCTGGCGAGATCGCTCGCCTCTTCTTTGCGCGCATCGCATGTGAGTCGTTTCACATTGTCTCAACCAGTAATGTATCATGTTAAGAGTCTCACGAGAGTCTGTAGATGGTTGCACTCGCTTAAGAAGCCGCACTGGTAGCCGATACATAAGTAGAGCCGTGCAAGAAGGGACAGTCATACATACTGTATTGATACTCACTCGTCAGAACCTCACATCTCAATTCGCAGACAGTTACTCGGTTGCATTCAGGTGGTCTTGGATGTGCTTTCTGAATTCGTAGACACGGAGTGGCTCGAGGTTGTATACCGGACAACCAAACAACAGCCACGAATTGGGGCTCGCCTTCGCTTGCGCGCTCCAGCTCTTCAAGGTACCGACGCTGCTGTTCCGCTGTTATATACAATAAGATCAAGATGCACATATGGCAGCCATTCTCTGAAGACTCTTTCAGCTGTTGGATGTTATGAAAGACCATTGTCGCTCCTCGAACAGTCTGTTGCCTGGCAACAAAATCGAAAAATGAGCGACACATCTGGCAACAATCATTCTCAGAGCTTGGCGTCCAAGGTTGTAGCTGGGCTGAAATTGTTGACTGCATCGAACTGGAAGGACGCAGATTATCTGCGTGTGAAGGTCAAAGGTGTCGCATGAATGGGGTATCTTCAGCCCTTGAACAAGCACCAGGCTGGGTGGCGAGGTCATGAGCCCCGCAGTACCGGTGGCGTCCTTGGCAGTCATGTGATAAGTCGCATCGTTGACATACAGATAGCATGAGTTTCTGTGATGGAGTGTAAAACGGAGGTTGAAATGGGGACATGATTGGGCGGTAGTGGAATGAGGAAGACCATAACAATTGGTGGATATGCGATCACCGTGCTTGCCGCAATTACCTTAAGCCGACTTTATAAAGATCAAATGTAGTTGTTTTCGTCGCACTCGTCCTGAGATCTTCGGAAGCAAGCATATTCAGCAACAAGTTTCCAGTGAGGACTACCAAACTATAGTATAGTCATCGAGAGTTCACATCATTCTTTGTCGGGCTAGACTACCGCGGGGCACCGGATTCCATTGCCCATCCGCCCATGGCAGAAAACAGATTAACGCAAGCACCTTGATGTCCAATTCACCAATGAACAACTCAAGACTGCGTTCTTGGGTTACCGGACCCAGTACAATCGTTCGAAGCCGTCAACCAGGTTGGCGGCGGGGTCGACGCTGGTAGTCAGTCGAGTCCGGAACACGGTCCACTCAATCACCTTCCCAAGACCGACTCAAGCTCTACCAAGACCAGCTTGATTGCCGTCAGTTCCACCGACTAGCGGCTTGACTTTGCTTGTTTATCGAGCGGCACGAATGTGTCCAAGTTTTGTAGCTTCCTATTCTGGCGTTAGCGCGGTTACTTCCGAGGCTATTCCGTTAGCAACACCAACTGACCTGCAATGTTGCAAGCCTTGTCCCCGGCCTCTGCGAACATCGTCATTACCGTTATCATATCACCACGCCACGAATTGCAGCACGACATGTGCATGCAGCATGGCGTTTGTGCCATCCTGGCAATCTCCAGCTTGCCGCGATGCAGATTGCGCGCTCCCAGGCGATAGGAAAGCAGTCGCGTTTGTTCCGACTATACGGGGATCGACATGCAAGTACTATGCACCTTATTATCAACCTTCCACATGGGGCAGCAGGCCCTGGAGTACGCCAAGGTACCAACGAGCTTCTGGGTAGTAATGACGCGACGTTAGCCGGTGCTTCGCTGAAGCTTAAATAGCTATCAAGACTGCTTGATGCGACTGGGCGCGTCTGCCATCTGCTCTCAAGACCAATATTCATTATGCAGATCTTCGCGACTGTTGTGTTGGCTGCTGTCGCCGCGCGTGATGCGCTGGCTTCTCCTATCCAGGCTCGAAGCCCGTATGTTGTCAAAGAGACTCATTTTGCGCCGAGGGAGTGGACCAAGCTCGAGAGGGCACATGGTGGCAAGACTATCCAGCTGCAGATTGGTCTCAAGCAGGGTCGATTTGAGGAGCTTGACCGCCATCTTCATGAAGGTACGTTTGTTACAACTGTAATCCGGGTACCCTTGAGTAGCTGACATGGCATAGTCTCCGACCCAGACCACAAGCGCTACGGTCAGCATCTGAGCGCCGATGAGGTTGACGAGCTTGTTGCGCCTAGCTCCGAGACTCACGACCTGGTGCACGAGTGGCTCCGCGAAAGCGGTATCGACACCGACAATGTGGGCTACAGCTCGGCCAAGGATTGGGTCATTGTCCATCTTCCCATTGAGATGGTCGAGAGCCTTCTCGACACCGAGTACCACACCTACAAGCACAAGGATGGCTCCATTGTTGCGCGTACAACTGCCTGGTCTCTGCCCCGTCACCTGCACGCTCACATCGACACCATCCAGCCTACCACATCCTTTTTCCGCGTCGCCCCCAACGAGGCGACGTTTGTCGATGAGGCGGTCGAGGTACCTGCGAGCTACCACACACCCCAGAACTCCTCCATCTCTGCTGTCTGCAACGTGACATCCGTCACCCCGGAATGCTTCCAGACTCTCTACAAGACCAAATGGTACCACACCAAAGCCAGCCGCAAGAACAGCGTCGGCTTCACAAACTACCTCGGCGAGATCCCCATCCGACCCGACACCAAGATGTTCCTGGAGAAATACCGCCCAGAAGCCGTATCTCAAGCCTACGCCTTCAAGCAAATCTCCATCGACAACGGCCCCACTCAAGACGGTCCTTTGACCTACAACCAATCCACCGTCGAGGGCATCAGCCGCGAGGCTAACCTCGATGTCCAAGCCATCTCGGGCATCAGCTGGAAAACACCCATCACCTCCTTCTCCACCGGCGGCTCACCTCCCTTCACACCCGATGTCTCCACTCCCACAAACACCAACGAGCCCTACCTCGTGTGGGTGAACTGGCTGCTCTCCCAGCACTCCATCCCCCGCATCATCTCCACCTCGTACGGCGACTCGGAGCAGACCGTGCCCAAGAGCTACGCCGAGCGTGTCTGCAAGCAATTCGCCCAAGTAGGTGCCAGAGGCACAACCCTCTTCTTCTCCTCCGGCGACCGCGGTCTCGGCGGCACAGATACCTGCTACACAAACGACGGCCGCAACAAGTACCAATTCCAGCCCAACTTCCCCGCCTCCTGCCCCTACGTCACGACGGTCGGTGCGACCATGAACTTTGAGCCCGAGGAATCGGCTTACCGCCCGAGTCGCAACACGTCTGCTGGTTTCCGCGATCTATACTCTAGCGGCAGTGGCTTTAGCAACTACTTCCCCCGCCCTTGGTACCAGGACAGCGTCGTGCCACAGTACGTTGACTCGCTCGGCGACACCTACGAGGGTCTGTACAACAAGACGGGCCGCGGATACCCTGATCTAGCTGCCCAAGGCCTGTACTTTGCCTACTTCTGGAACGGAACTGAAGGCACTATTTCTGGTACTTCGGCGTCTTGCCCGTTGACTGCTGGTATCTTCTCCCTGGTCAACGATGCGCTGTTGGCGAGTGGCAAGCCCACGCTGGGTTTCTTGAACCCTTGGTTGTACAAGAAGGGGCACAAGGGCCTTACTGATATTACAAAGGGCTTCAGCCATGGATGCAACGTTGAAGGTTTCCCCGTCACGGAGGGGTGGGATCCGATTACTGGGTTTGGAACACCGGATTTCCCTAAGCTGGTTAAGCTGGCTGGCGCACATGTGCACTGATTTGATGAGTTGAGATCGTTTACGGCGGATCATGGTGGATGGTGTGGCTTATTGTTAGAAAATAGGTTTCATACAATGTTATAATGATCATGATGACTTGTTACCATGTGCGCTGATAAGTATACCGTGAATACATTCCAAGTGGTCGACGGCAATAACATGCAGATCAGAAGACATGAGCTTCATTGGACAATCCAAGCGATAACAGAATTTATCAGGTAGAGATCTCCAACAGCATGGGTATCCGTCATAACGACATGTTGGTCGATATTTGTTTGCATTAGTGACTCGTAATATTCTGGTCAACTTTTCCACCATCGTGACCAACCAATAGCATGTACTACAAAAGAAAAACAGCCGGGGTATCGTCGAAAAACACTCGCTTTTAGAAAAAAACCGCAAAGACCCTCGTGTACTCATGTTATGAAAAGTTGTCGTCAAAGTCGGAACCCTTCGTCTTCGGCCCACATACTTCTCTTTTTACCACCGATACCTCACCCAGGTAACTTCTCTTTCACGACCAACCAGTAGTACTACACCCCCCTCTCGCCCGACAAAACAACAACATCAAACTCCTCATCCAAACTCTCCTCTCCCTCAGCACCACCACCACCACCCAGACACTTCATCTCATCATCACGATACCGCCCGCCCACAAAATCCCAGCCATCCCCCTCAAGACGAGTCCGCAGACGTTCCAAATTACTATTTGCTGCACGGCGGAAAAAGCTCCCAGCCCACTTGTTGGGTCCCTGAGATGCTGCTGGCGGTTGGGGTGCTGTTGTCGACGATTGCGATGCCGATGGCGATAGGGTGCCCTGGCTACTCGATTCCGTCTCCGTCTCCTCGCCTTCCTCCCAGTCGTCGAGTTCGGGTAAGATCCACAGATCGGATTCTGAACTCTGTCCCGACGCCGCCATGTTCAGGTTCAAGCACGTGCTCTGGTGGATGGACATGTTGTATTCTCTTTTGCCAGATTGCTGGGCTTGCGGAAGCCAGGTTGGAGGTGCGTTGTGGCGGTTGAGTGAGATGGTGGTTTTTCTGGCGAGATTTTGGTTGGCGCTGGTGGTGATGGGATTTCTTTTCTTGGAAGAGTTTGGGGACGTGGCGCGTGACTGGTGGGGTGATATGGGGAAGTGACCATATATGGCGTTGCTAAGATCGTAGCTATAATCTTCGTCGTCATGCGCCGCGGCGCTTTGTCGCGCGTTGTTGGCCATTTTCCTTGGTGGAGGTGGGGACAGGTGTTCAGATTCTGCTCAGCTGACGGAGGTGCAGACTTGATGTTGGTGTTGGAGCTTGCCACTTTGTAGCCGAGGAACGAAGCCACAGGTGAAATTTTCTCGCTGCAGACGGATCTGGAAGGTGGGTCTCTCTCCGCTAGAAACGCGCGGGGTGAAGGTGGGCGGATGTTGTTGAGGTGGAAGTGCGGCTGCCTGTTGGCGGCGCTCTGGACGTGATCTGATGACGTTGCGAGCTGGTGACGCCCAAGGCTGTGCTAACTTGTCTTGTTTCAGTCGGGGTCTATTTGAGTTTGCAAAACGGAAGGTACGAGCAAGATGTTGAGTGAGAGAAAGAGCCAGAGGTGAAATGCAATGTAGAGAAAGAAAAAAGAGAGAGAGAGTTGGAGGGTCAAGGTGAGCAGAAGCGACTGGCTGCGGGTGGTTGAGAATGGGGGAAAAGTGAAGCTGCAGTTAGTGACTGATTAGCAGCAGTGACTTGTTAGCAGCAGCAACTTATTAGCAGCAGCGACTTGTGTGCAGCGAGCAAATATGGACTTGACACGGCATGTTGTCGACGTTGTGTCGAATTTGGGACGGTGTTGTCGGTGTCGTGGTTATGTGTGCGCCGAGAGGGAGGTGGGTACACACGGACCACCTGACGTGTGATGTCGGTTGAGCTCCAAATCTTCATGGCCTTGGTCAACATCGACGACCATCACCAACCCTTCAAACATCCAGCATCTCCCGGGCCAGCCCACCATGCTGCGCGCCTCCATCCTAAGGGCCCGTCCAGCTGCCCGCCCATTGGTCCGCGCCGCTCGCCCGCAATGGCACGTCGCCCAACGCTTCTACGCAGACGATAAGAAGAACCTGGGCGAGACGGCCGTCCCCAACCCGGCACCCACCACATCGCCCTCCAACCCGACCCCCATCGGCGAGGGCTCCATCCAGGCCTCGGACGTTCCCAAAGCACCGCTCGCCCCCGACAGCTCCGTGGCTGCCGCAGCCTCTCGCGATGCGCCCGCCATATCGCCAAAGACAACACCGCCCACCGGCCCCGGATCGTCGAGCATAGCCCCCGACCCAATCCAGCCCAAGCCCAAGAAGAAGCGACGCATCTTCCGCAAGCTCCTTCTCTGGCTCACCGTCCTCTCCGGCCTCGGTTATGCCGGCGGTGTCTGGTACTCGCTCGTCTCGGACAACTTCCATGACTTCTTCACCGAATACATTCCGTACGGAGAGGATGCCGTTGCATACTTTGAGGAGCGCGAGTTCAGGCGACGATTCCCCGGCCGCGCTGGAGAACCGAGGCTCCACCCTCAGATCTCTGGCGAGAACAAGGTCACCATCCCTGGACGGAGCGGCTTGACGGCGCGCCCAGCCCAGGAGAACAAGAGCGACCTGGGCTCCAAGGGCCCCCATCTGAGCGCTGTCGACGCCAACAAGAAGCCCGACAGCACCGAGTCGAGTGGTCAGCAGCCCAAGGTCTCCTCCGGTGCACCTTCACCCGCGCCGTCCAAGACAGAAGAGAAGGCCGCCCCGGTCAAGGAGGTCGTCAAGAAGGAGACTCCAGCCAAGCCCATCTCCCAGCTAGACCACCTCAGCGTCCCCTCCGCCACCGAGCCCGTTGTCCAAGACGTTGTCAAGATCGTCAACGACATCATCACTGTCATCAACGCCGACAACGCCCACGATGGCAAATACAACTCTGCGCTTGACAAGGCCAAGAGCGAGCTCGCAAAGGTCGTGTCTGACATCAACATGATGAAGGAGAGCCTGCAGAAGCAGACCGAAGACAAGGTCGCCGCCGCCCACGCGGAATTCGACCAAGCCGCCAAGGAACTCGTCACACGTCTCGATCACCAAATGCAAGCCCAAGAAGCCCAGTTCAAGGAGGAGTTTGAGAATGAGCGCGAGCGTCTATCACAATCCTACAAAGAGCGTCTCCAGTCTGAACTCCAGGCCGCACAAAAGGTCTACGACCAGAAGCTCAAGAACCAGCTCCTAGAGCAAAGCATCAACATGCAAAAGTCCTTTACCGCAAACGTCCGCGAACGCGTCGAAGCCGAACGTGACGGCCGCCTCGGCAAGCTCAACGAACTCTCGTCGTCTGTCCACGAGCTCGAAAAGTTGACGGGCGAGTGGAACAGCGTCGTCGACGCCAACCTCAAGACGCAGCATCTCGTCGTAGCCGTCGAGGCCGTCAAGTCGGCTCTCGAAACCCAAGCCACGCCCAAACCTTTTGTCACGGAACTGGCTGCCCTCAAGGAAATCGCGGCTGATGATCCCGTCGTCAGCGCGGCGATTGCTTCCATCAACCCACAAGCGTACCAGCGCGGTATTCCCAGCTCCGCTCTCCTCATCGATCGCTTCCGCCGCGTCGCGGCAGAAGTCAGGAAAGCGGCGCTCTTGCCCGAGGATGCGGGCATGGCGAGCCATCTTGCTAGCTTGGCCATGTCAAAGGTCCTGTTTAAGAAGTCGGGATTGGCGGTTGGTGCGGATGTGGAAGCTGTGCTGAGCAGAACAGAGGTTTTGCTCGAGGAAGGCGATTTGGATGCCGCGGCTCGTGAGATGAATGGCTTGCAGGGTTGGGCTAAGGTGCTGAGTAAGGATTGGTTGGGCGAGTGTAGGAGGGTGTTGGAGGTGAAGCAGGCGTTGGATGTTATTGCTACGGAGGCGAGGCTGAATAGCTTGCTTATTGATTAAGAGACAAGGCTTGATATGAGCTTCTTGATGGTTAGAGGAGGCGCCGAATGTGGGTTTTTTTATTTGCCCGTCCCTCTAACCCGCCCATTTGGTGGTTTGTTTTTTCCGTAGTCCGATACTACTGTAGTTTTGTAACAATACGAGTATTAGTCTATAGAAAAGCTGTTCTTTTTTGCTTGTTCTTGTTTCTGTTCGGAGGTTATTTCTGACAGTGTGGTAAATGTTAAGATTTGCACATTTGAAAGATGGGCTTGCTGATGTGATCGCAAGCCAGGGATGTTAATCATTCTGACTACTAAGTTGGGAAGATATGCTGTTTTTATGGTGGTTTTCTATATAGTGATGGGCATATAGCGCAGTTGTTGACATTCATGTCGCTGGGATGTATGATAGAGAGTGTTTGAGGAATAAAAAATAGGTTCTGCTGGAATTGCAGTTGCTGAGTGAGGACTGGGCGCTTATTCTATACAGGATAGAAGAATTAGTAAAAGATGCATCCAAGATGAGAACCAAGTGTCGGATGATGTTGTATCAACTAACACGGGAGTAGGCAGACTTGGCTTCGAGAAGCAACTCCAAGCCGTCGGCCCGTTCCGTCAGAGTATGGCAAGAGGTGGACTTGACTTCAACAAGCAACCTCAAGCTTTCGGCTCCTGGCCTTGTATCTACCATGCCAATAAGGGATGTCGCAAGTAATCAGGACTTCTGCGCCTCTGACGTCATTCGGAGGGTTTTCGAAACTGTCGTTGTTACTCGGAGGTTTTAGTGTCGGTAGAAAAAAAGAATCTCCCGCCCGCCTGGTTAGAGCGTAAAGCGGGTCAGGTGGCAGGGGTTTTTCTGTAACGGCACTCAGGCGTCTTATACTTGGGGCTTTTCTACCATTTTAGAGGACTGATTTGGCGAGGGATTTGGGGGGTTGGGTTGGGAGGGTTGTGGTTGCGTTGGGTCGAGCTCAGGCACCAGGCCTCTGAACGTGGGAAGCCATTGCGTCGGTCGTATACAATGCATATGATGCCAAGGCTTAAAGAGAGCCTTGAAAGATATGGGGTTGCATTCGGAAGGAGGAGCTTTTGCTATCCGTGGACTGTGGTTGATCAGTGGGTCGGTACAACGTCAAATGTAGCCACACGACTGGGTACAGATGACAAAGGGATTATCGATGCGCTTAGCACGGAAGATGTACTTAGATAAGAACCTGATGTTGAGGTTGCGTTGATGGAGAATTCGCTATAAGAACTGCTGTTCTTGTGTACACCAGATATTCCAGTCATCCATTCAACCACGATATCCTCAATATGTCGATTCCTGGACCATCGCGAATCCCTCATGTTCCACCGGAGCCATCGCTAGACGCACTTGTGCCGTCTTTGCCAGCGATGATGACAATCTCTCTGGGCGTCATGGTTGTACTCTCGGTCGTTGTCATGACCAGCGGTAAAGCGAAACCACCTCTAGCCAATCCTCCACGCTGGTATCAGACTGCACTTTTCAAACGACTGGAATTCCAACAGAATGGGAGGGCCATAATGAGCGAAGCCAGGAGGCGCTATGGCAAGCAACTTTACAGGTTGATTACTGATACGGGCGAATGTCTTATCTTACCTCCAGAGTATGCGGCTACGATTCGCAACTCAATGGATCTTAGCTTTGCAGAAGCAGTAGTGAGGGTACGTTATTTGATACCGTCGATACATGACGTCGGAGCTCATCAAGTATTAGATGTTTTCTGGACATGTGCATGGCTTCGAAATGTTCGCTGTCCTGCTACACGAGAAACGACTGGTACAAACCGTTGTGATGAAACAACTCACCAAATACTTGAGTAAGCAGATCAAGTAGTTGTGTAGAATATACCAAGCTAACGAATATCTTCCAAGACACATTGACAAAGCCCCTCTCAGAAGAAGCCACTTATGCGTGCGATGTGATATTTGGCAAAGATCCTGGTACGATGCATCCACCATTCTTCTCTGCACCAATTGATCACGCTCGTAGAATGGAAAGAAACAGTCATTGCAGACTCAATTCTTCAACTCACCGCCCGTCTGTCCACCAGAATCTTCCTCGGCGACACCATGTGCCGCAACGAAGCCTGGCTCTCAGCCTCAAAAGCCTACACCGTCAGTCAATTTCCCTTTTCACGAAAAGTGTTGTATTCGAAACGACAAAACAGACCAGGCATTACCATCAGACTAACGTAAAGGACTCCAGGCAACATGTTTCATCATGACTCTCAAAATGGCAGCACTCCCCCCCTACCTAAAATTCCTCGTTCCCTACCTTTCCTCGGAAGCCAAAACCGTACGTCAAAACGGAAACCTCTGCCGCGAAATCCTCACCCCATTATTCACCCAGCGCCAAGCGCTAAAAGCCGAGGCAAGACGGAACGGGCAGCCCGAACCCGTCTTCAACGACATGATTGACTGGTACGAGCAGGAAAGCAAGGGCACGAATTACGATCCAGCGCTTTTCCAGACTGCGCTGTCGTTTGTTGCGATACATACGACAAGTGAGCTACTGACACATGCCCTGACGCTATTAGCAAGTGAGCCGAAATACGTAGATGCGCTTCGAGAAGAGATTGTGCGGGTGTTGAGCAGTGAGGGGTTGACAAAGGGGGCGTTGGCTAATTTGAAGTTGATGGATAGCTGCTTGAAGGAGTCGCAGAGGTATAGACCCGCTGCGTATTGTAAGTTGCCAAAAACCCGTCTTTTATCTTTTTCTTGGAAAATGGCGAGGGAGCGCGCGAGAGAGAGAAAAGCAGAACAACAAATATAAACATGGACAAATCTAACGTTCAAACCAAACAGTAACAATGCGCCGCAAAGCCAAACGCACCGTCGTCCTCCCCAACGGCACCGTCATACCCAAAGGCCAACAAATCGCCGTAGACGGCTACCACATGTCCGACCCGGCCATCTACCCCGACCCCGACAAATACGACATCTACCGCTACTACCGCATGCGTCTCGACCCCAACCCCACCAAAGCCAGCCAAGCCCATCTCGTATCCACCGGCCCAGACAACCTCTCCTTCGGCCACGGCGTACAAGGCTGCCCCGGGCGGTTTTTCGCCGCAAACGAGATGAAGATTGCGCTATGCCATTTGCTGCTCAAGTATGATTGGGAGGTAGGTGAGCGATGTGATTTGTCGTCGAAGATTTTGTTTGGCGAGACGGAGGCGTTGGATAAGGGGAATAGGCTAAGGTTTAGGAGGAGGAAGGAGGGGGAGGTGGAGGTTGATTTGGAAGGGTTGGTGTATGTGTGAAATGGAGTTGTTTGGGAAGCTGGGAGTTGGGGCTATGAGACAGGCAAGCAAGTAAGCAAGCAAGCAAGCATCTTCGGGATGAGTAGGTGTTTGTTTCCTTTTCCGTGTTCCCCGCCCTTGTTTATCATCCCCTTTGCTCAATTTCTCTCACTGGAATGACAACGAATACAGACTCGTCATGTTTATGAGATCACTCCATGCCCCGTACTCTTACACTTTCTCATCCATCCGGAGAGAGCGTTGGACCTGGCCATCCTTATAACCCCTCCAATGCAAGAAGGTAAAATGGCCTTTACAGAATTCCATGACGCAACTTAGTGCGCGATAGTGTTGATGAGTGCGAAGTTCGGTACACTCGCAAGCAATATTGACCTTGTTTCTTCTTCACATACTTCTACACAATCTCGATGTTCCGAACGTGTTCTGAACGCAACTTCTCCCAAAGCTCTCCTTGCATAGCTCCTGTGACGATAGCGTCACCTACAACCTCATACTTTGCGTCAGGCTGCTTGCGCAGAATAGCAGGACTGCTGCAACCAGGAATAAGAAAAACTTCATCGTGCAGTCGCGCTCCTTTCGCCGCCCAACCGATCTGGTACTCTGGGCTGCCATCCAAGCACATCAAGCGCATGTCAAGTCTTGCCATCTTGTCCATTCTTTCCCAAAGTCCGACATCCCAGTAAGTCATACTCCAAGCATTCCATCCGTACATCAGGAAGCGATGTCTAAGCCGCGTCGCACTCTCCGCCAATGTGCTTGCGCCGGTGAAAAAGGCTCTTTTCCCACAGATCCATCTCACCAACTCGCTGTAGAGCATCTTTGGATCTGGAGACCCATGGCTGGGGATGAAAACCTTGACAAAGCTGTGCCCATGTATTGCACAAAGGCGCAAGTGAGATGCCCTGTAGGAAGATGGTTTGGGGTTTGGCGTGTAAAGTTCTTCAAGCATTGCTTCGTAGAACTCTCTACAGAGATGAGAGGAACTTATCTTTCTAGCCCAGGTAGCGTCGTGGACTGGAAATCCTATTTCCGTAGGGTCGGAAATTGTTGTTCCAAGACTGCGTATGGATCCAATCCGAACGGCAGGCGTCAGCAGACTCTGGCCATGGAAGGTCATACTTGACTCCGCTTCACTTGTCGCTCGCCACCGGGATTTGGAATCGATGTTCGATATCATGCGGATTAGTCGGCTTTCAGGAGGGAAGGAATCGAAATGGAACAGGTTTGGAGACCAGGTTGGTAAATCAGTGTGAGGGCAATGTGGGGCTAAGAGGATGATCTCTAACGTGTTTCTCTGGATGTAGGCGCGTGTGATTGCGACTGTCATTGTGTTCAGGTCGATTTTATAATTTGGCTCGGGCAAGTACTTCAATGCATCGACCGAAAGTCCAAGTAGGCCAAAGATACGATCATGTCTGACACCACACAATGACCCCTGGGTGATCTCAAGAAGTAGTAAAAGTTTCAGCGAAACCTCTTGCTGCCAATCCGTTCGGATTTTGAACACAGTGTTGACTTGTTTCCACCGATCCTTAACGGAACTTTGCGCGTTCAGCTTCTCGAGTAATGTCCGCAACTTGGTGGCCGCAATCGTACGATTCCCGATGAGGAATTCTATGTTATATCCAATCGCAAACTCTTGTAAGATCCAGATCCTTGTCCAGTAAGGGTCTTTAAAGAATGCTTCAAGCGCCGACAGAGCCAGTTCGTCGTTAAGTATATCGGCAAAACTGGTAGCGGGGTCGGTCGGATATGATGCTGTTTCAATGGAATCAAGTATTTGATTGATCCGGTCTGCAGCGGTCGTAGCTCCAGTTTCAGTAGCGACAATTATTGATTGTGCTCCAGAGTAAATGGCTCGCATGCGGATGACCTGGGCACTGCGTTCTATGTCGTCTTGCTGATTTGTGCAAATAGCATCAACCTAGATTTGCTATTAGCTCTCGAGCTGCTGAAGATCTGAAAGCCTCTTGAACTTACCCATACATATTCATATTCAAGAGCCCTTATTTCCCGCAGTATCTTGTCAAGGTTTGGGCTAATCAACATGGACGCACCATTTATGGCAATAGATACCGAAGCCTTCTCTACCCCCCATGTGTAAGACAAGGCTTTGTAGTTCTTCAATCGAGCAGACAGTAGTGGAAAGTGTACCAAGTCAGCTTCCACGCCCAAAGTTTCATCTCCAGATGGATAAATATGAAGCAAACGAATTGCGCCATCTATCAATGGAGAGTAGATTTTGCTGATCTCTTCGAGATTGAAGACAGGTGCTGGGTCATCGGAAAGCACTGGGTTGCTAGTAGCTGACTGAGACCGCTGCACATCCGTCATTCCATTCGCAATCTGCCCATTGGTCCCATGGCGTGACAAGGCCGCTATGGGTCTGCATCCAAAACCTTCATTCTCGGATTGCTTCCTGCCGCCTCCATTGATCTGTTTAATGTTGTTTTCAGTTGTATGTATAGTAGATGAAATAATCACTAACATATAAGCCTTAAAGAGAAACTTGCCCGACCGCTTGGAACGTACGGTTATTTGCAATATGACGACCAAAGCGATGTTAGCGGTGATGGATGCTATAGAAGGGATGTTCCCAGATGCCAGGGTACAACAATAAGTAGATATGAAGCAAGCGCATATCCAGGAAATCCAGAACATCGCCCTATGAGTTTCTTGCCATAAGTAAATACGAGATCTTTGGAAAGACATCCTGATTAACTGCTGTGTATGAGTCACGCGCTGGTGGAAGAGCTTGGAACAAGGAAATCCGAGCGCATGTGCACATACAAAAAAAGGCCTTTCGCGAGTGGTACCTGATGATGCAGAGATATAAAGATAAATCGTAAGGGCCAACCGTTTCAGTAATGTAGAACCACTACATTTGTAATGATTTCTAACACTTATCGCAGGTCGAGGCTACAGCGCATTAAGAACAGTCATCGGTGCATGCCATGTCCTGCACAGCTTACTCCATGTAAGGCTGAGATTATTTGAGGCGACAGGCTGACCAATGGCAGCGGCAGGTAGACGAGTGCTGCGCGTGAGTCTGGAGGCTGCGCAAGGCTATGGCGCATCGGAGAAAGCGATCAGAGTAAGCCACGTCTTGCATAGCCTGCTTCATGCAAGGCAGAGGTTATCAAAGGCTGTCGGTGAACTAAATAACGTCCGTTCCTGCGTCGCAGAACACTTTCCCTTCAGCCCCTTCGTCGTCAGTCCAGCGCGACTGCGCGAAATCGAGCTCGGCGCACTTTATCCCGCATACGTTGTTCCTTACAGATATCGGCCACGCATAATTCTAACCACCACTACTTCCGGACAGCAAACAGGCTACCACCACATCTTCGGCGACAACCAGAAATACTTTCGAACGAAGGGGAAAAATCGTTGGCTCTTTCAGCGTAGCGCGCGTGCCTTCCAAGGCTGTTGGCTTGACGTTGGGTGGTGCGCAATAGTGTTGATAATCGTTGTTATCGACGAGCGCATAGTTCGGTACACTTGCAGGCACGATATGGCTCAAGTCGAGCCGAGTGAAGTACCAATTTTTGATAAGGAACTGGTGAACAACAGCCTCTAGTTGATAGAACGATGTAGACAAAGGAAGTTGGCAAAGTGGATCCGTAACTTCGGGAAAAGGATTGGCTCTAAGGGTTGGGTACGTTGGGCCTTGGGGAGAAGCCTCTGGCGCAGAAGGGCACTAACCGCAAGACGGGCGCCTTCCAGCGCTGGGGTGCAGACACCCTTGGCAGGCTTCGGCCGTTCGGCGTACGTTCCATTGATGGCAACAACGTTGATGCGGTAGGTGGGAATGGCTCGTCGTCCATGGCTCGGCAGTACCGTCGGGTGAGACAGGATATACTACGGCGTTGCTTCGCGATATCGCAGCCCGGCTTCCAGCTCTTTCTGAAGCTTTGTCAGCACCCAAGTCTTGTGTATCTCGCTTCAGGAATTACCGGTGCGAGCGTTGCTGATTGGAATGGGGAATATGAGGGTGACGATATCGAGGACGAGGGTGATGACGAGAACTAGAGATGCCTAAGTATTGTCAGCGCCTTTCTCTTGTGTGTAACGTCTCGTGTTGAAAGCTACCTACTTCAACAATGTTGCATGCTGGGCAAGTGTTGCGAGAAGAAGTGTTGCGAGGAGAAGTGTTGCGAGGAGAAGTGTTGTAAGAGGAGGTCTTGTGTAAAGGAGTGGTATAGAGAGGAAATAGTCCAGAGCGAATTGATGTAGGGGAAATCACGACCACGTCGTCAGACGCTGCTAGTTGCATGGAGACTACCTAGAGACACAGTGCAGTCGCTCTACGCAAATGCGAAATGGAGTAAACTTCGCCAATCTTGCGCAGAACTTACAATCTAGACTCCAGTGAATCGACTCTCACCTCTCTTCCTTAGCCCACAAAATCTCCCGTTATACTGCTCTTTTACCATCAAGTTGCAAAAACGTTTCCGCCCCTTGGACAGAAAAAAGACCATGAACAAGGGAAAGAAACGGAACCAGGAGAGCAAATTGTCGAAATCATTAATTAAAAAAAGCTCAGGTGGCCCCAATATCTTCTCTGTCTCTCCTTCTCTCTTCTTGGAATACAAGGAAACTGATAACGACCGAACAAAACAAATCCTTACTCCTTATCCCCGCCAAAGGCCCATATATGTTCCAAAATGAACATAGTGGAAGATATAAGGAACACAGACACGCACATGCACACTATCCGGGCGATGGGCGTACATAAATTCCCCATGCCCAAGTTTACACAATCTACAGCATCATCTCCTTCCGCGCGTGCGATTCCGCCATGAAATCAAGTTCTAGCAGTTACACCCGCCAGGCCCCTGCGTCTGATTAGCCTCCGGCCTCAGATTAACCCCTTGACGCTGCTGTCCCGGCCTCAAGTTCCTCGGCCCCGTCGCCTGATCAATAGGCAACTTCTTCGCAATCGCCGTGAAAAGCTCTTTAACATTCTCAGCCGTCTTGGCCGACGTTTCAAAGAAGAGCAGACCGGCTTCTTTGGCGTACTGCTCGGCGTCGGCCGTGGAAATGGCGCGCTTATCGGGGGATTCGGTGACGAGATCGAGTTTGTTACCCGCGAGGGCGATGATGATGTTTTCGTTGGCTTGGCGTTGGAGTTCTTTTACCCAGGCTTTTGCTTTGTCTAGGGAGGCCTGGAAGTCACGGGCTATGTCAGTTTTTTTTTCTTTCTTTCCATCGCATTTATCAAGGCATGGAGGAAGGACGTACAGCCTGTGTGATGTCGTAGACGACTACGGCGCAGTTTGCGTTTCTGTAGTACATGGGCGCGAGCGACTTGTAGCGTTCTTGACCGGCGGTATCCCAGATTTCAAACTTGACGGTTGTGTTTTCATCGAGGGCGATGGTCTGGGTGAGGAAGGCGGCGCCGATGGTGGATTCCCGGTAGTCGTCGAATTGATCCTGGTCGGGTTAGCGGTTGAGCTCTCATGTCTTTGCGGTAGGGACATGTCGTACCTTGACGAAGCGCAACACGAGAGACGACTGCGAGGTGTTAGCTTATGTCATGGCTGCCTTGATAGGCTTGCGCACCTTTCCGACGGCGGATTCTCCTGGTGCTTGTTAGTCTATCTAGTTGCGCCAACAGTTTTGTTAAGAACAGATCGTACCCAGCAACACCAGCTTGAACTGTGCAAATCTAGAGCCTCCAGGCCGTTGACCTTGCTGCATCCTGGCCGACATGACGGGGGTGACGCGGCGCTATCGGGTGTAGGGTATTCGAGGCTGGGCGGTGGAAGGGTGGAAGCGGTGGAAGCGGCGGACAGACTGTCGAGGGCAGTCGGTATATCGGGCTGTGGGAGGGGATATGTAGAGGCGTGGTGTTGGGGTGAGGGTGAAAGAGCTGGTGGGTGCTGTGACGAGGTGCTGCGTCCCGGTGCTTGGCCCTAGCGCACGAGTCGGGGACCCTTGGCCGCAATGGCCGCCATGACGAAACCCTGGAACAGTCCGTCGTCGAAAACACGACGTATCAAACAACTACTCCACACGACTCCAGGACAGAGCTCCACGCTCTTCAGCCTATAGTCACCCGCCGCCATGAGTGTCGCCCTCCCTTACCGCGACATCAATGTCCACTCTTCGCCCTCGCACTACGCCTTCTCCTCGCCATCGTCGCCCTCAGCCCCTACCCTCGTCGTCGACCGCCCGTCAGGTGACATCCGCCTTCATGATGGCAAGCTGCTGGGCTCCAAGAGGGTCTCGAGCATTGCTGGCATCCTCGGCATGATCAAGCTGCGACTGGGTATGCGCTGCACTTCTGGCGACACGAAAGCGAATGCTGACATGTGAAGACAAGTACATCATTGTCATCACAAAGGCCCAGCCCATGGGTAGGATCAAAGGCCACATGATTTACAGAGTCGTCGCTACCGAGTTCCTCTCCCTACGCGAAAAGCCGCTGCACGATGCCGACGAAGATAATTACCTCAGTCTCCTCAAGACGCTCATCAAGACCAGCCCGCTCTTCTTCTCCTACTCGTTCGACATAACAAATACGTTCCAGCGCCAGGCCCACCTCGACCCCTCGACCCCCCTGTGGAAGCGCGCAGACAACCGCTTCTACTGGAACCGCTTCGTGTCCAGCGACCTCATCGACTTCCGCGGTGGTCTCAGTGGCGGATATGGCAGGCACTCGAGTGGCCACCAGCCGGGCGCAGACCCCTACATCCTGCCCGTCATGTACGGCATGTTGGAGATTAAAAACACGTCTATCAAGGGCACGCCGCTCACCTTTATCCTCATCACGCGCCGCTCGCGCCTCAAGGCAGGCACCCGCTACTTCTCCCGCGGCATCGACGAGAACGGCAACGTGTCCAACTTCAACGAAACCGAACAGACCATCATCCTCAACGACAACGCATCAGGCGGCCCCGGCGGCTTCGGCTCCAACCAGAACCCGTCCAGCACGGCGGGCAAGGAGACTCAAGTCCTCGCTTACGTCCAGACCAGAGGCAGCGTACCCGTCTACTGGGCCGAAGTAAACACGCTCAAGTACACGCCCAAGCTGCAAATCCGCGGCATCGACAACGCCCTCCCCGCCGCAAAGAAGCACTTTGCCGAACAAATCCGCCTCTACGGCGATAACTGGATGGTCAACCTCGTCAACCAAAAGGGCCGCGAGCAGCGCGTCAAAGAAGCCTACGAGCAAATGGTCAACCTGCTGCACACGTCGCCTTCGGAAAACGTCCAAGGCGACCGCATCACGTCGGAGAAGTTCCACATTATCGATCCGGCAAAGGCGCAAACCGTCTACGATCGATTACATTACATTTACTTTGACTTCCACAACGAAACAAAGGGTCTCCGCTGGGACCGCGCTAAGCTCCTGCTCAACCAGCTCGAACCGCACATTCTGCGCCACGGATATTTCTGTGGCGTCGATATGCCGGGCGATGGGTCGGGTGTGGAAGTCCGCCGCCACCAGACGGCTGTCGTGCGCACGAATTGCATGGATTGTCTCGACCGCACGAATGTCGTGCAGAGCATGCTGGGGCGCTTCGTCCTGTCACGCATGTTGATTGACCTCGGTCTCCTGCGCGAAGGCGAGTCGGCCGAGGAGGATAAAGACTTTGAGTTTCTGTTCCGCAACGTCTGGGCCGATAATGCGGATGTTGTGTCCAAGTCGTATTCGGGCACAGGCGCACTCAAGACTGATTTCACTCGACTGGGCGTGAGGACCAAGGCGGGTGCGTTGCAGGATTTGAATAATAGTATTACGAGATATTGTCTCAATAACTTTGCTGATGGGCCGAGACAAGATGGGTTTGATCTCTTCTTGGGTAATTATCTGCCGAGCGATGGGGTTGGGGGTGGACAACTTCTCTTTGCGGATAGACGGCCACTGTTCATTCAGTCGATACCGTATATCTTCGCTGCGGCCGTCTTCTTCATACTCGTCGGCAGTCTGACGCGGAGAGCGCCTGATGCTGCTGTCTGGCCTTTGCGTCTTCTCCTCCTTTTGTCTCTTCTGACGGCTGCGGCTTGTCTGAACTTTATGTGGGGACATGGTACATTATACGTAAGTTTTTTCTCCGTCTCTTTTCCTTTCTCTTCTTGTCTTTGTCCATTCCATCTGCACCATCGTCCAGGGAGCTCTCTTTTCTTCCTTTTCCTTCTCGCAAAAACGGCTTGCTAACTTCCTCTCCTCACTCAAACAGGTCAACTGGCCTAAACTAAACCGACAACCCCCGCAAATTGAAGCTTTCCAGGAGACGCTACAGAAGGTCCGGAACCATCCTGTTGTGGGACCGTTGGTTGGGGGTTCGGCGAAACACGAGAGGGGCAAGAGTGATGCGAGGTTGTTGGGACTGGAGGAGGGGAAGAAGAGGATTGAGTAGATGGTTAGCTATTGTGGTTCTTGTAAAAAAAAAAAAGATCGAGATGAGGGGGTGAGGTGAGCCGTTGAAAGACAAGAAGGAGAAGAGTGAAGTGTCTATGAGTCTTTTCGGATGTATAAATAGTTTTTTCTTTCTTCTTTCCTTTTTTTAATATTGGTAGAGAAGGTATAAGAATAATCTTTACAGTGGTCCTCTAGGGTATAGAGGCATTCTATAACAGGGTACCCAAGTAGAAATCTATTTGTGCTTTCTAAGCCTCACGAATACCGTTATAACTATACAGAAAATCGTACTTGGCCATTCTGTCCTCCCAACTGACTTCACCGGCCATATTACGGGTATCTTCTTGAACTTGCGTTGCTCGGGGTCTCCTCAGACTATCGATCTGCTTTAGAGCTTTCGGAACATCTCTGGGCTCCACCCCTTCAAGCAAACAGAAGCTCTCACCATCTTCGACAGCCTGATTAGCTCCTTGACCTTGCAGCGGTGGCATTGCATGGGCGGCATCTCCGATCACAATTGCACGGCCCCGAGTCCAAGTAGGTAGAGCATCAAGTTCCTGTAGTTCCCAATATTTTACTTCTGTCGCGATGCTTGAAAAGAAGATGTGAGCAAAAAGTGAAACTCTGTTTGAGGGTGAATGAACAGGATAAAACGTTACTTACCTAAGAATCTTGCGGAAAGACTCCTCAAAATCATGAAAAATCTCTATAATCTCTTCGCTGTTCGCCTCCGCATACCATGAATTGGTTCTGTTGCTTTGCTTCGACATACGGGAAGGAAAGATGCATGAGAAGTTCATGTACTCGTGATGACGGAGTGGATACGCGGCAACAAAGCGGTCACTACCATCATTGAGTATGCACACCCGATTCTGAGCTGTGGTTGGCTCCCACCAATGAGGAAGAGAGCCACCAAGCACTTCTTTGACAGCGTCTGCAGAGGCGGCAACGCGGTAACATGATAATCCCATCGTCTTAACTTGGATACTATCATCGCAAAGAATACGATTACGAAGACGTGAATGTACGCCGTCGGCCACTGTGAGTTTTCCCATTAGCATCTTCTCGAGGGTTCATGCAAATCTCGCGCGGTGTGATAATACTAACCAATGACGACGTCAGCCTCAGCGGTTGTTCCATCTCCTAGCGTTATTCTCCCTTCCTCCGCATCCAAATCGACAACTTTAGTGTCGTAGACTATGTGTGCTGGATCACCTTGAATCTTCAACTCGGCAGAAGGTGCAGTCGCGAGCGTCATGAGCTCATCCCTAAAGTCGGATCGTTTTTGCGTCAACTGATCTGCCCCATACCTTGTCTTCAAGTCGACTTCGTGGTCCTTCTTAACGTTGCCTTCTTTATCGTAAGACCGATAGCCATAGATCGGCACTGCGCCTGCCTTTTCACGATCGTATCCGATGCGCTCGAGGATCTTGACTGCGTTTGGAGAGATGGAGATGCCTTGTCCGCCAGTTGCAGCGGTCTGGTCTCCACGTTCGTACACGGTGACATGGTGGTGTTCGCGGAGGATACGTGCCGCGGTCAGTCCTGCTAATCCTGAACCGACGATAATGACTCGAAGTTTGTTCTGATGATCCATATTCTAGGTGAGAAAGGGTGAAAACGAGAAGTGGATAGAAGTTCCAATGCCGATGTAATAGATCTTGTGGCTTGCAGTAGTACTTATTAACTGAAGAAAGAGTTATCTCATGTGCTGTTATTGGTACTTTCTATACCCACTAGCGTACTGCCTATATAGTCAGAATCCTCCGTAGAATTGATTGATTACTCTTATATCCCAACATTAACGGACGCTAAAGGGTCCCAATTATTCATTTCTAAGCAACAATTCTAGGATAGTTATGTCGCAATCATCGGTTATGAACAACAAAGACCGACTCCAATCACGGAGAAGTCGGAGAAGTCGGAGAAGTGGGCATCGGCTCCGAAAAAGCGGAGGAAGCGGAGTGAAGGGTACATCATTACCACCGAGAAACCTAGTTCCTTATGACCTGTCCGCGTGTTGCGCTAGACAGTCTTCGACCCTTTCGCGACTGATACACTAACCGTTTCCCAGACACTGCGATGGTTTGAGCATCTTGCTATACGGTGTGTCAAGAGGGGGTTGAGTAATCGAAGAGATGGCTTAGAAATTGTACAGTTGTGATCTTGGATGCGAGTGTGGTTCTGAGGACGTATAAGTCCAAGGGCCTCGCTGCTGTCGGTTGAACTACTCAACCTTCCCCCAGATACAACGCATTGATCGATCCGGCTTTTCAATCAAAAACAACAAGCGAACCAATTTCTCGACATTGTACCTACAGCCATTATGGTCAAGATAGTATTTGGAGGAAGTGCTTTCATGAGCGGGGCAGCCCTGGGCAGCCCTGACATCATGAACAAGGTGTTTGACGCTCTGCTCACCTCTGGTGTCACCACAATTGACACAGCCCGCCTCTATACCGGCTCAGAAGAAGCCATCGGCAAGCAAGAGAAGCGCACACAGTTCGCAATCGACACCAAAGTTCCCGGCGGCTTTGTACCCGGGTCAGCGCGCAAGGACACGATAGTCTCGCACGTCAAGGAGGCTATTCAAAAGTGCGGCATCAAGCAGTTCGACATAGTGTACATGCACTCGCCCTCGGCCGACGTGCCACTCGAAGACACCCTCGCTGGTATCAATGAAGCCTACAAACTCGGCTTCTTCAAACGCTTCGGCCTGAGCAACTATGCGCCGCAAGACGTGCAGCGCGTGTACAACCTCGCAAAGGAAAAAGGCTATCCGCTCCCTGAAGTCTACCAAGGCAACTACAACCCTATGGCGCGCCACCTAGAGAAAGACTTGTTCCCCGTGCTGCGCAAGCTGGGCATAGTCTTCTATGCCTATTCGCCGCTCGCGGGCGGATTCTTGAGTAAATCCGCCACTGATCTGGATGCGGGCGCGGGCCGGTTTAATAAAGACGTCATGGGTGGTATGTACAACGACATGTACAACAAGCCATCTCTGCGCGAGGGGCTAAAGTTGTGGAGTGCGATTGCGGAAAACGAGGGCGTGACGAAGGCGGAGTTGGCGTACAGGTGGGTAGCACATCACTCTGCGCTGACAGATGAGGATGGAATTATTTTCAGCGCGAGCTCATTAGACCAGCTTATTCAGACGGTAGGGAGCATTCGGAAGGGCCACTTGAGCGCCGAGGCAGCGGAGAGCATTGATGCGTTATGGGAGACTGTCAAGGCTGAGGCGCCAATGGATAACTTCGTCTGGTTGCAGGGACAAAAAGGTTTAGAAGTTGGAGACATACAGAATAGTGTGAAGTTGTGATGAGCAAGCCAGTAGTTGGAAAGACGTGTCGAACATACTCTTCATCAATAATCTTCCACTTGACCCTTGGTGCTCGAGAAGCGGACTCTTGAGACGTGACCTATAGCCATCCACTTGGGAGTTCACAGTGTATTCCCATCCTCTATCGCCACCTGCCTGAGAGGACATTCCCAATCCGACTCGGATTGGATGGATTTTCGTGGGAGCGATACTATATACTTGGGGCTTGCGAGTGTACCGAACTTCGCACTGATCAACATCATCGTGTACTAGGTTGCGTCACGGGATTCCGTAAAGGCCATTTTACCTTCTTGCATTGGAGGGGTTATGAGAATGGCCAGGGCCAAACGGAAGCCGCCGTGGGAAGGTGCCATTTCATCTGTTGTTCTTGGTGCCTGTCGCACCCACTAGCGTATCGCCTATGTAGGAAATCCTCCAAAGATTCAATCCATCACACTTTTACGACGACCTGCTTTTATTCCGTGGTCATATCCATGGATGGCAACCGCGCTGCCCAATCGTGTTCGTTGAATTATTTCATCACACTTTTGCTCAAACAGCCGCGGTACTCATGAGCGAGAAAACCTACTCGTTGTCCTTTTCCGTCTTGTGGCTATGTCTTTTCCAACAAATTCAGAGTGTACAATTATTTTCATTGCTCTGCGTAGCGCTCATTGGCTGACATGGACTGTGGGGCCTCCATCCAACCTTGGAAGTTGGGCTTAGCCGATTACCAAACTACTGTTCATCCATGGCGACCAATACTATGCCAGATGTCCGAAGACAGATCACACGAGAACTATGGGAGAAAGGCACTGCCTCCCACAAAGAATAGTTGCTCTAAAGCATAAGAGCCTTCCTCCCTTCGAGGTTAAACTTTACCTTACTCATTCCGCTAATCTTCCAGAACAGTCAGATTCTCACGAGATACCGCATCGAGATTACAACAAACACCGGCAACCACAACCTTACGAAGATCATGGAGATCTTTCAGGTCCTGTTTTACATGTGGCTGCTTTTCGCAGACGTTGCCCTCGCCATTGCCAATGCCACGGTCGCGTTCAGCGACCATCCTCACCCATCTCAGAGGCAATTCTCAGCCGGCGAACTCTCCGAGAACTCGCTTGCTTCCACCGGTATATACTCAAGCTGTGACCTTGAGGTTCCCAGTAATATATCTTGGCCCTACTTTCGGGGCCTGGTGGCCAATTGTACCCGGGTCCATGTGGATCTATTCCGTCGTGACTACCGGTACACGACATTCCCGCTATACCTTCGCGATAACTTCACCCCTGATCTACCACCAAGTTCAATGACCTGCGACAGTGTCGGGGAGTGTTCGTTGACGTCCTGTCAATTGCTGAACCCAGAGTTGTCGCCATACGAAAGACAAATGGCATACTTTGTCTTCGAACAGATATCTGGTATCGATCATCTCTTTAAGAGCCAGCGCGAGGCTATGCGCGAAGGCGCGACGTACACTGACGGCCAGATCCCTGAACTTATCAGGACATATAGCGCTTCGCCGCGCATAGAGAGGCAACTCCAGAAGAAACTCATGGATCTGAGAAGGTATGAGAAACTAGCAATGGCTATTGTTGGAGGAGCAGGATTAATGGCTGGCGGAGTAATGGCGCTTCCCGTGTTCGGTATCGCAGCGACGACCGGAGTTGCGATGACAAACTTATTGACAGCTACCTACGTCTCGGTTGTTGGTTGGTTCAATGCCGTTCGTCCTGATCCCAGACACATCAGTTCCAATCTAGAAGAGAACATACACTCGTCGCTCAACGAGTTCCGCCATGCTATGATTAGCAATGAAACGTTTGGCATGCAGTCGATCATGGGGCATCGACCTAACACACCTGGTCAAGATCTGGTAGATGTCATAGCAGGTGAATACTTCTTCAGGAGAGACGAAAACGTCCAACAACCTCTCCAAGAGTCGTTCCTCAGGACAATCTTTTCCACCACTCTCAATGGAATCTGGGCACAGGAGAGATCATACATTGTTCAGGCAAATGTACAGACTGGATATTGTGAGTGGGATACGCGTGGACCTCAAGAGAACAGAGCTTGCTTGCCAGACCATCCAAACTCTGTATACTACATGTATGCCCTCGAAGTCTCTAGGGAGTACGATCATCGGCAAAATGACATGGCCCTCATCCACGGCCCTACTGGCTATCGAAACTTCGACTCGAAATCAGGGCGGCCTACCCCACACGGCATCACCAAAGAGGATATCGTTCGTTCCGCAATATTTGTTCATGAGAACAATCTGCAAGACGCCATACGCAACCGGGACTACCACACAATATCCGAGGCTGCGAAGCGCGATCGAGCGATGGGCAAGAATCTTGGAAAAGTTCCAGGTGGTTTTAGCTTACCAATCTGTGTAAACCCAGGCGGCGAAGCCATCTCGAGCGATTGGGACAAGAGAGCTCGCAACTACCCATGCATGTGCGGCAACTTTGGCTGGAACGACGGTACATGGACCTACCAGGCAGACGAGACTGAACCCTTCCTCGTTCACACTGGTCTCATGTATTCCGAAGACTGGGAACGCTTTTGCCATCGCAACGGGGAATGCAAAGGAGTCGAGTGGGACAGACTACATGAGAGATTGGACCAGCAGCGTGAGCCGGGTGATCCACAGATTTCAAAAAATTTGAAGCATCTTTTCGGTCGATGTAAGCAGGATACCGAACACGGAGCAGGGAAGGCTTGGTACGACTTTTCCAGAAATCCTCCTTTGGGACGATCGGTGCGCGACACCTTTGTGGCTTTGACGAAGAAGATCTTCAGGCGGCATGAATGAATTGATTTGCAACGTTGCGTGGAGGGGTGGGCGAGTGGAAGATGCTGAGGAAGTGGACCCTTTGTATGATCCTGAAAAATTGTTCATGGTTTTATGTATGCGACATGGTCACTTGCGTAGTCATTTGCGCAAGAGCCGTGTTCTAGCACCGGTGTCACGAGAAGGTGGATTCATCGGGAGATCAGCACGGGTACTACCAGGTGGAGACATGAGACTTGCACGCAGTGGCTGCCGAATGAAGTAGTTCTATGAACATCTTGCGCTTAACATTAGCATGAGTCGCCATTCAGCCATGTGGTGACTGTCCTTCGTAGGAGCTCATGTATAACTTGTAAGACTCAGCGCCTACTACCTAAACAACATCAGGGCTGAAGATGTAAGGATGTAGTAATCCATTGGCGTTTTGTTACACATACCTACGTAAATACACCTCGTTGTGCAAACACCTTTAGCCATTTTGCGCATCCAACATGCGTTGCCACCAACTATCCCTGACATGTATCACGACAAAGCTGCTACTACTAGTTGTCAAAACCTCTGTTTCGTCCACTAGTGCTGAACTCATTGGGAATATGAAAAAAGGCATGCTGGCTGCATATGTTACCCACCATAGCGGATCGCATGCAAGCACCCGTAGTCTAGGACCGGCAATGGGAGCGGCAAAATACATGGGCGAGTGTTGTGCCTGACTCTCAGTCTCTTTAGTCCGTCTGAACACAAGGAGTAGCCTGGCAAAAACTGTGTATCAAAAGGGCCGATGCAGCGCGTCAGATAGAATGGCTTGCGCCATGGCGTAAAACTCACACGTGGCCGGAGATGCGAATTGAGAATCGGCTGATCCGAATGAGGAACATGGCATGATTCCTTTTGCTCAACGTAGAAGGCTCACGGTCGGTGTTTCTTGGTCTCCTGCACATTGGACGCCTTATTTTGCTTTTGTTCGCGGAGCGTGCGTTGTTGATGGATCTGCATTTCTACCAAGAATTGAGGGGGCCGGGGCCGAATCATGTTCCTGGCTTGGATCATTGCTACAGATGAGATAAACGAGAGAACCCCAATCAATGCGGGTGCATTGCGTACTCTTGCTGCAAGAAACCCCATGAATTTATTGCGCGTACCTGCTATGATATCGCATTGGGCCTGAGGGAGTCGCTGAGCCGGTATTGCAACGGGCATAACTGGATGAGAATTGAAGACCGTGCCATGCCGTGCACCGTCTCGAGAGCACGCCGCACTGCTCAAGCCTCGCGATCAGCTGGCAGCCTCGCAGAGCCACCCTTGTCTCGGGAGCCTCATGTCGAGTCAGGGGCCTGATCGTGAATGCCTCGCCGATGCGGAGGATTTTGCATATGGGTCCAGCGGCACGGCTTTCGGAACCGAGATAAAAGTAAAGGATTCTTTACACTCACATGTAGGCGTCATAGGTCGAAGATTCAGTCAAGGCTCTGGTCGTACACCGCACCTCAGTCATCAAAAGGTGAGTGCTGTGAAATGCGACGGCACGCGTAAGCTGCAGTACCTTGGTGTCGGCGTATTACGCACTGCACCCAGTAACACCAAAACCGCATGATCTATCGATATTGTTGGATAATGGCAAGACTCAATGCCACAGCCATTCCGCTGTCAGCCAGTCCCTGGTTCCCGTTACGGCGGTGCCTCCGGAGATAGTTGCACCAGGAGGTGCTGGGAGAGCAAAGTGCAGGTGGCACAGTCGTCGTGAACTCAGCGGATCGCAATTAGATCAAGGTGGCTCCGCAATTTTAGGTTTGACGATGGAGACTTACTGTGGGCGGACATCAATGGATCGCTGCAGGGTGACATAGATCCGGGTCTAAGCCTGATACGGCGCCCGCTAGTGTTGGGCGCCTGATCGGAGCTGCACGGAGTCTCTGGCTTACCTTCCCTCCAGAACCACTGAACCTTTGAACAACATCATGTTTCGCGCCGACTGCTACTTTCAACACATGGTTTCAGGGTCTGGAAACTCTCGATGACACACCCAGACCCCCGTTATTGCCGGACTGGCTCAGATGGTGCCTGCCAAATGCTTCCGACATGGCCAAGACCTAGTTCCCGTAGCTACAGGTTGCACGACTCGAACGAAAACCCTGAGACATGACCGCGTCCTCAGGCAAGGAAAGTCCATTTTCGCTGCTGTGGCGGCATTTCTCGTAGTGTGGCGAGGCGGAGATTGGGTTCCGGTTCTCCAGCGATAGCCATGGAGCACACCCCTTTGCTAAGGAACCACAAGAGACTACTCCACGAGGCGATGAAGATGCAATTTGAATGCCTGGGCAGATCTTGATAGTAAGAACGCGTCTAGGTGTTGGCTATGATGCCTGGATGGTGCGGTCACGCAGAACCATTCGTTGTGATTCTCGGTTCCACACTTCGCGGAGAGTTTGTGCGCCACACGTAGCACCCCGCTGATACGCCAGATTATTGTGCCTAACGTACGGTCCGTGTACCAGCAAAGCTTCGAAGCCAGTGCGACACCAGCGTCGTAACGGTAGCCAAAGCTCCAATGTGCGCTTCACGACATGGATGGAGCTAACGGCCATGTGCTGCAAAGCCCCACTCTCCACTGAACATAACATCGAGGCCCTGTGCTAGTTCCGACCCGCGTCCTCGATCTTGTCTCTTTGATCTTGCCCGCCTACCTGCAGCTCGTCAATCGTCTACGCCCGCATGTCTCGCATACTCCCCCGGGCAGGCCCAAGATAATCCAGTATGCAGCTGCCACCAGTGGATATCCTCTTGTCCTGGCCTACTCCAAATTACGACAACCCAGTCACGCGTGGCCCTGCACTTGTCATTGTCAACTCCATCTTCATATCGCTGGCAACAATCACTGTTGCTGCTCGTATATATACGCGTATAGTAATAAAGAGATGGTTCGGTATTGATGATGTTTTCATCCTGCTTGCGCTGCTCTTCACGCTCGGTCTCACTGCTGTTGTTATCCTAGCGAATCAAAGATTCGGGTGGAATAGGTAGGCATCGCGCATCGCTTCTGCCCAAGACATTGCTGACTTATCGCAATAGACATGTATGGGATATACCCTTTCCCATGTTCGTGCCAACCTCAAAGATCGCCATGACGGCCAAGGTCGTGTTCGTAGCGGCGGCGACCTTCACGAGACTTTCTCTACATTGCTTCTATTACCGACTGGTCACAGACACTGGAAAGTCGTAAGTCGCCATTGACATGGCTCACAAACTCGACGTACTGACAACTGTGCGATAGCTGGTTTAAATGGGCGATCCACGCCAACGTCGCCTATACGATTGGCCTCTTCATATCATGGACGTTCATCGGCATTTTCTTCTGCACTCCCGTGAAGAATTACTGGACCATCGGTGCTCCCGCAGACACCTGCATGGACGAAGCGGTCATGACCCTCATTTGCGGCATCATGAGCTGTGTCGCAGATCTTCTTACCACGATAACGCCGATACCCTTGGTTCTTGGTGTAAGTTGATTTGAACATTCCAAACACGAGACTGCGGTTAACAGTGTTCAGCTCCATATGCGGCTCCGTGAGCGCATGGCTGTAGCATCGCTATTCGGTATGGGATTGATCGTTACAGGTGCCGGCATCGTCCGTACATGGTATATCTACCGAAGCCTCTTCAATGAGTACGACCAGACCTGGTACGCATATCCACTTTGGATTGCAGCTGCAGTGGAGATTGATTTGGGAGTGGTAAGTTTCGCATGTCCGAACTTTGCAACGATTCTCACCAAGAACAGATATGCGCCTCGGCCCCCGTACTCAAACCACTCTTCGCGAAGATACCCTTCAGTCTTTCAAAATCACTCTCAGGTGGCATATCCTTCAAGAAATCGGCCGGTGATTCATCGAAGACGCTAACCGCCAATCCGTCAGCGTCAAATGGCTCGAGGCGACGATCCGCAGCACCCCGCAGTGTACCGGAACTCGCAAACGACAAAGGACAGAGCTATGAGATGAAGCATTGGGCTGATACGGAAGGCGACCTGGAGCGAGGCAGTAGTCAAGAAGCGATTTTGGAAGAGGAGGAATCGCCAAAGAAGGGCATGTCGCGTCTTTGGGGCAAGATTAAAAGAAGTTCGGCAGAAGAGCTGGATTCGGATATGACAATTACGGTGGAACGCGAGGTGGAACTACAAGTCGAGTCGGGACAAAGACGTCCTTCGCGATACGCGACCCATGGAGACCTCCACGAGAACCACATGCCGTTACCACCATTAGCGCCAAGATCTCGCGGACACGATCGGTGACGCACGACAAACTCATGATCGTGACGGGCGCGTCTGATTGGAATCGATTACGATGCGCATGAAGAGCATGTGTGCCTTGCTCCCATGCGGAATCACGAGCGGAATTCCTGCGGCGCTATATTTCTGGTGGCTTCTTTTTGCATCGCTTTAGCATATGATACCATGTTCAACTACCGTATAAGGAGTTTGTCGTTAGACTTTGAAGTAACTCAATGGGGCCTGGTCGTCCTCATATTGACGATAAGCTGACAGCACACATGATTCAATGCATTGCCATGATCGCACATGCGTGTACTCAACCCGGGCTTGGTTGGACGTCGATGCTTGACGGCTCACACTTATTCAGAATTCCGGACCTCAATGACGCCATCACGAATCTTATCATCTATTTTGACGGCGCTTTGTCTCCATACCAGAGTAGCTTTGTTCTTTGCGAACTCTTTCTGGTTTTGAGACCATAGATCTACCGCATTTCAACTTACCCGGCGAACATCGGCCACGCCAACTGAGGAAAACCCATCATCCCAACAAGGCAGGCGCCAAGAATAAGCAGAATATAAGCGGTCGATTTACGGTTTCCCGGACTCCTTCCATCGTGGGACCGCTACTGGTGTATTTCAGAATACATGAGTCCACTAAAGAGGCGTTTCGAAACCACCTACTACGTCACTCTCGTACACCTACACAACTACCAGAAAGCTTGGAAGAACGGCAAAGTGGTTGCAAACAGTATATCGATCTAGCGGCCAGTCGCGCAAAGTCTAGAATATGGAGCGTTGTGAACTATAGAGGATACCAACCGATTCTCCATGGGAAGTTACGTTCAAATGTTTAAACGCATCGGAGCTTACCCCGGGCTTGGAACGCCTGTTTACGAGCGCTAGCTTCGGTCTTGTCTCTCGACAGATGTTCCTCGGCAAAAGCTTAAATCTTCCGGCACTACAACCGTACTACGACCGTAAACCCTGTCATCCCCGCAAAATATACACCAAAATCTTGGGGAGGCACGCCGCGGAAAACCTGGAGTTGCAACCTCGTGACATATTAGCGCTCGTAAAGGTACATGCTTCGTCGCTGTTGGAGGGAAAACTCCATACCCCGGATATCGAGCTTCTATTCTCATCTAGTGTACGGACGGAGAGTTGCAACGATTTAGATGACCATGTCAACAACGATGCAACGCCATTTGTTTAAATATCGCCCATGTACAAACCTTTTGGTTGATCCAGACGATCAATCCTCTTGTGCCAATCGCGACAAAACCCAGACATGCCTTCACAAAGGAACACCCTCGTTCTAGGCCTTGCGGCTACGGCTTCGGTTGTTACCGCTGGACCCTGCGATATCTACGCCACCGGCAATACCCCTTGCATCGCTGCTCACAGCACCACCCGCGCCTTATACAGCTCTTTCAGCGGCTCCCTCTACCAGGTCAAGCGCGGTTCTGACGGCGCTACCACCAACATCGCACCTCTGTCTGCTGGTGGTGTTGCTAATGCAGCAACGCAAGACAAATTTTGCGCTAACACCACTTGCCTCATCACCATCATCTACGACCAGTCTGGTCGTGGCAACCACCTCACACAAGCTCCACCAGGAGGCTTCAAGGGCCCGGAAGCTAACGGCTATGACAACTTGGCTGCAGCTGATGGTGCACCAGTCACGCTAAACGGCCAGAAGGCGTATGGCGTCTTTGTAAGCCCGGGTACTGGCTATCGCAATAACAAAGTGAGCGGTTCGGCGACTGGTGACGCAGCAGAGGGCATGTATGCTGTGCTTGATGGCACGCATTACAATGGCGCATGTTGTTTCGATTATGGAAACGCAGAAACCAACAACCTCGACACAGGTAAATGGCACAAAACGACACCTTCAATCCCAACTAACAAATGCCGCAGGTAATGGACACATGGAAGCCATCTACTTTGGCGACAATACCGTCTGGGGCTCCGGTTCCGGCAGTGGACCCTGGGTCATGGCCGACCTAGAAAATGGTCTTTTCTCCGGCGCGAACCCAAAGAACAATCCTGCCGACCCTTCAGTATCCTACCGCTTCTTGACCACCCTCCTCAAGGGCGGAGCAAACAAGTGGGCTATCAAGGGAGGTAATGCTGCCTCTGGCGCACTGTCAACATACTACAATGGCGCGCGCCCCAGTGCTTCAGGCTACAACCCCATGAGCAAAGAAGGCGCCATCATTCTCGGTATCGGTGGTGACAACAGCAACGGTGCTCAAGGAACCTTTTACGAAGGCGTCATGACATCCGGTTACCCAACCGATGCAACGGAGACCGCGGTCCAAGCGAACGTCGTTGCGGCGAAATATGCAACAACGTCCTTGACTAGCGGCCCGGCATACACAGTCGGTTCTTCGATCTCGCTCCGTGCGACAACAGCTGGATACACGGACCGGTATCTCGCGCATAATGGCGCGACAGTGAACACGCAGGTTGTGTCTTCGAGCAGCACTGCATTGTTGAAGAGACAGGCTAGTTGGACAGTGCGCGCTGGTCTTGCGAACAGTGCTTGCTTTTCGTTCGAGTCGAAGGATACGGCTGGGAGTTATATTCGTCACTACAACTTCGTGTTGCAGGTGCAGGCGAGTGATGGAAGTAAGGCGTTCAAGGAGGATGCGACGTTCTGTCCCCAGACTGGTTTTTCTGGTTCTGGTAGTTCGATCCGCGCATGGGGGTATCCCACTCGGTACATCAGGCATTTCAACAATATCGGGGATATTGCGAGTAATGGGGGTGTTCATGACTTTGATGCTCAGGCGTCGTTCAATGCTGATGCTACTTGGACACTTGAGAAGGGGTTGGCGTAGAGTGTTCATAACCGTGGTGGAATGGATGCTGGAGCATCAATGCTCGCGTAGCTAAAGTAGTTGTTTCAAATGACAATGCTAGGTAGTCTTCATACGATCTCTTTTCTTCGCAATATCTGGTGGGAGCTAATCTGCGATCTTAGTGCAATCCTAGGCAGTTACTGATAACACTCATACTCGCCCCTCCGCCCTACGTGCTGCTTCCATGAGCATCTTTGCCTGAAGTGGAACGTTTGTAACCTGACCTGCGAAGATCTCGTCAATAGAGATCTTCCTGCCATAGAACCTTGCGTTCTCGTTGTATCTCTCGATGACGATAGTCGTGTCCAACTGAAGCCCACAGTAGACTCCTCGGCTCTTCATATAAGTCCATAAAGGCTTATGTGTTTCGGACAGTTCGACCTCCAATAGCCCACCAACCCCTATTGGCCCTGCTACAGCACTCATCTCACCGCCTAGCGTAAAGCGGAATCTATTGAATGATTTGAGTGCTTCGTAGCTGTTAATCACGACGATACAGTCGTAGATATCGATCCCAACCATGAAACCAAGACCTAAAGTTTGTACGTGGATTCCAGATGGCGGGGACCAGTCACCGTCTTCTTTCCTGGCAATGACGACGCCAGATCCACCAGCAGTAGAGATTGAGAATCCACTGCGCATGACAGTGAAGATAGCGAGCCCGACACAATTTTGGAATACCCTTTGCGGTATCTTAACCACAACCTTCGGTTTGCTTTTTGGACCTGGAGAATCGGGTGCTAAAGACCGCTCAGGATAGCATTCATCCTCTGCGAAAAGTTAGCAACCTCTTCTTGAGCTGGCAGAGTGAACATACTGCAGAACGATGACAATATTCGAGCCGCTTTCTCGCACTCATGATCAAGTGTAGTAGGCCACCATGCTTCAGATCCGATTCGGTTCGAGAAGCTGTTTAAAGAACCACCTATCTTCTCAAGCCCCGATACAAGACTGTCTCCTAATCTCTTCTGCCGGGAGATGGGAACACCTTCTTCTGAAGATCTAAACGGGGTCTGGGTTGCAGGCATTGACGAAGGCACGAAGGTGAATGTAGAGTTATGCTTGGGACTGAGGAACCTGTAAATGAGCTTTTGGAATACCCTTCGGTGAGCCTAGCTTTCCGAGCCGAGATTTCCTGTCGAGATTGAGAGGAGCCCTAGGGACCAGTAAGCTTATCCAGTGCACAGAGTACTCCAGCGTCGTAGCATCATCGGACCGAATTCAGGGAAAAGCAGCGCATTGGTAGCGTACATCGCAAAGTATGGTATAAGACATGAGATGTGTACGCTGACCGCGTGGTGGCTGAAGCATCGAAGCACTAAGTTGACTGCATTTTGGAATGCGCTGAGCAACTTTCGCGATTGAGTAGCAGGTTAAGACCAGTTGACCGGTGCGAACTTTATCGGAGTCCGAGGGCCCTAGCCGCGGGCGCCAGCATCGGTGTCCGCGCAAGCCGAGGGACGACCGAGAACAACATCGCCCACTCTTGCATTCACACCAGGCTAATCTACGACAGTCAACATTATCCACCACAACATGACGGAGCCGAGCGTCCGTAACGAGCAGGTTGCATCTTTGTCTCGTGCAGTAAATTACCCTTCTTGCTACTAGCGTATTAAGGACATTGAAGCTGACAATCACACTAGTGCGAGAACTGTCGTGCCAGGAAGGTAAACATGGGGCTGGCAATCATCATGCGACATTATGCTAAGTGTATGCAGACGCGCTGCAACAAGAGCTTCCCATGCTCGAGCTGCCAGATTCTGGGTGTGCAATGTCAGCCCACTTCGAGAACCACCGAGCAGCGCCCTCGCATTGTCATATCAAACCAGTAGTATGTCGCGTGAAACCTCTGTCCTTACGATTTTATCTCTAAGAACCCTAGCGAGAAGCAGCTCGAAGTGATCCAAGAGCGTCTCCGCGCTATTGAAGGAGATCTTAAAGTCATCGTGCACAGGTCGTCAGATAACGACGACATTCGGTCCACAACAACGTCAACAACGAACCAAGAGACTTCTAGACCACTAACTCCATTTGAAGGAGAGTCGTCCTTCAACAAGGAGACTTTGGAGGCCAGCAGAGCCGCCAGCAGCATACTAAGAACGAACCCAGATCCCGAAGTAAGATCAGCTTTGTCGTCATTACATAACAACCTGGTCGCGATTGAGATATCGGAGCAGCAAGATAACATAGATCATCATAACAAGGGCATTCAGAGGAAGGTCAGATTGTTGCCGGCCGATGTTGTTATTGCTGTAGTCAAGAAGGCGAAAGGTTGTCCTGGTGATTCTCGTCTACAACAAGCGCTAACGGTTACTAGTGTCACCACTATTATCTGCAGTCTCAAGTAGCTGGACCGATTACACGCGGTTTGAACAACTCTGTCAGAAGGTGTACTTCCCGGTAGAGGAGCTTTCTGTGGGGTCACTGGCCTTAATGCATGGTGTGCTCTTTCACATTTTCCAAGACCTCTCTCAGCATGACGACCCCATGTTTTCGGAATACGATCTGGAAGACTGCGCAAAGGTTTGCAAGGCAAATTTCCAGCAGTGCTTACGGAGCTACGAAAGCTTCCTTGTGCCAACATTCGAGAATGTTCAAGCTCTCTACTTAGCAGTATGGGTACTCACACCTGTCGTCTGAGCCTCCTACTTACGGTGTTGCAGGCATATGGAGCCCAGGAGGAGTCACAACTTTCCTTGTGCTGGATGTACGTCTCCGCAGCACAGACTATGTGTCAGACGCTGGGCAATCATCGGGAGTCGTCCTATCGCAACGACACGCCAGAAGTAGCCCAGTCTAAGCGTCATGCTTTTTATGGTCTCTACGCAATCGATAAGAACCTATCCCTCGTTCTCGGCCGATCTTCCAACTTCAACGACAATGACATCGACGCCGAGCCATTTATGCTTTCTTCAGACCCCGGGCAGTGGCCTTGGGATGTGTATACTCATATCTGCTACCGGTTTGCCCGGATTCAAGGTGACACCTACGACCAACTATACTCAGCAAGTGCAACAAAGCATTCTCAATACAAACGGTCGTGTTTTGTGGAAGAGCTTTCGGCACGAATAATCAATCTACGGGAAGAGCTACAGTTGGTAATGGTACACTAATGCAACTGTAAGACATTATCTCTAACAAAATCGCAGCTTGATCCGTCCGGCGCATATTATTCTGAAGTATTACAAACGGCCAAAGAAAGCGCCGACTTCATCGTCTACGCGGTGCTGTCAGTCGTGTATAGAGCCGAAACCCGCTTCTACGATACTGTGGAAATATCCAGCCGATGCTACGATGCTTCAAGAAAGAGTCTCGAAAGTCATCTACAATGCTCTATCGGCCTCAGAACGTGCAGCATTTACCAAAAGATAGGCTACGTTAAGAAGTAAGTTGGAGTCAGTGGCACTGTACTCGTGATTCTCGTTTTCATCACTTGATTTCTAACTAATATCCACGCTGTAGCACTTTGCTGATCCCTTCCTTCACACCGTATCTTGTTGTGTTTACCCATGCCATAGCCACGGCAAACGACAGAGATCTAAATCTTCTTGAAGATACTGTCGAATCTCTGGCCTACTTTCAAGACTGCTCTCCTGGATCCTCCCGCCTCTATTTCATTTGTAAATCTTTCCTTAACACGGCAGAGACGCTGATAACTTCACGGAAAAGCTTCAATGGACTGGAGCAGCACGAGGATGGCTCAGTGGTCTTTACAACGAAACCTATTGCGACTGCGTTGGATCGGCAGACACTCTGCCACGAAATGCCCGCTGCCTGGAACGGTTCCGTATTTCCTGGCGCAGCTGGGACTGAGGGTAGTCTTGACTTAGATACTTTTAGTTTTTGGACTAACTGGCTGGGATCAACTGAATCGGTTGCAGACGTACTGCGTTAGTATTTCCGTATTCAGATGTGAGGGAAGCATTCAAGGCGAGCCTTGATACGGCTGAAGCAGATAAAATGCGATGTTGATGGAACCGCTGGCAATATGTTGAGAGCTGTTTGCATGATTATATTTCGCACTTAGCAGGAATGAGCCTATTTACCACTTCTAATGCGATACAATACAGTGCAACTCGACAACGTTGTACCTACGGCTTATCACCAGCACGTCCACAATATCAATGAGCTCATCCACTATGTGTTTTATTCTAGTTCATATAACACTATATTGTCGAACTCTTGAACCCAGTTTCGAAGCACATCACGCTCTCTCGTTTCCGCGAAGACTTTCCAAGCTAAGTAGGTTCCCTCTCTGCTTCGAAGAGCCACGCAATTTCCTGTCTTTCCGGGACGGAAGGTCGTGTGCAACCCCAGGCATAATCCTTCCAGGGTGCACCACATTGAACAGCGTAGATCCGATCAACATCAGCAAGGAGTCGAGACAGTATTGGTACACCTCGTGTCTGGGAATCGAACTGTGGATGCCATTAGAGTACTCAATAAGTCGGAATATGATGCGCGCCTTGAAGATGGTTATTAGCAGTTCTCTATTGAGCAACGTCACCGAAGCGGGGCAACACTTACAGTTATGAGCACTATGACTGCATACTCGACACAGAGTAGCATAATAAATTGCTTCTGCTGGATCCCTGTACTGTTTCCTCGTATGCATCCATAGAGACGCAGCGAGAAGACCAGGAACACGCAAATGAAGAACTGCTGAACGCCAAGCCCTCCCATGTAAGTATGTAGTCCTTGATGAACAGTCAGTATCAACCAGATGTATCTCATCGTTTATGAATGCATGCCTTGTAGAATAGTACTTGGCTTCGCAGTAGTATCCGCAGCTGTGGCTGCGCCGTAGAGCTGGATAACAAGAGCACTGAATCAGGATCATTAGACTACCTTTCGTTGCTCTTGTGATTGGAAGACTTACAGGATATCCAAACCCAAGAAGACCTGGCCAAACCTCCACGCACTGAGGAATCCTAACTTGCCGGTAGAGGTACAATTCCAAACCATTCGACCCATCACCATGTAGACAAAAGCATTGAGCCATACCGGAGCAATCTGTCTTGTCAGAACTTGCTATCCCTGTTCGTGAGCCAATTACTCACCGCGATGAGTACAAACCATCCAGAGTAAAGCCCTAGACTGTTGGCGTTGTTGATGCTCAACACTCGCAGAACGTAGGCGATGAACTGGAGCAAATTTCCCATGATAATGGCCCAACAGTACACTTTGCGATACAAGAGAGCCTGGGCAAGATGCACAAGTGTAGCTATTGCGAATAGAACAGCAAACACATACGCAGCTGCAATCGAAGGACAGAAATCCCATTGGGTTTTGGGCACCCGAAGAACTGTTTAATCTGCTATTAGAGCACGGCACAAATCGGGTTCTTCGACCCTGTTTAAACATACCGTGACAGTCTTTGGTCATCTTGGAAACCTCTGAGATAGCCAACAAGGGATGGTTCAGTATAGCAATGATAGCAATAGCGCACTATATGAGATCGAAGAGCAGTATGTTTCTTGTCAGTGTCGAAATAGCATTCCAGCCGTAGAATGTTGGTGTTTTTATACAACTTAGGTGTCCTAAGTCATGTTGCACGGGGACTTAGTAGGTGGTAGGGATGTTTCGATATCTGTGGCGTCCGAGCCGCCGGAAATGTCGGCATCTTGAGACTCATCACCCGCAATACACGACCGGCCGATAAGCTGGAGAAGTGCCTAGTGGTACGTACTTCCTTGTATTACTTCAAGGTCCAGGATAATATGCGAATATTTTGAGGGATGCGTGGAATCTATGTTGCTTCACCACGGCGTCCGAGGGTCCGGCGGCCCCCGTGGAAGGGAGTGCGTAAATTGTGATGACTTAGCCCCCTTCCCCAATTGACACGCCGATGTTCGAGGAGTCGTAGAATGTGGATTCCGGTGATCCAATCGACACCCTTGTCCGGAACGAAGGCTTCGATTCTGTATGGTCCGAGGCGGCCTGAGCGGACTCCAGAGCCAAGAGCTTTCCTATATCGCGCATGCCAAGATCGCTATGCGGTGGCCCGTGACATCTCGAGAGGACTAGAGCGCTTTCTGGAAATAGGTTGATGATACATCGCTGCGTCGCCTCTATAAGTATCCGTAGCTCCTACAGCAAAAGTTCCACACTCACCTCTTGGATCTACAACAAAGCAACTCCTTAAAAATGGCAATCAAAGTTCTACCATCTCTCCTACTAGCATCCAGCTACTATACTTTTCCAACTCTTGCGACTGGTACTATCCATTCACATGTCGATGTTGCCATCATCGGAGCCGGCTTCTCAGGACTCACTGCTGCCAAGGAGTTACAGGGAGCAAACAAATCTATCGTTGTATTGGAAGCGTATGACCGAGTCGGTGGTCGCGTTTTCGATGATAAATTTCCAGACGGAACTGTGACGTATCGAGGAGCTCAGTTTGTTGGCGCGGCCCAAAGCAACATGGTCGCTATGGCCAAAGAGATGGGCGTCGAGCTCATTCCTACATACAACAACGGAAGCACCGTTTTGTTCATCAACAACACCCGTTCGAAGTTCTCCTCGGACTCCAGTGTCACCGGCGATTTGCCCGTTGATGCTGCCAGTCTCACTCAGGTGGCAACCACTGAGATGCTACTCAATGAACTTGCGAGCGAGATCAACCCCGTGGCACCCTGGAACCATAGCCGAGCCAACGAATGGGACAGCCAAACATTCGCGTCTTGGCTTGACGCGAAGAATCTCTCGTCGACAGCGAGATTTGTGTTCGACATCGCAGCTTCGACTGGCTTCTGCGAAGAATCAGGGGAGGTTTCTTTCCTCTCGACTCTTCTTAGCATTGGCACGTCGCGAAACGAAACCGGGTCGGGATCATTCAACCAGGTTACTAGCTCGGTCGATGGTGCTGAATCGATGCTCTGTAAAGGAGGATGCCAGAGCATCGCTATCAAAATCTCGGAACTCGTTGGGTCTGATCATATAAAGCTCAATGCACCAGTGCGTGTCGTCAGGAAGACCGAACATGGATACGAGATCAGCACAGATGTCGGAACTGTGACATCAAAGAAGGTTGTGGTCGCTATGCCGCCTGTCATGTCATCGAGGATACAGTGGGTCCCTCCGATGCCCGCGGGACGAGACCAAATCTCGCAACGGATGCCTATGGGTTCGGTTGCCAAAGCTATCGCGAAGTACAAGACTCCCTTTTGGAGGGCTGATGGGCTGAACGGCCAAGCCTTCAGTAATACAGGACTTGTAGTGAGTACATATGATGTCTCTCCTGAAGATGGGTCCTCCGGCGTCCTACTAGCATTTATCCCAGCGGATCAGGCACGCAAGATCGACGGGAAATCCCACGAAGATATTCAGGCTATGGTCACCAAAGACTTCGTCAACATATTTGGGCCAAAGGCTTCAGCCGCTACAGACTGGATCATCCAACAGTGGGACCAGGAAGAATACACACGCGGCGGATATAACAGCAACTTCCCTCCTGGAACGCTTACCAAGTACGGCCCATACATTGCAACGCCATTCGAGGGCATTCATTTCGCTGGAGTGGAGACATCACTCTTTTGGCGAGGTTACATGGATGGGGCAATAAGCGCAGGCAAGAGAGTGGCGGCTGAAGTGTTGGACTCCCTGAGTTACATCTAAGGCAAGGTTGTGGCGCCTCAAAGAAGCAAAGAGCATGTGATAGGTGAGATGATCACATCAAAAGTGACGGGATTCAGAAGTGTAGATTGTTCTTGGGAGGAGATTTTCATGTATGATATGGTGGTTTATCAGCAGCAAAGAGAACAATAAATTAAGAGTGGATGATACGTATCCTTGGCTTGGAATAACGTTGTACAATTATGTCAGAATGTTACTCATAGCTTTCAGTCACTAGAAGAACCCACCTTCCTTCTCAGCTCGAGCCTGAGCCTGCTTCTTCTTCCGATCTTTAGCAGCAGCGCGACTGTCCATAGCTGCCTTTGAGAGACCAACCCGCTTAGTGGCTCGTTTCCGTGCAGCCTCGTCCCTTCTAGCTTGCTTCTCCGCTTCCTTCTGTTGCTTTAGCATGGTGTGCGCTCGCGCGACAGCCTGTTCACCCTCCATCATCTCGTATTTGAGCTTGTATGCCTTAACCACCTCTTTTCCTGTCTTCGCATGTGTACCCATAATCGCTTCTATGAAGGTAAACTCCGGATGTAGGAAGGGTTTACCTACAATATCAGCAACCGAGATCAAAGTTCCACCGATATTGATCGTTTTGATTGAGAAGGGAATAGTGAGCCAGCTAATGTTTGCGTCATCATCGTCAACGCGCTTTTCAAATTTGTGGTCAGGGGTCTTGATCAGATTTTTGGGGATCTCGCGCCTGCCCTCAACCCAGTCAAACTTGTTCACACCGCCATGAACGTCGCGGTTCGTCTCAATATTTGCGAACATGGCAGGAGCGACATGTTGAACGTGCTTCTTGGCTAAGAGATTTACTTCGCGGCGGCGCTCGTGGCCGGTTGGAACGAACTTTGGTACAGGAATGTGCCCCTGCTTCCTCATGCTTTCGAAGATCCTGTCAGTATCGATGGACGGTTTCACTGACGCAGCGACTGCGAGAGTGTGGTAACGTCGTGCGGCTTTGTCCTTATCAGTCTTTTCACTTTCCTTGACCTTCTTATGTTGGCGAGACCCCCCGAGCTCGTATTCTGAATCATCATTGGCAGCGAAGTGTTCGACTTTGCGTTTCCTGGTACTAGGGTCTTTAACGGACCTTTGAGGCTGTGCAAAATGGTTAGAAGTTATCAAAGGAGCAGCGTGTGAGGCACTTACAACGGGAGGTAAACCAAGGCCTACAGTAGTCTCACCTTCGAATAAACTATTCAGAACCTCATTTTCCCCGGTCCCAGAAGGCGCGAATGTGGATGAAGATGCGTTCTCCGTCCGAGGGTTGAAGATTCTGTACTTTTTGACTGTGGGTGTTGTGGACATTTTGCAGATAGTGATCGAGTCGGGCCAAATGTTCTGGTTGGAGATGACCTGGGCTAGGTACAAGAAATCGGGAATGCCTGGGAGTTGAGGAGTAGACGTGGCAGGTATCGAGTTAGCGCCAGAGAGAACAGCCATTGTATTTGAACAGGATTATCGATCGGTGCCAGGAAGTGAATCTAAAATGGCTGCCTATTTAAAACGATAGTGTATAGAGCGTTAATGGTTACATAATGCAAAGATTATCGTGGAAGTATTAGTGAAAAGGCTACCTGACGCTAGCAACAACCTAGTAATACCTTGACATTGTATCAATTCGGAAGGGTTACGTCACAGAACATACTGATGTTTGACAGCTCCTGATCCAGTTGAGGACTCATAATTTGTTCAACCGTTCAACATTTGGGCATGTTGTCAGAACGGCATCAATCCCGGCCGTCTGAGTCTTTTGTTGCGTGTACACCATATCTGCATCGCAGCTGTCGTCTGGTCCACGGTAACACAAACGCTTAATCCTTGAGCCCGTTCACTGATCAGGCCGATAGGTATCCTTGGGTGTGAGCATGAACTTCGTTTCTGCTCATATCTCGCAGGATCGACATCGGACATCTCTAGGGCTTGCCTGGTATCGTGCACTACTGGCTTTTCTTTACAGAACAGCCGATTTCGATACTTACGCATGGCTCCAGGAATGTTGAAGTTGGAATTTGACTATACCTAGCACTGACTCTAGTCGCAGCTCTAGGTTAGAGGATGAAGTTGAAAAGAAGGAATCGTATTCTCTAGTTTTGTACTTGAAGTAGGACGTACTAGAGGCATGTTGGTGTTGAATTCCTTCTTATGCCTCCGAAGCCTGGTATTAAAAACAGACTGAGATACTGACTACTGACTTTGTCCTCACCCCCCTTATTGTGCAGCAGATGGGTATTTGGTTTTTATTTGGTACTGCGAAGCGTCGTTCATATTCTTCCGCCGACAGATAGGCCCTTTAGGTTCCCGGGCTAGAGGAAGTGGGAGCGTGACGTCAGCTGTGCCGGATGCTAGTTTGTCGTTGCTGAAGTACCACTCGTCGCATGAAATGGTCTGGACGCATTCCTTGATGACAGCGTCGACGTCACGCCGAGAGCTGTACAAATAGACCAGTTCTCTTCCGTCAAATTCATTCTTAGATTTTCACATGAACCATACTTTAAGCCGAAAGGTGTATACTTTTTGGTATCCGATGAGACTCTTCTTCGGTTCGATGTCAAACTCTCGCTTGAATGTTACAACTTCCGATGTCTCGTTCGATGAGAAAACTTTGTCCTGCTTATCTGCGCCAACATTCATGCTGAATCCCCATCCAGAGAAACCTACGCCGGCAGTGACTCCAGGCATTTCGGTCCCGTTGATCACGCGACTGCCACGCTCGAGTGTCCTTGTCTCCTTGATAGGTTTTTCCAGATCGTTATGGATGGCGAATCGTTCAACCCAGTCCTCTTGGACAAAGTAGACATCGTGATAAGCCCATAGCCACCAGTTGCCGTCGGCATAGAGAGATATGACCTGCTGCCCCACGAAATCCTGCCCAGAAGGCCTGTAATGCATGTGTTTTGGCATGTCCTCTGATGCAGTAGGCATCATATCATTTCCAGTCTTGGGTTCTTTGGTATGGATCTCCTCAACGGTTGTCATATGCTCCTTGAGGTCAAGGCTGTGCGGAGCCTTGATGAAAGTGTTCGGTATGGCAGAGGTAGGGTGAGTTCTTTATACAAGAAAGATATATTCAAATTCAACTACAAGATAATCTCGAGTAATCTGATGTTCTGGGCGATGATCTTTGTTATTCAGATATGTAGACCCAAGCATCTTATATGTCCGGCGTGTGCTACCTCCGATCTCGGCTCATAAGATGATTGACCGCCAATGGTAGCAACCGGAATAGAAAAAAACTGCGTCGATATCACGCATAAATTAGGCTGTAATGCACATGCACATCTTAGTCGTAAGGCTCGGGGCTGTCTCTCTGTTGAAGCTTGAATCCTTTATGTAGGAGTAGTCCCATAGGAGGTTAGAGTCTCTCTCTCAACAAGCTCGCTCCTGCAATTAGGGGCACATGACTGCAGAATATATACAAGCAGGTGATCGTCTATACCTGTTCTGTAGAGGCCTAGGGATTGAAAGTACGAGGAATGCTCAAGGATGTCTCAAGACTCACTCGAGAGGAAAAGTTCGATAGGCGAGCCCGAGCTGTTGAATCCATTGTCCGAAATAGTGTAGAATCATAATACGAAGAAACTTCAAAGCTGGACACCAAGATAATAGAGTTAACACGACCATACATGGTAATCGTAGAACATCAATCAGCACAGCAGAGCCTACCCTCTATAATGAGCGGTCAACTACATTACGTTGAACAGGAGGAGCTGCAACGTCCGAACATGGAGCAGATGGTCCTGTTACAACATCGTTAGTATCGTTGTCAGAAGCTAAGTCGTACTTGGAAGTGAAAGCCAAGCGGTTATAAGGTTCTATGTTACATTAGTCTCCACTTTGTACATACATTCGAACGAGATGGGTGCACACCAACTGTAGATCAAGCACCATATTAGTGCGAAAAGATGGGTTCTAGATCTCAATGTCAACGCTAGAACGACTCTTGGTGTAGCCTTGTGCATGTCAGCCCAGCCAACATGCGTAGCTACGACAATAGCTGTCTCTTCAACGGACTTGGGTGTCTTTCTACAAAGTTGCGATCTAACAATACTCTGTAGACCTCGATCAATCATGTTATATCAATGTCTGACGATTGGCGAGCTGATCTTAGCATCGAGCCGAGCCCGCAAAAGCAAATAGGGAAAAGACAAAAGTAATATAGGATGCTCCAACCACATCACCCTGCCTGCGTCATCTTCAAAGCCCATTATCCCCTTCAGGAATGACATCAACCGTAGAGACGATGCAGGCTAGTGGCGGTACGACGCGCTGGCAAGATCTTCGTTTAGTCTGCCCTCCTACGCCTATGCACGCTGCTTTCTCCGCATTGTTTCCGGCCGTTGATCTTTCTTTTCTTTGATCTTTGCCTACTTTGTCCTAGTTCTCGTCTTGCTTTATCTCGGGTAGACCCTTCATCCCGTCTTGGCTCTTCCGTTCGCCCCCCACCTCTCAGCCCATAACGTCCTTCTACAGATGGAGTTGATGCTGCTAGCTGGAAGCAATCTCACCCTGAATAAAACAGAGAGTGTTTAAGATCGGCTTACGCTTGGCGTCCAAGCAGTGAAGATATCGTCCACAGTTGTTATCGGCTTCTCCTATCAACAACACGATCGTGCGGTGATTCTGAGGAGTGCAGAGTATGCATGGAGTCGTGTTGCACCTCCTTACCGAGTTGCATAGGGCTTCGATAGGAGCTCCGAATCTTTATGATTTGGTACACAGCGATGTAGCACTTAAGGACCGAATGGGTATAGATCGGTAGTGAGACTGGAGAGGTCATGAAACGCGATGACATGGCGAAACAGCGGTATCTTCTAACACTGATCGCACCACTAAGTACCCCCACGATCTGTTTCGCATCTTCGCCAAGCTATCCGAAAAATACAGTTGGGGAACCATCCTGAGCACGCCGCAGCTGGCCACCAAAGCCATCGAGTATATAGAGCAGACGCCGATTCTTGGGTACGTGGGGATCAGGAATATGTGGACGAGGACGAGCGTTGGGGGGACACTGTATATACAGCGGACGCGACAGATGAGGCGACGCGCCTCTACAAGCCTAGAAACACAGCACACAGTCAGTAAGACAAGTATCCAGGTGGTCGGCCAAGCGCATTTAGATAGTGGTTGGTTAGGTGCTGGTAAGCCTGTCGAATTTGAGTAAGCAGTGCTGATAGGGAAATTTGTGTCTCGCTACGATGAAAGAGCTAATAAGCGCGACAGTGGTAGTAGAAGATGTTGAAGTCTCTGTTGTGTGCGTGACTCAAAGATAGTGCGAACACCTCAGGCTCTGACATGTGTTAGTCTCAAACTAAGAGAAGCGGAGCTGCTCATTTAGTCGCGGCTCGCTCGGATTTGTCCGTGCCTCGCTATCTTTACCACCGCGCAACCGAGACTAGTCAGGGGCACGAGCGGAAACCCCTGACTGTTCATGAAATTGACACCTATCAGCGTTCAACTTAACACCTGCTAGCAGCTCTGATCAAGCTTAGCAGCAATAACAACAAGCCAAGCACTCAGCGTCTGCCTAATTTAGCTCACCGGTTCTACCATTAGATCCAACCATGGGATTGAATCCGATCTCGAGTGCACATACGAAGAGAAGGCGACGCTAGATGACATCCTTGGTCGTGGCGCCGGTTGCAACTGACAGAAACGCAAACCCTTAGCCGCCAACAATATTGATAGTGCAACGATCCTTAAAGCACTTTTCCACCACCCACTTTGCAGAGAGACGCAGCTTGGCAACCTTCAGGGCTGGACGCATCGCTTTGACAATGATTTCATCTACAAACCCACACCTCGTGGCTGCCGTGTGGAACCAGGAGGCCTTACACTAAGCAGAGTCTAAGGTCTTTCCAGCCTTCCTTTCTTAGGCCACCAGTGACCATATTCAACTTCTCCGCTGCGAGTTCCCGCTTCGGCTATGGTGCGAGAAGAAATTGGTATTGCCTTGCAAGCGAGGCATCCTTCTGGCTTTCGGCCGTTGGCCCTTTATGTCTTGCATCTGTCACGCATCGTGTCCTGCTGTTTCCTCTGTTCCTCCTCCTCGGGCTCATAACGTTCTTTATGCCACGGCACGACACTCGTTTGGAGCTTACGACGCGATAAGCTGTCTAGCAGTTGCGCTCACACATCCGCTCGCTCGCTTATACAATACTGTACATTAATCAAATTTCGACTTGTTCGGCTCGCACGATGCGCCTCTCCATCACTGTCGCGGCTGCAGCGGCTCTCTCATCTTTCGCAAATGCTCATGGTGGCTTTGGACTGCCGCAGATCCAATCTCATGACAAAAGGATCAATGCCTTGCTCGCCAGCTTCAAGACTGGAACTTTCGGCATCGACTCACATATAGAATCGGCCTTGGAGGCACGCGCAAGTCCCAAAGAATGCGGCGAGGGTATTGGATCATGCCCTGAAGATAGAGGCTGCTGTTCAACAGCTGGCTGTACGTAAAATGAGCACCACGATGGTAGTGTACTGAAACAGGCAGACTGTGGCTCCAATTCTAGTTATTGCTCCTCTCCCGGCTGCCAATACAACTACGGGCCTGGCTGTCCGGAGAATCAGAAGCCAGCTGGCGAGAGTACCGAGTCCATCCCCCGAGCAAAGATTGGCTCAGTTCCCTATGGAGGTAACGGTATCTATGGTGGATTCTGGGCTTGTAAAGACCCGGGTCAGGTCGCTATCACTTACGATGACGGACCAATGAAAGACACGACCACAACTATCCTGGATTTGTTCAAAAAGTACGACGCAAAAGCGACCTTCTTCATCACTGGCAACAACAATGGCAAGGGGCAGATCGACGAGACTCAAGAGTACATCGATGTGATAAAGCGCATGGATGCCGAGGGACATCAGATTGCGTCCCACACATGGACGCATCTCGACTTGTCTAAGATCAACGCAGATCTTCGCAAGAACCAGATCCTCAATGTGGAGGGTGCACTGAACAACATTGTCGGGAAGATTCCGACTTACATTCGACCGCCTTACTCTAGCTGCACGACTGACTCTGGTTGTGAGCAGTTTATGCAGGATATGGGTTATCACATCATCTACTTCAAGCTTGATACGGATGACTACCAGCAGCAACCCCGAAATACCTTCCAAAACTCGCTCGACTGGTTCAAGGGCAACATGACTGCGCCAGGTATGACACCTGGAAAGAACTCTACAATCTCCATCTCGCACGACATCATTCATGAGACCGCCAACGAGCTCACAGAGCTCATGCTCAAAACCATCACCGACCTTGGTTATAAAGGAGTCACTGTTGGCGAGTGTCTTGGTGACCACAAGGACAACTGGTACCGTCAATTTGGCGACTCTGCCAACCGCGTTGGAACCGACTCCGCCTCCACATCGGCAAGCTCAAATCCCACTTCTACATCCTCACAAGGAACACCCAGCTCGTCTTCCATGGTCGGGTCTTCTTCGATCTCGCCTTCTGACTCCAGCACCGCTTCAGGTATCGCTGATCCTAAGCAAACTGGAAGTGCCGCCTCTGCCATGCAGAACGCTGGCCCAGCTATCTTGGCACCTGCGTTCGCATTTGCTTTCCTTGCTTTCTGAACGAAACATGTTGTACAAAACTTCTTGTATTATAAAGAGATAATATCATTCTGAAACATTGTCGTCTTGTATATGATACAGACGACTGTAACTGCGAACTGTACTTTTACTTTTACTACGGGTCAAGCGCTATATCTATGGAGCCTATTAAGCCAAGCTTATGGCCACGGCTGGTCTGGCTAGCTTGTTGCCATATCTGATAGCAAGCTGATTGTACCTGAGATGAATGGAAGGGAACCAACACTTCTTGCGATCAGAGGGCTCAGGCTGAAAGTAGTAAAGTCCAGAGTGCGAGGAAGTTCATGCAACGTGCATCAAGTCAGTGCGAAAGTCTCTAAGTTGACTCCCTGACTGCGCAAAACATGGGGAATATACTTAGATTCTTAAAAGCAAGCGTCTAAAGGAGGTATATTGTTAAGCTAAAGAGCTAAGTAGAGGACTAGCTAGCACCTTTAAGTTAGGTATCTAGCTAGGTAGGTAGCTACTTGCAGCTCTAAATATTACGTAACAACAGTATTATTCTAAGGATAACTAAAGACCAAACGCAATTCTAAGAGAAGCGCGAACACAAACAACGTAGCAACGTGCGTGCTAGGAAATACTACACCACCTTGAGTGCAATAATGTCCCAGTTAGCTGTAACAAAGTCTCCTTGCTCCGCAACTTGAAACATGCCAACCCGCCGGTACGAATCTTTCTCTTCTATTCTACCCCGTGACAAGAGGAGCCCTCGAATGATATGATTATCGGAAATCGTCCTACCTATAGCGAGGAAGGTGAGCTCCTCCCTTGTCAGAACCAGCTGACCGTTCGCAGTAGTGAATATCTCGCCGTAGCAGTCTGGCAACACGAGCAGTTCTGGATTATCTGCTCTAGCAATCTTCACTCCCTCCGACGCATCGCTTTGGAGGACTGCATTTCCGCACCACCAACGGCCTGTACGCACTGGTCCTTGCAACATTATGGACCCGTGAGCTTTCTTTCCGAAGCCACCTTTGACATCCACCACCAAGATCTCGAATCCAGCCACCTTTATTTCACTCCTATGCATTAGCACCTTGTCGTCGATACCAGGCCAAGACCAGGTTGGAGCACGACTGGTTGTAGGCCGCGATCGCAGCTCGTGTGTGTGGGACTGAACCCTCCACTGCAGCATAGAAGCTAATCGCTCGTTGTGCCAAAGTCCAGCCAGATACTTCACTCCAGACGCCCGTTGTAGCTCTGCCGCTATACCACCTATCGCGGCCAAGCGGTCGTCCGTATGCGTCAGTGCAAGTCTGGAGTAGGCCCTAACGATCAAGCACCAAGTACTGAATAGATCTCCCACTTTGACGGGGTAGTGCCTGAGACCTGGAGGGTTCATGAAAGAGTAGAGGTTGTAGCTCTGGGCTTCCGGTGATCGGCGTCGAATTGAGCTGCTGGATTTCTCGACTACGAGCTGCGAATGGCCACTGTAGCTTTTCCGACAACCGCACGTCCAGCGTGATGTTCTCCAGCCAAATTCTAAAAGTCGAGGAGAAAGCAAGCGTTCTTGGTATGCCCATGCTCTCGTACTCAGCGGCTCTGGCACAGGAGGATCCCCCCAATGAAAACCATCGAGGTGGATCCGTCCCTCTCTGCCATCTGGTAGACTCAAGCCAATCGATCTCTCACTGTAGTCAGTCCGTGCCTGTAGGAATCCTTCGCTGCAACTTCGAGACGTGGACGCGCAGATGGTCAAGGCTGCACCCTTGTAGATATGCGGCATCTGGAGAATCTCATGATCCAGGTCTTGTTTGTCGTCCTGGACTATGCACAAGCTGTCGATCCATATGTAGCGATAGCCTAGAAGCCTGGTGACCTTGAAAGCGTCCTCAAAAGCAGCTGGAATGACCTCTCTAGGAACGCACCACGATCTCGTCTCCTCGTCAAGATTACTTTTGCTCAGTACCGTGTTCTGCGGTCCACCCCAGCAGTACGACAGACACGTGTAGCTACAGTCACCACATCTTGCGCTTTCCATTATTACGACCGATCCACGCTGTTCATCGTCGCCGACATCGATCAAACGTTTGGGCTTGTAACGTAGTGATGAGTATCTTGCGGTAGGGCATTCCACGCATGTGCAGGACGCGAGCCAATTCCGGAGGTCATTCATAGTGTCGTCGCTCCAGACCTCGCGATCGAACGCCGGGAGTATACAAGCCGCGTTGTCTCCTAGCCATGATTAGCCTTGCTGATACTGCCATACAGCCACTCAATTTTACCCTTGTACGTGTACGCGTTGAGACGAGGTCCCAATCTTCCGCCACCGCAGTCCAAATAAGCTGAAGAATGCACCGTGTTGTTCTTCTTGGGCCCAACAGGTATGGCTTGCAGCGTAAGTTGGAATGGTTGCGACCCAAGGCTCGTCATAACGTGCGTGAGGCGCTGATGCCAAGTTTCGCAGCAGCTGCAAGTTGGGAGAAGATGTGCTTTGATTAAACTCGACCGGCTTTGGCGGTTGAATAGGTCCACAAAGTCTCGAAACACTGGACATCCTAGAGTAGCTGCATATCGAGCTTCGGGCACCTCCTGGCTGAACTTCAGCCTTGTCATGGATCGCGCGCTATTACTCGTCGTTGCGAGGATCCTGTTGCAGTGAGAGCATGAGTGTGGAGTTTGAGAGCTGCTCTTTTCTTCCCAGTATTGCTTCTCCATTTGAGGATTGGTTAAGATGTATATCAACAACCCTCTGCGTTAGTTATGACCGTCACGGTGGGGTTCCACAAAGGAGGGGTGACAGTCCCGAGCAGTCCGACTCACCGATACCGGTGACACTGCCCCTAGGAGGCTATAGGTCGCCTCGATCTCAGCCTGCCATCCTTCAACGCCCACCATTTTCAAAGCCGGTTTTCCATCGATCTTCAAAAGGGTGACGTTCGCCGGAACGATTGCCACGGGTACTTCTGCCATACCATTCGCACAGAAAGAACAGCATTTAGCAAGGTGTTCACTAAACTTCAACGATGTCGGAACTTCAGAAATGCAAAAGCTGTGGCGAGCCGATTTACAGTGGTGAGACGGCATGTGGAAAGTGCGGTACAGAAATTTCTAATACCTAGGTAGGTTCTTGAGAGTCATTTAAGGTAACAAGAGCGCATACTGAGCATCGCAGATTGTCGAGGCCTTGGGGCACCCTCCAGGCGACAACTTTGGTTCCGCGGAGCGTTGTGGACATCTCGAAATCCCACATTTCTCCGGAATGAAGTACATTGTTCCAGCAGTAACTCTACGAATTACAATCATCACTACAGAACCGGAGAGTAGGACCAGCTTCTGCACCTTGCGTCTTTCACGTTGTGAGAAATATTAAACATCAACCACCGCAGTACTTGTGACCACCGTGATTACCGCACTCCGCAACAGGCTGACTTTCAGCCTTGCTCCCCATACTGCAGTCTGTCCAAGCGAGGCACGCACGCGATACACGTGTGATTGGTCGATTCCTAAGCGCCCAACGTCCGGTGAGGGCCAGAACGTGAGGTTGATTGGGCTACACATCTGCTGCGATACACATGAGACTTTTTCGGCTGCAATGGGACCTGGAGGACTTCATGACCCCACTAAAATACCAGGGAAGCCGCTTATACCTTGCACTAGTGTTGACGTTGATGGCTGCGCAGAGGCCGGATGGGGAAGGTGTGGAGGGCTTCCCACTGTCGCTTAGGTGCCTAAAACTGCGCCCTGTTCAGACGGTCGAAAAACCATGAGGCAAAGTCACTGCATTGTCCGTCCGTTCCTCCTATCAACTCAACTTCTCAAGCCCGCTTTTGTCAAGACCTTTTGCCGCATCCGCAATATCGTCACATTACCTACTCTCTACGGGAGTTCTGGCCATGGAGCTTCCTGACATTGCTCACAACACCACTGGCAAATTGTGGCGCATGAGAGATGGTCAAAAACCTCCACGGTGGCGTAGCCACCAGGATCTCGCCCTACCGGACTTCGGTGTGGAATTCAAGGACGTGTCAGAACTTCGCGAATGGTTGGACGATGAAAACACAGAAGAAGGATCTGCGACTGGAAAATTCGGAACGACGGTCTCTCACAAGCGAGTTCCTCCTACCGAAGACTTTGTGGCCGTGAAGCAATTGCAATCCGATTCCGGAGACTCTGGGGACATTGACAGACTGAAAAGATTAGTGGAGACGGAGGTGAACAACATCAAGCCACTTTCACACTTTCACATCGTTGAGACGATCGGAAGCTATAGTTTCGGAAACATGGCGGCGTTGCTTATGGTTCCTTGGGCGCCCTTAAGTCTCAGGAAGATATTGATGCAGTACGATGAGAAGAATCCTCCAGCACATATCACGGAAGGCCTGAACAAGCACGGATGGGAATCGGTATCGCAGTTTGTTGCGTCCACCATGGGCTGCATGGCACATGCTCTAGCACATATCCATCACAAAAACATCAAGCACAAAGACATCAAGCCGGATAACATACTGATCTGTGGCGCGCGAATTTGGATCACAGACTTTGATTTGTCAGTCAAATTCGAGGCTGAATTTACATCCGCATCGGAGGGCCCACCCGAGCGCAAAGTGACACATAAGGTATCACTGAAAGGTTTCCCAAGCATTCAAGAGCTAACAATCAATAGTACGCTGCCCCGGAAGCTCTATCACTGGAAAGCCGGGAGAAGCGTGGACGAGCACAAGACATATACTCCCTGGCCTGCGTCTTCATCGAAATCTTCGCAGTGTACAAGAAAGATCCTTCTACCGGGAAACACCAAAACGTAGCAGAGTTGTTCGAAGAAAACACAGTAAAATATCATCAAAATATGCCCAGGATCGTCAAGTGGATGACTGAACAGGTGTCTGGCAGGAGCGATCTTCAGCTTCTGAGCCTGATACGTGCAATGGTCAGTGAGACGCCGAGGGAGAGGCCCACGGCCACCCAGGTTTGGAAGGAGCTGGTCATCATACACGGTGACGCTTTGGAAGCACCATTTTGCGGAGCTTGCTGCATGCCTCAAGACTCTCACCTGACAAAGGTCGCCAAGGTTCCCCATCCGCTGGCTTACCCTTCGGCAGAGATAAGCCCCGAAAACGCGGCCAAATCTGCTACAAGAACCAGTGAATTCGAAACGTCGTACAGCGATGCCAATCGCTCGCCCTACTTCCGCAATCGATACCTTCGGATCGACAAGATTTACAATCTCGATTCTGTCAGCGACGCTAACACTGAAGGCAAAGCTGGTAAGCGGATCCTGTGTCGGAAAACCTTTCACAGAGATCAGAACAAAGAAGACACGGCAGAGGCAAAAGACCTAATTGCTGGCCTTGCCCAAACTGAGGCAAGACTTCTCGAGAATCTGACGCCCTGCAAGCCAAATGGAGGTGCTCGACACATGGTCAATTTCGAAGCAACATATCGAGAAGGAGAGAATTTCGCGATTCTGACGACGCCTGTGACAAAGTATAACCTCCACGAATATCTCTCGATGGTGGAGTTGAAGCGGAAAGAAAATGCGTTAGGTAGTTGGGAAAGGGTGTTGCGTGAATCTTCCGGCTGTCTGGCTGGTACGTTAAGTTATCTGCACAAGCAAGGAATCGCGCATGGCGCTGTTAGCCCAGAAAACATCCTTGTAGATCTGGAGGACAACAACAAAATCTACCTTGCTAATTTCGGCGAGGCCGCTGTGATCAAGCGCATTAAAGACATACGTGAAGTTGGCAGCAAACCGCAGGTGAGTGATCTACAACCTTTTACCCAGTCGAAGACCAATTCAAGACCCCAGAACCCGTATGCGCCATCGCAAGGTCGGATGTCCGAAGAGATATACAATGCCACAGATGTCTTTGGCTTGGGTTGCGCAGCTCTCGAGATGGAGACTGTCAGGCTGGGCAGTAGCCGAGACGCAATGTGGAAGTTCTTGCTGCAAGATCCTTCGCAAAATGTCACCAACGATGACAAAACGAGCTCCGAGCTCGCTAACGGGGAACAACCAGCTTACAACGCTAACGACACCGGTTCTACAGTGCGACCCTCCAAAAAAGAGCGAGTATCTAACGTCTCCACTGACGCTGGGTCTAAACCGCAGTCCGCCAAAAAGACACGATCATCTAACGTCTCCAAGGGCGCTGGGTCTAAATCGCAGTCCGCCAAGATGAAGCAATTACCAGTAGTTAATGGCTCCAACGACACGGAGTCTAAGTCGCAGCCTGCGGGCGGTAAGCGGTCAGTCCGTGAAGCGGGGTCAAAATCGCAGCCCATAGAGGAGAAGCAACCAGCTAACGGCTCCAACGACACGGAGTTCAATTTACAGCCCGCGGACGGCAAGCGGCCAACCAATGAAGGCAACGAAGATAGCTCCGCGAAAAGCACCGCGGAAGCCGACGAGGACGACAACAGTACCTACACCTGGCTCTCTGGGGGTCCAAACAAGAATATGCTGTATGACGAACCAAGAGTCCTTGCAAGACTTCCTGAGTGGATACAGAAGCAATGTTTCGCCGAGAATTATGGTGCGCTGATCGTCCGCATGATGGATCCGGAGCCTCAAAAGCGACCTACGGCATACGAAATCCACTGCAGTATGAGCAAGATGAAAGACTGGAATTCCCGGATGATGTGTGGTAAAAATTGCGTCCCTGAAGAGCAAGGAGACGTTGAGAAAAAGAAGGCGGGATTAGAAATCAAAGAGACGCGGTAGATAGTGTCAAATACGAGTGTCAGGCACAAAAGGCTGACAGGATGTTAGAAAGGCATATGTAGCATACACGGTAATAATATGTACCTAAGGAGACTTTACTAGTAATACAAACAATTGTATTAATACACTTCAACTAGGGCTCGAAAGAAAAGTAGAGGATGCTACCTATGTAGAGGATTACAATAACCCTCCGCTATTACCCTAGCACATCTTCCTTAACGGGGTCGATGAAGCGCTTAGAGAAGATAAAGAGCATCTGCATTAACAATTACTATACAAAACCGCTGCCTGCAACGAAGCACTCTATATGAATGCTAACAGTTGCTCTGACTTAATAACAGCGACGAATATCAATATAAACCCCTGGTCCATATTTTGTGAAGCGCTCGAACAGCCCCAGCGAAGCCATCTAGAGAATCTGAATGTGCTGGTTGACTGGTACATAAACGATCCCAGATGGGCGCTCACCAATGGCCCGAAATAGCAGAGGCCAAGCTTAAGAAAGTACAAGGTAAAATGAACTACTTTGTATGGAGTGGTGCATGGTATGAGTAGATGCACCGATGCCGCGCAGAAAGAATACCATCGTTACGACCCCTTCGTACAGTCATGTGCACGGTTGTTTCCGATTATCGTGATGATGCTCCAGGCAACTGGATTCTGCAGCCTGCAATGCTGTTTACATGCGCGGAATCCATAAAGGTGTACGGATGAGGATCGAAGAAGTCAGGTTCCACACACCCCACAAAAGTCACCCGCCGCGGCGCACGGACTGATAGTGACGTACCACGACATCGTGTTTGCCATGCATCACGTAGCGCAACAACTCCATGTACCCATCGTACCTAGATCTCCAATAATTCTCTCCGCCATCTTCAGTCGATTCCTGCAACGCCATCGTCACTCTACCGCCATATCCGATCCGCGTGCACCTACCGCCAAAGTCGCCTCCTCAACCTTGCAACACATCATCCGATATCGCAACATCGCCATCATCACGCAAGTTCACCAACCACCTAAAACAGCAGGTACTTGACGAACCCAAGATACGCGACTTAGCACTCCATCGTACATGGCTCTCGTATTCGTTGCTTGATCACGCCAATCTACCCCGGACTTCTTGCGACTAGGCGAAGGTGGGAAGGTGTCACCACGGGACCTTGCCGAGAAAAGAGGCGCTTGAACAGCAGACACCTTGGAGACGCGACAAAAGAGCTAGAAACTCAGCCGTGATAGATTCGGATTCCTCTCCTTGTCGCAGCGGCTTGCATTCAATACGCGCCTGTGCCAGAAAGAACGCGACATAAGCTTTTTGCCACCCGGATTGCACACTTGGATAGACGATCCATTCCCTAAACAGGGACTCACTGTAGACATTCATAACAAGCTCGTCACATAAAGGCGCAACCAAATGGAGACACGATCTCCCGAAACCCCAAGCGGAATATCACAGACAACCATCCCGCCGTTGCTGAACCTGCCTTCGGAGTTACTCCATGATGTACTCCGCTACCTCCATCTCTCCGATCTTCTTACAGTGGGCATGGTCAGCAAATCCTTGCGCCAGCACACTCTCCAGGACATACTTTGGCAAACGTTTGTACAAGCAGAAGTCCCCGCCATTACCAAACCCGCACACTTGACATGGCGCGACCTCTTCCAGCAACACCACCCATATTGGTTCATCGCCCGGCGAAAGATCTGGTTCGCCGACACCGCGCACACGGGCAAGCTCCTCATCGCACGCTACGACCACCGCCTCGACGCAATCGAAGCTTACGCCCTTGTAGCCGAACGCGGCGTTCCGTCTGCACTATCGTGGGAGCAGCACCCGGAAGCCATAATCCACACCTTTAACCCAAAGATACGCCTCGACCTCAACGCGCCTATTGTCCGACTAAACAAAGATGCCTACGAAGAAGCCATTGGACCCATTGGCTATCGTCTGCAGAAGGAAATTCGAATGAGCCTCTACCGCGACCGGCAACAGCAAGCCGCGAGTCTGTTCTCGCAACTCATGCTCACGCGCCCCTGGCCCCAAGCCATCACAGGCGATGCAACGCCCGTATGGCCACCTCTCACTTTGCCCAGTCAAGACCGCACACGCAACGACACTTCCCCATCCGGCTTCCGCCAACCAGGCCAGAAACCCGCTACCTTGACCCAGCTGTCCACATCCACATTTCGCATCCGCCGGTGGATGGAGTTCTCCACACGCGCACTCGGCCTGGGTATGCGCATCGGCGAGGACGTGACGACGTGGGCCACGCTACCTGAAGAATGCTACACGCCGACCAAGCAGAAACCGTGGCAGGGCATTTGGTGCGGCGATTACGCGGGCCATGGCTGCGAGTTTCTCGTCATCATGCAGCCGGATGAGGCGGATGCAAAGCCGCTGCCTGAACGGGCGTTGTGGGCAATGAGGGCGAGGGAGCGAGAGGGCAGTGTGTCTAGTGAGGGGAGTTGGACCACCGCGCCTACAGATGTTGCGTCCGAGGATGGCGAGGGCAGCGTCGCGGAAATGGAGACTGCAGATGACCTGGAAGATAGCGTTGCTACGTTGCAGGAAGCGTTTCACATCAGTCAGAGTAGTGGACCGGAACACACCGCTAGCACTGGACAAGAAGAAGACCCCGACGTATATCGTGGTCGCATCGAGGCTGTCAAGCTGACAGGCGATCCAAATATTCCACGCGGAGAATTTACCTTTATAGCACCTGATATTGGACCTAATGGCTTGATCCGCGTCGCCAAAGAGGAGATCTTCAAGGGCGCAAGGATTGTGAGAAGTGTTGGGCATATCGCTGCTACAGGCTTCAGGAATGGTACGTTTCCGTGTATCCATTGTGATTATTGTGGAACGCGATTTGCTCATTTCATCTAGACAATTACATGACGAGTCAACTTATCCTCATCTCGCACGACCGGTTGGCGCAGTATTGGGAAACCTTTGGGCATGTTTCTTTCTATCAACGAGTCGATGTCGAGGCTCTTACTAGGATATGATCAACAGCGGAGAAAGATTTTGGATTGGAGTGACGAAGTTGGTGGAACTGGTTGGAGTATATGGAGTATTCGTCTAATTGCACATCACATATCTCATCTGGTCGGTATGTAGGCGCATGAAATTTGTGAATCGTCATTCTGGACCAGTCTCAGGGCACCCAAACAGCACCCGCGAGCAGCCTTGATCAACGTTCGACAATCACAGGTCTACAACCTCTTGCAGATATCCTCGATGATCTCCTCCGTCTTGGCTTTGCCACCCATATCCGGGCTCAGTAGCTTTGCCTCCTCGAGGTTGGCGTCCACTGCCTTGTACACAGCCGCCGCCGCCTCTTCCTCACCGATAAACTCCAGCATCAACGCCGTAGACCGGATCGTCGCAATAGGGTTCGCGATGCCCTGGCCCTCGATATCTGGTGCGGAACCGTGGCATGGCTCTCCGATGACGAAGTCCTTGCCAACGTTCGCAGAAGGAACCAGGCCAAGGGAGCCAACGAGGGCCGCCGCGCCGTCGGAGAGGATGTCACCGTATAGGTTGGGCGCGACGATGACGTCGTAGTCCTGAGGCTGGCGGAAGAGCTTGTACACCATGGAGTCTACGATCTGCTCTTCTACGCCGACGAGACCGTACTTGGCGTCTTGGAGTGCGCGGCGGGCTGTCTCGCGGAAGAGGCCGTCGGTTTGCGAAAGGACATTGGACTTGTGTGTGATGGTTACGAGCGGCGAGTTGTGAATGGAGCTTGCACCCGCATCGCGGACGCGCTGGCGGCGGAGTGCGATGTCGCCGGCCATGGCACTAATGTTGAAGGATGCTGTTTCCGAGATGCGCTTGATTGCCTCTGCAATTTTGGAGCCGTCGGGCGCCGCGTATGTCTTTTCTTCCTTGACGTAAAGATCCTCGGTGTTCTCCCTCACAATCACCAGGTCTACACTCCTCGCTGCGCCCCTCACGCTCTTCACAGGACGGACGTTGGCATACAGGCCCATGCGCTTTCTCAGTGCGACGATCGGGCTGGAGTAGCCTTTGGTTTGCACAGTGGGCGAGCTGACGGCTCCGAAAAGGGCGCCATCGCAGTCGGACTTGAGCGCCTCAACCGTCTTGTCGGGCAGGGCGGCCCCCGTCTTCTGGAACGTTTCCCAGCCAGCCTCGTGGTGCGAGAAGGAGAACTTGAGGCCGAACGAAGAAGGCAGGGCTTCGAGGATGCGGCGGCCCGCGGGGATTACTTCGCGGCCGATGCCGTCGCCTGGAATGAGGCCTAAGGGGCATTAGTCGACGACTTCAGATACTTTTTGCGCCGTCATCGTGCAATTGACTGCCTTACCTATCCTCAAAGTGCGTGCGGCCATGTTGAAGCTGTGATGCGGTGCGGATTGCTCCGCCCTGGAATTTTTGGCAGCTTACGCCGAAGTTCGGAGGTCCGAGCTTCCCCTGCCGAGGAATGCCAACGGTCTGTACCCCACGGGGACCAAAGACAATCGACAGTCACGGCAAATATCATATGACTAAGTCTACTACTACACTTGCTGATCTATCGTCACGTCAATGCCGACCCCATTACTCCTTACCCTGGAAAACACCCGTAGCGATGCCGCGCGTCATCGCATTCCTTTTCCCGAATCACTAACTCTAACTCCGACCTTCAGCCACCAACCCACCTTGTCCTAATCCAAATCCTCATTCTTTTCTTCCTTCTTCTCACTTCCATGTACTTGCTCAAACTTCTCCTTGGGATCCTCCGCACCTTCTTTCCTCGCCTGCTCGGTAGGCAGCAGCTCGATCACTACAACAAAGAGCTCTTGGTTGGTTTCCCGGTTTTTGAGCACATATCTAAGTGTGTGCGATCTGATTAGTATAATTGATCAAGTCAGCTCCATATCCCACGGTCCAAAGAAAGGTGTATGTGTAAGTAGCGGTGGAATGCTCAGCAGAACAAGAGGACAAAGAACAAAGAAAGTTGTAACGTACCGCAGGGGCTGTCCATCCCAATGCCCAATCATACTGATATTAGGCAACCCATACCCAATCTTCAACGCAAACTCATTGAAGTCAAGGTATGGATTGAAGAAGTCGCACTTGTATTCCCTCCCCGCCTCGAACACAAAGTCCTTTCGATTTTGCTCTGTGAGGAAAAACTTTTGCCTCGCTCCAGATTTTTCCGGTACGCGCTTTTCTTTCCTGACTTCGACTCCGTCGCCGTCTGCACCCTCCTCGTAGACGATAGCCTCACCATCTGATCCAGGCACTTCAACATCTCCCTGCGTTTGCGCTTCGCCCTCTAGGTCGTCCCCACTAGGCTTATCTCCGTCTGCCTTGCTGCCAATCCTGAGCACATTTATAGAAGATAGCAGCGCGCCGTATAGGTACGGCTCGTCGGCGTATACATCGCCATCGAGACCCGGGTCGATCCACCACTTGACTATTCCAAACGCCTTGTCAAACAACGGGGGTAGGTGATCGCGTATCGGGTGGTCAAAGTCGTTTCCGAAGACGAGTTTATCGCCTGCGATATCGTGTTTGGGGGTGAAGGAAAAGGAGATCGAGTAGCGGTCGTATGGGTGTTGGGGGGTCGAGAAGTAAGGAGATGTTTTGGGAGAGCCTTCAGGTAAGCCTGAGTAGGTGTTGTTAGTGGCAGCGCATGGTAATGGGAGGGGAAGAGGGAGTAGGTTGCCGGTCGGCTCAGAAGGGAGGCAGGCAAAACCTCCACCATCGGTGGGTGGGGGTAGGCCAGAGCGCGCAACGTACCTCGGTAGTCTTTGATGCGCACATGTATTTTCGCGTTGATGAGATCGGAGGAGACGTCCACCGGCTTCTCGCTGTTTACAAGTACATCTTGGTGTTTCGAGGTGTCGTATGTTGCGCCTGCTGTTACGTGCAATATGTACTGCTCGTGGGTCGCCATGCTGGCTCGGAAACGGTTCCCAACGTGCGTTGACGAGATCTTCGGCGGAAGCAGTTGCAGTGTCTCAATTTTGAGTTAAGTCGTTGTAATAGTCCTTCAGTATCGATCGCATGCGCTGTTGGCTTGCAGAACCCGAAATTTGGTGATGGGCGATGACGTTCCGAAGCCGCGGAAGCAGGGATATTTGCGCTAGAGCTCATCGGGCAAAGCGTGATCTGCAATGCGGTGGCGGTCCATCCTGTGATGGAGGGGTAAGTATTGTCATGAACTTATGTGACTTGTGCTACGTGCTGGGTGAGCGAAACATCGGCATAGTGCTATGTATTGATCTCCCGTACCATTGACATGAGCCAACTTCTCGACTTGATATCCTCTCCCTCCAGTTCTATTTTCTCCGATCCTCCTTCTCAGGTCTCATCATTATAAACGAACATTGGATAAGCTTGGCTTGTTTCCAGACTGTGTTCCTTGTAGCCGCTCATCTTTGAGGACAAAGCCATTGTCAAACCTATCTGGTGTTACCGACCCATAGATCAGTCGTGAGGTCTTTCATGGCGCTGTCGCAGCTTCGCACTGTTAGTGATAATTTGCGACTCCATCGTCGAGTTCACAATTCGACGACAGATGTGTCACGATCAACTTTGTACGAACAAGTGAATATTCCCAATTTGCACCTGTAAACTACTCAGACTACAGCTAACACCTTACCAAGGCGGCTTAACCATGACCCCTCAACAAACCGCCACATCATTCAACTGTGCATACTTTGTAAACTCATGATCCGCCGCCAGCATCTCCCTCTCCTCTGGAAAGGTCCCCATGACTAACTCCACACTCCCATCGCTCTTCAGCGGAAACACAACCAAAAATCTAAACCTCCCATTTCCGCGCTCTAGCTGCGGCCTCATACTCTCTGGACTTCCCTCATTACCAAAGTAGGTGCTGCCAAAATTGATCTCTTTCATCTCAAAGAGAATCATGTTTGAGATCATGGCATGCATGTGGTCGAGACCCATGTTTGCGGTCGAGAAGCGTGAGTGGTCGGGAAGGGATTGGAGAAGAGTAAATGCGTCGTGAACAAGCTCTGGTGTCATGCGTGCAGCGGATGTGCGAAGTACTCGTGCTATTTGTGCGATACTTGTCGTTGGGGCGCAGAGTTCTTCTAATGACATGCTTGTCCGGTTCAGGGTGAGTAGGCTGCCCATGTATGATGTAGGTAGCAGAGAGGAGAAGTAAGGGCGCCCGTCTGTTGGCAACTCGAGGATAGAGGGGTCATCAGGTTTGAAATCTCGGCCATAAGCTTTGGCTACGGCATATCGTGCACGGAGGGCTGAACGCCAAAAGAAGGCTTGAATGATGTCGCTGATCGATATGATGGTCCCGCTGGCTTTAGGATCGCGCAGGACGTTCGTTTTGAGTGCCTCGAGCTTCTCAGGTGGGATCAGGAATAGAGTAGTGTCCATCTTCCGCTCTGCACAGGGTAATGGCCATACTGAGTGCAGCGGGTAGCTTAGTGGCCGGTCCAGAGGTTCTGATCGATTTGAAGCATGCCTTTCAAGAATATCAGCTGACGGGATAAAGGGTAGCATACCCCAAACATCGAGATCGACCTCTTCCACTGGACGCCCGTATCCCTCAAGCTCATGCAGAACCTCTGGAAGGCTGTGATTGAAGCTCTCTGTGTCGTACCATGAACAAGTTGCTGAGGTGTCGCCTTGCAGATACCTGCAATTCTCAGCCCATGCTTTTATCGCAATAATAGCCCCCACACCATCCAAACAGCAGTGGTTCAGATCGACAGCAAGAATGCAGCCACCTTTGATAAAATTGGCCTGCGCAACGAGTATATCCGCGGGAAGCTGCGGGAAAGTGTCTTGTCGCAGAACCAGCTCATCTTTGAAGGCTGATGGCACAAATCCATCGCCTCGAAGGTTCTCGAATTCCGGAAGCACATCGGATAAGTCCTTGTAGACTAAACGATTGCGAGCTGGTTGGCCGAAGGGTGGTACAGTTACGCAGAGATCGCCTTTGGTGTATCCGATCTCGTCTTTGGAGCATGTCATCATCTTGCCGCCTAATGCTGGTATGAGCTCAAATGTTCGATTCAGTCCTGCTTGCATGTTTGCGAATGTCTCTTCGAATGCAACGCCCTCTTGGAGGGGGAAGTAAAACACCAGCCCCATGTAATGGTTCGGGTTGACGTAGTCGAAGGGGTTCAATCGAAAAGACTGCCATGCTCTTCGCTGCGCAACCATGCGCTGCATGTTCGCCTCTCGGTCGCTAGTAATGGGCTTCATATTACCAGCATCTTGCGCTTGAGCGATCATCGGCTGAAGAGCAGCAGTGAAGCTGGCCAATGTGGGGTTGGCGTAGAGATGGCGAGGTGCGAGTTTATCTAGACACTTGATCGCTGCTCGAATGGTATTGATAGCGGCTGATACCCCTAATGAATCGAGACCGAGTTCGAATAGGTCATCATCCGGAGAAGCAGATTGGATTGCTGGGAGTGATGAAGCAAGGATCTCACGCACTGACATCTGCATTGTCGATGCAGAGCTGATATCGAGAACGAAAGAAGTTTCAGTACTGCGAGCGCGGTAGAATCGCTCGATGTAGTCTTCGTAAAGCAATAAGGTAGCTCGTCGCTTGACCGTACCTTTGTCTGTTCGAACGAATGATTTTTCTGGTTGTGCAAAGCAGACATAGTCACGGGATAGACGTACGGTTTGTCGTGAGGACAGGGTGCTTTCCTCAATCTTAGCCCATATACTCTCCATTAAGTCGTTGGTCTTGGCTACTTGGTCTTTCAACTCGATGAGAAGACCAGCCTGCAGCTTGTTGCTGCCTATGACGAGACATCCGTCAATTGCGGGATGAGTACTGACGAGTGCTTCAAACTCCAAAGGCAATATCTTGTACCCACTAGAAAGAACAATGAGATCGTCGTTACGACCAGTAAAAGCCCAGAGATTGGGCTTGTTCGGATGCCGCTTGTACAGGTCCTTGAAGTTGATAGAGTCCTTGTCTGGAAATGTATGGAAGATGCCTTGGAACAGGGATGCATGTTTATTACGGTGGACCCAGTGCTCATAGATACCCGGCTCCACTTCCTTGAACTCGAACCCGGAGTAAGGATGGAAAGCGAACCAGAACCAATCCTCTCTCTTGACGACGAGATTACCGATAAAAAGGCCCTCTGTTGTTCCGGTCAAGTTTAGCACTCTGACAATATGGTTGACTTTGCCAGCGCTGATAGGGCTGACCGGCCCACCTGACGCACAGATGAACTTAGAAGACTGGAATTTGGCCAAAACATCAGGCGTCTCTCCTAGCTCATCAACAAGCGATGGTACCATGCTCCAGATGTCGATCTTGGCATGATTGGCAAGAGTCTCTAGAAGTGAGATGTTGGGGATAGTGCTCTCAGGACCTAATACGCAGGTTAGACCGAAAAGAGCTGGCAAGAGTATATTCATGATGATCCCAGCACCGTGGCACATGGGAAAAGAGGAGTAGATTCGGTCTCCCTCTCTCCAGTCCGACGTCCACGGCACTAATCCATCGTCGCCATCAACATGTGGAAGTAAGCGTATTGCATCCATCGTGCCGATCAATCCGTGAGTCCACGGGATCGGTTTTGGTGCGCCCGTCGAACCGGAGGTGTGAAGATAACAGAAAGGGTCTGTAGCAGCCGCGGCAAAAGCCTTGATGTAAGGGTAGTACTCGACATCTTCCGGATCCAGAAGTTCGTCGAGTAATGGTAGCTCGAGCAACTTCATCGGGCGTTTCTCTAGAATGTCCTTCACAAGAGGGGCTGCTTCCACTTCGCGTGCCTTAGCCCAGATATCGCACTCTGTTGCTTCTAGCACAGACAAAGCACCCTCTGTGCTGTTCTTGGGCGAAAGATAGAGCGCAGCGTAGCCAACCTTCACACAGGCATAGGTGATCAGGATGTGCCGAAGGTCGTGAGGGCCGATGTAGCCCACAGGTCGCACCGATGACGACTCGCCGACCTGCTGACGAAGCCACCATGCTGTCTTGTCTACTGCTTTCGCGAAAGCATGCGCTGATATATCCCGCAGTTCAAGGCCTGCATCTGAGGGTTTAGCAATCGAAAAAACGATTTGGTCAGGTTGATTTCTGGCGAGTTGGTCCATGATCTGGGGTATGAGCCGGCGACCATAGGCTGGCTCACTTCCGATGTCACCCATGTGTAGCGTCTCTGGAATTTTTGTATCGCGAGAAGAGTGCGACGGAGAGTGTGATAAACGTGGGGGGGATGTCCCAAAGGATGTCGGTGGTGTAGACATGCCGCTGACGATGGACGTCGCACTCGGCGAGGAATAGCCACTTCGCGTACCATTGAACGGCGTCCGAGCTTGTAGATAGCTGGCATTTGCCTCGTTGATCCATGGCATATCAGATCCCTGCAGTCTCTTTTCTTGAAAGTGGCTGGGCCGTCCGTTCTCGTGAATGAGCTCGAGCCGCGAATCCTTTCGGAACTCACCCGCAGGTGCGCTCACCCAGTCTCCGTTGGTCAGCAAGGCTACGCTGCAATGCCATGGCGTTGTGTAACCTGTTTTCGTGTCCAGTAGACTAATCGATATCTTGTGATCGCCAATCGATTCGTGTATCGAGAGTCTAAGGTGATGAGGGTACGCTTCTTTAACAGCTCCAGCATATGCCTTTTAATAGTGTCAGTTTACAGAGAGGTGATCTCATTGGGCAAATGAAATGTTGGAGAACTTACGTATCCTCTGTATAGCATCTGTTTCGCGAGATACTTGACGTCTCTCTTATACTGATTGCTACCGCGGTTCTCTCCGAGCGCGAATATGTGCTTCAGGTCAGACTCTAGGAACTTCCGGTAACCGAGATAAGTCAATCTCGTGTCTGCATTTTCTCTGATCTCCGTGTCGATATCGATATCAGTCCTCCCGTACTTGTTGAGAAGCAGGCGTCTGAAGTTCGTGCAATTGGCGACATATGTTATCTCTCGCAGCTTGTCTGGCAGGTCTGGAAAATTGAGTATATCTTTCAGTCGAGAGAAGGCGATGTATGTGAACTTCTTTTCCGTCGCCATCCGACGCAGAGCCTCACCATAAGTCCATGTCTCACGATCTGATATCGAGAGAAGATCTGATACCCGTCAGTCTAGGTCATGACTATTGACAGTGGGTTTACGTACCGTTGTAGGTTATGCCATCTGAGATGATAGTGACTCTCGCTCCGGGCTTGTAGACATCCTTGATCCTTGCGCACATGTGGTTCAGCCGTTGGAGCGCTAGTTCTTCCGCCTTATCTGGTAGAGATCCGAGCACTTTGTAAACTTTGTTGGCCGACTTGAAGGGAAAGGCCGGCAAACATGTCTCGACACGTTCGCCTGCTTGGACAAATCGGTCGATCACGGTAAGGAATTTTACCGTCCCCGCAGCTAGGCGCTCTTTCGAATCATCGAACTTGTTGAGAGCATGTTCATATATGATTTCGAGAATCTTGTTCGATGTGTCTTTCATGCCGGAAGGAATGCTGGCAACCGCCGAATCATCGCATGGCAGCGTAATTCCAAGTCCAGCGGGGTTGTTACTAGTCAAGCCGTTAAGACGCATGGTTATGTCATGTAGGACCAGTGAGACATCAGAGGGATTGTAACGTTGGAATGATGAGTGAAACTTTGCTTAAGTCCAGAAGTCAACTCTATAAAGCTGCTGGAATCTAGATGGCTTAGACACGGTCAGTTTAGCAAGTGAGAAACGAGCGCCACACGTATTATCGGGTCAAGCGAACGCTGACTGAAATCACGAAGTGACTGTAATACCGGGGACGGTACTCGGATAGAAGCCGAGCATCGACATTGCAGGGGTGGCTGAGGCAATATGAGGTTGTTCGAGGCAAGACAACTGTTACGGAGTCGCCTCATTCCAGGCGACATACAGTCAGCGCGTAGTTCGAGTCATGGCAGCGGCAGCCCGCTTAGCTCTTAGAGGACAACTGTTTCACTGACGCGGTTGGAGCTTGCGAGACCAGCTGGGATCCGAGACTTTACAGTCAGCAACCATTGCGTATTGGCCAAGTCATCCCGCTTCAAGGTAGTGTATTCGGATAGTGTCGTGATCCATGCGACGTTCCATGTGCGAGCGGAGACTAGAATGTAAGATGAGTGAGGTTGAAATGTGACATGAACTAAGCAGAGGCTAAGTTGTAACCAACACGGGCCAAGGACCATGTGATAGCTAGCGTTCGCGCCACTATGAAATCTACTTGTCGTATTCCATAGCCAAGACGTCTTCCCGTCCCACTCGCGCAGCCACATACTTGGCTGTATACGCAAGCATGCTAATCCTTTGATTGTGGTCCACAACGGATGCCGCGAGTTCGGACAGTGCCTCATAGGTGACGGAATGTCCAATGTGGCTCCCACATATGTGTGCGTGAAAAGCCACGTTGTCCAGATGCTAACGGATTTAACAGCAACTCGATCTTTCCCGTCATTGACGTACTTCAGTATTCGTATCGTCACGAAAGTCGTTCATTCAGTCAAACTCGCAGCCCTATGGTTCTGCTCGTGGCCCCTAGCTGGCCAGAACCAACAAGGCCAAATAGCCGCTCATCACTGGAAGCCTCATTGGTTGAAGAAGGACATACCAAGCAGCATTCCAATGCTTATGCGATGCTGTAATATACCACCCTCAGCCGCACCTCGTTGTTACGCATGTATGCCGACAATGACTTGATTCGAGGGACTATTCGGGGCCAAGAAGAGCGGGCAAGCATTGTAGCAGCGTGGGAGGAGCTGAGCTCACTATAGTATCTGGAGCTCTTACGATCAAACCACCCCATGCTGACAACATCCAGATTGCGTGCCAATCTTCGTGCTCTGCTTTCATGCGAATAATCATTGCAACCGCCACAGCCTCGGTGCTGGAATGCATCATACCATAGGTCGTCTCCACACGAGCTCAGGAATTAGGCGCGACCGGGATCTCTACGAAGATGGCTACCTATCTCTTGGGCACGGAGTATGTCTCCCAACAAGGTTAAGGACGGGGACATTTGTACGACTACGATGCTCCAAGCCGCGAAAAACGTTGCTAGACTTTACTAATAAGGGCAGTCGCTAACGAAACGTGCTCACGGAAAATGTGCTCATTCGCAAATATGCTCATCGAAGAACGCGCTTGTTCAAGTAGGGCGTTAACACGGCAGGACGCCTGATGTGGAAGAAAATGTTGATTTTCAAAGAACGCGTGGGAGGGACTGTATCGCGGGTAGTGAGAGCCTGGTGCGTGGGACGCTGGCGTTGCGTCGGAACGACGCCCGCAGCGGCGGATAATATGCCCTGCCGCCTGGTACGCCCTGTGATGTGGAGCGGGCCGTTGGCACCCTTGACCTCACCTCGGTTAGAGAGTGCGACCCGCGACTCATGCTTACTGTCAGCACAACACCTCAACAATCGCCGCAAGCGTCCAGTACATTTACGCAAGCAAAACCATGTCTAAATGTGTCTCGCTAACGAACCTTCACCGGCCATCATGTCCGATTCTTCGGCCTACCCGTACCCGTACTCGCAGGCCGCCGAGCTAGACCCGCGCATCACATTCCCCAGACCACCCATCGACCCCAAACTAGCACCCGTTGTAGACTCAGTCATCCTACCAGAAGAGTTGAATATCTCCTTTCTCCGTAGTCTAGATGTCGGGGGAAGCCCAGAGCCAATTCTGAGCGCGAATCCGCACCTGACGCATACTCACCATGTCATCACTAGCCTTAGTGGTCACAGCATTGCCTTATCCATTTTCGCACCACTGGCTTCGTCTACCACGCTACCAGCCTTGTTCTACATCCATGGGGGCGGCATGATCTCAGGTGATCGCTTCAGCGCCGTCGCACAGCTGATTGATGTCGCCCAAGACATACCGTGTATCATCGTTTCAGTCGAATACCGGCTTGCGCCCGAGACGCCCGCACCAGGAGGAGCTGAAGACTGCTATGAAGCACTCGTTTGGCTCTCCACAAACGCCATGAGCCTAGGCATCGATCCTGCAGCTATAGTCGTCTGCGGGTCCTCTGGGGGTGCCCCTCTCGCTGCCTCCGCCTGCCTTTTAGCCCGCGATAGAAAAGTTCCTATCGTGCCTGTCAAGGCGCAGATGTTACTCTCGCCTATGCTAGATGATCGATGCAACAGCGTCTCGGACGCACAATTCGAATACGGTGTGCCATGGAATGGCGTCACAAACCGCGCGGCCTGGAACCACGCCCTTGCAGGTCAGCGCGGCACCGATACAGTCACCATGTACCAAGCGCCCTCCCGAGCTACAGATCTGACCAACTTACCTCAGGCTTACATCGACGCGGCTGAATGCGAGGTCTTCCGTGATCCGGCTGTCGCATATGCGTTGAATATGTGGCGGTGCGGAAGCTCATGCGAGTTACATGTTTGGCCAGGTGGAACGCATTTGTTCGATGCTGTTAATAATCCTGGGGTGCCTGTTGTTGGAGCTGCAATTGCGGCGAAAAAGAGTTGGTTGAGCAGGATGCTGGTAACTCTTAGGACTGATGGGGCCACGGCATGAGCTGCTCTGTTGGTGGCATGCCGTGAACCGAGACTGATATGACGGGTCGCCCACATGTCATTCATGCAGGATCACCAAACTACGTTTCTAAATCATGTACGATAGCTCCAAGTCATTCAATGGAACTGCACCAACTGGGCTGGTTCAAGACACACTGTGTTGCTCTGTTTCGCGCAGTCCTCGTAACGAGCTTTCCTCCTCGCAAAAGTGATCAATCGTTACTCATCCTTATACATTTCACCATGCCATCTCAGCTTGGTAGCATAAGTTGACCTATGCATACCATTTACATCCGATTCTCTGGCACGTTGCGGCTATAGATTGTGCGATACAAGTCGCCATCATGTAGCAGACTTACCGCTATACGACCCCAAAGCGCTTTTTCAGCTACCCTGCATATATCGCTAGTCCGCTTGCTTAACATAGCCATGCAATATCGCATGTAAGATTCCGTGCGAAGTAAGAAGAGGTGCACGCCCCGAATTGTGATCTTTCTCCATGACCACATCACTACACCGGTGAGCTATTGTAAGCATCTTTCGTTTGTACATCGTTTCTCCCAGCCATCAGGATCAGATGTCAGATTTTCAAGTTGGCGAGATAATAGCATCTTGGCAGTGTTGGGCGACTAACCCGATGGGCGACAATTGCCTCAGCCTTCTGCGCGAATCAGGCTGCCTAGTCTGTATTTCTGCTCTTGTAGGCACGTCTCCGCGCATGCGCATGTAGGCTACCAACTCCCATGTAGCTTTTCGGGCCTATCTCACGCTAAGATCAATTCTCTTAGTCTACCGGCTGTACATATACAGCTCAGATTGCGTCAAATTGAGCGAATTGGTAGTATGCGCCAAAATGACCGCGCGTCGCGCCTGAAACAAAAGCAGATCGACGCATGACATTGATCTTGTGGCGAATGAAGGACCGAATGATGGCATGGAGACGTCGTGTCGACTTGCGCATTACGCGATCTCGTCTTGTGGGAATTACTACTCAGCGGGTAGGAAACAGTTTCCTCAAAACTGTTCCTGGGGGTCGAATGTGATGTGTTATTCCTCTGCTGCATTTCAAGCTGTCAATTGACCCTATCACTTTCCCTCAGAAATGAACACCACCCTCAACGGCCTTCCTAAAACCCTCCATAACACTTTCCACAAGCTTCTCCCCTACCACTCCCTCTTGCCAACTCCACCCCACGCTCAAGACTCCATCGTTTCCCATCAAAACACTCGTTGTGATCGCAGCGCCAAAGCCAACAGCACTACGACTGAAGGTCATGCGTCCGATACGGCATCGACCTTCACAAGCATCATTAGGAACGTCAAGTGACGGGGAAGAAGGTGGCGGGAAGCGGCCAAGGTTCGAGATCTCAAATGCCGCATCGCGGGGCGTGTTAAGCATAGACTTGAACACCGCAGCTGTGTCGTGTATACCTTTGAATGCAGCAATCGACGTATATGGCTCACCACTCGGACTCTTGTTACCCATGTATTCTTTTATTGTTTTCGCTGTATGACGCCCGGCCGCGAGTCCGCATGTAGCTCCCGTGTGTTCATCGCTGTCGGTGGGGAAGGAGCAATGCTCGCGACGGATCTGTACTTTCAATGCATCGATGAAACTGCCCATCGCTTCGCTCGTGGAGCTGCAGTTGTGGTGGAGGCTGAGCCATGGACGAAGGTTGATCGGTATGATACCTGTGAGTGCGTGGACAGTATCTGGAAGCTGCTCGAACAACGCACTGGCCAATACCGCGGTTAAGCCGGACGTCACTGTGAGACCATTCTCTTTACACTCTTGCGCAAATTTAGCTGAAGCTATTGGTGGAAAGAACAGTGTCCGGTAATGCGACATCATTGGTAGTTGGATGGGATTTCCTGTCCACTCTTCCAGCTCCTCACCCGATGTGCGGTGATGAAGTGGGTTCGGATTCAACGGCAACGGATGCAAATCTTCTAGTGGTGGCAGAACAGTCGAACTCTCAGACACTTGTATTTTCGGGCTGCTTAATTTCAAAGACGGTAGCATGAGAGCACTCTCGAGTGCCTGGTGGAATGACTGGTGGAAGATGACTCCTGTTGCGCCATCGCCGAGACTATGATGGAAGACAAAGGATGCGGTGAAACCACACCCCTTCTCTCCACTAGTGTCTTGCAGGATAGTCAGTCGCCAGAAAGGCAGGTGACCATGAGAAAGCTTGAAGTCAGTATTGTGTTCCTCCTGGAGAATTGTGTCGAGTTCAGTGTCTTGGTTGCGCTGATCAATCGAGCTCGCTCTAGTCTTGAAAAGTACGCAGGAACGAAGATCGAGAGACTGCAAACGGACGAAGTAGGCGTTTGGAGATAGTTCGTCGATCGGGACGGCGGATAGGATGGAGTTTCCATGGACGACTTGTGTCAATGCGGCGTAGATGATTGACTGCAAATCGGGTAGAGTAGCAACAGTAGAGAGAGAGTAGTGAGCAGATATTCCCACATTCTTGAAGAATCCTAGTTGATGAGAAACAGCGGAAAGCTGTTCGGATTTTCCTAAGGGTGATAAGCTTTGGCGATAGGTATGCCTGTTACATAGATGCTTCGTACCCAATAACCGTAGCACGGGAAGCTCGCGCACACTGTTCATAATCTCTAGACTGTTGTTGGTTTTGTTTTTCTAACCTGCGAAGAAATAGAAACTGTAAATTCAAAATCTAACCAAACTCTAGCTACAGGGAGGTCCAGAATTTAGTAGATATACCGCCCTCTAGCGCATTTCAGCAGCCTGGATCTTACTATCTAGCAGGACGACCAACCAGACCAGGCAGCCAAGTGACATCAACTATCTGGGGACCATGCCATACGTCTCACTATTTACCGAACCGTCAGCTCTAATCTAGCTGTGGTCCTGTCTAATCTTACCTAGAGTATCGCGTTCCCGGTAGCCTTCTCTTCTCTTAATGCCTGAATTCAACGCAGCTATGTAATAACCTGGACTGCACGACACTAAAGCGGCAGCTGATACGGATGCCCGTAACGATACCATCTATTAGTAGATTATCCGGTTGTGTAACGTGCAGGACGAGCCGTCCTACATATGCGCGTCAGCCCTGCATTGAGTACCCCCACATTTGTGCACTAGCAGAGTGCAGGGTCTCAAGCCATAATCATCGCAAAAGTGCTCTCTAATACGACACTAGCCCCATAACGTGTCAGATCCTTTCTTACGCTTGACGAGCATTCGATAAAACTTTAGCGCAATTCTGTGAGGTTATTTTTTCTTTTTGCTTTGCTCAGCTGATGTCGATTCAGTTTCCAGGTGTCAGCCGCTATGAGACCCTCGCTTAACATTTCCTTCATCTTGATACAGTTGTACATTATTCCTCACGGCGTTGTATGAGATAAGGCAGAAAGAGACAGGACAATTACCACCGTCTTTGACGTCTCGGCTAATTCCTGTCCCCATCTGCTGCTATGCGTCCTTCTCGTCCATCCATCCAAGAACCTTTACTTTCACCAACCCTGCTCTCATCTACCGATGCAGAGGACCTCAGATGCACTACCCAAATACACTCTGAGTATTGTCCAATAAGTCCACCGATAGACCATGCGCGTCCAGCGGTCAGCTCCCACCCAGGCGTCCAAGCGATGGAAGGGACAACACAAGCATGGTCAGATTTCTCTCTTACAGCGGCCTACATGATGATTTGGCTCATCTACTTTGTCGAAACATTGCTCGCCGGCATCACGTTAGCCTTGGTTCCATACGTTACATCAGCCTTTTCTATGCACGCTTTCACACCCACTGTTAGCATACTAAGCAATATTCTCGGCGGTGTCATCACACTATCTATCGCGAAGATTATCGATATTTTTGGCCGACCGTATGGCTTGCTATTCTGCCTTGTCACAGGATCAAGCGGGTTGGTCATGATGATGGTGTGTGACGGCATAGGCACGTATGCTGCGGCTATGGTCTTTCATACCTTAGGAAACAATGGTGTGCAATATATCCTGTCTGTCCTCATTGCCGATACGACGAAGTTGGAGAACAGAGCGCTGGTGCAGGCGCTCATGAACTCAACTAGCCTGATTACAGGCTGGGTAGCTGGCCCTTTAGCGCAAGCATATCTTCGTGGCATGGGATGGCGGTGGGCATTTGGTTCATTCGGCGCGCTTGTTCCGCTTGTCACGCTGCCGCTGCTGGGTTTGCTTGTGGCGAACTATCGAAAAGCGAGGAGAATGGGACTTATCGAAGGGAGAGGAGAGAATCGTGGGCGAAATCTCTGGAAGTCCATGGTATACTATAGTCGGGAGTTCAATGCTGTTGGCTTGGTGCTCGCTTCTACAGGAATCGCCCTTTTTCTTCTTCCGTTCAACTTGTATGCTTTGACGGGCAAAGCCTGGTCTTTGCCGCTCATAGTTGGCGTGATCCTGCTCGGCTTTCTGCTTCTATCTGCATTCGTTGTATGGGAGAAGTCTTTCGCATCTATCCGGTGCCTTCCATACAGGCTACTCTTGGATCGAACCGTTTTTGGCGCATGCTTACTATGCGCTTGTCTTTTCGCAAGTTACGCCGTATGGAATAGCTACTTCGGCTCTTACCTGCAAGTTGTACAGGGACTCAGCGTGGAGGAAGCGAGTTACGTTGCGCAGCTATACACCGTTGTGAGTGTACTAGTCGCCGTCTCAGCTGGATACATGATCCATCGAACCGGCCATTTCAAGACCACGTCATTAGTCGTCGGTGTCCCGCTAAGTCTATTGGGTCAGAGTTTCATGATGTACTTTCGCACATCCAGTAACATCGGATATATCATCATGTGCTTCCTGTTCATTTCAATCTCGCAGGGCGTTCTCGTTGTCACTGACGAGATTGCTATGCTAGCTGCTGGTTCGCACGAACATGTCGCAGCAATGCTCGCAATCGTAAGTATCTTTGGGAATATCGGTGGTGCTATCGGTATGACAGTTGCGGCATCTATATGGTCTAACATAGTGCCGGATCGACTTGTGCGATACCTACCTTCTGAAGACCTACCGAACCTCAACAAGATCTTCGGCGACATAACGACTCAGCTGTCTTACCCTATGGAGTCTCTAACACGCCTTGCTATCCAGCACGCGTACGAAGATGCAATGCTTCGACTCCTTATAGCTAGTACTGCTATATCGGTTGTAGGGGTGATCGGACCGTTCATGTGGAAGAACATCGATGTTAAGAAAATTTAGCAGAACAAAGGCTATGTTTGGTAATCATCTATTATCTCATCCAAGAATTCTATTTTTGGTATGAATAGACCCTGTCTCTTATCCTCCCTGCATCAATGTCCCGGTGATTGTAATAAATCAGCATGGTTGACCAAACTCGAGCGTCATCCGATAAGCTATGCAGCAGGCGCACATCACTTGCCTAGATCACCTTTTTATCTCCGATCTTGCCACCGTAGTCACCTGGGCCTGAAATCTCGCAATCTGAGTTGGGCAACAGCTGCAAGAGATCTTTGTGAAACAATATCTTGTGGCAAATCGGACAATCATCGAGGATCTCGCGCGAGTCCTTCCACCATAGCGAAGTTGGAACAGGTACCGACGGAGGAACGGTCGTGTGTTCGGTGCAACAGTGCTCGCACATCTTACGGCTGATAATTGGGAACAGTCTTGATAGAAGAGTGCCGCTTACATGATCGCTTTCTTCGTCTTCTGCGTCGCTGTCGTCGCCTGTAGCGTCATCCGGGCTATGCGCCAAGAATCGATCCAATGACTCGATTCTAAAAGATGATTGTTTCGGATTCTTTTTGTGTACCGAGATGTGAGCATCTACGAAGTACTGCTCTCGATATGTCTCTGACTGTTCGGGCTCTTTCTCAGTGCCATGGTGTCTCATGTACTCTGAATAGACTCGGCTCAACTCTGCACCCAGCATACTATCCAGATGTCGCTCGTTGCGCTCTTGCAAGTCGCGCTCGGCCTTTAGCATCTTGGCTATCCTATCCTCACGGTCTTTCTTCAACTTTGAGACAGGGCCCTGGGTATCTGAAGAGCCTTCCGGAGTGTGGAACGTGTATCGACTAGGATGCAGGAACGGAAGGTTGTTGCTGGGGAGTGGTTGTGCGATGGGCGAGTTATTCCACATGCCAGAACCTTCATAGAAGGATCCTAAAGTTCGGGTATCATGAAGATGAGCATCCAGTACTATCGCGTTCTCTAGAAGTATGATATTCCGACATCCTGAAATCTTTTCTGTTCGGCGACGCAGCTCTTGGAAAACAGAGCTCCAATGGCGACCTACAAGGTTATTAGTACAGATTTCGAATATAAGGGCGACGCGCAATGGTTTCACTTGTAGCTTTGCTCCTCAACGGGCGCGACGATCTCGCGCACTGTGTTTTCGTGGTTTACATAGGTAGCAGAGCGACAGACGTTACCACTGATTCATCCGATCTGAGCGAATGTAGGTAGCAAAGCAGAAACACGTACTGTAAGGAAGTCAGCTGATCGTCTCATACGTATTCTTGATAGCTGATTTACCCAAAGAGTTCAGTCAATGACTCTCCTCTGGTATGGAGCATCTCAGTGAAAGCCACCGCATTGCCATTTGTCTCTAGTGCCCTTGACTCCCACAGATAAGAGTGTAACCGCTGACCCAACTGGTAGCCTCTAGATCCTGGAACGAAGGCAAGAGGTTCGAGAGGAATGGTCGAAGTCCCAGGAACCGCAAAGGTGGCAAGCATGCACTTGTTGCCGAACGTATGCCTGCACTTGAGACGGACGGGCTGCTCTGAGTTGTCGAAACCAGGGTCGGCTGCCTCGCCATAGGGTTTCCAACAGATGGGACACTTCTTGCTACCCTCGTCGACACTCTCGATTGGTACAGGTATTAGGTAGTCCAAAAAGGCTTGCTGAGTGGCGAATGTGTCTGCATCAGGTTGAGGCGGTGCGTAACGCGCTTTCATATCACTGTTGCTCGGAAAAGCGCTTGGTATGCTTGCGAGGTTAAGTTCAACCGCGCTGATGGTGCAACTAGGGCATGGACATTGCGATCCTGGAACATTTGGAGGTGGCGTGGCCATAACGCGCGGCTGTAGGACGATGTAGCGAGCACTTGGTTGAACTGTACTAGCGTATGCAAACGTTTGTTAGAGGAACGTAAGAGAAGTTTTCCAACACCGTTAAGAGAAGTGGAGATTGCTAGGTGAAGGCGCAAACCACGCTCCCGTGCAGCCTGATAGTGGTCAGTTCGCGAACTGACTATACACAACCCAGAACGAGTTAGGCTAGCTTATGGACCGGAAGCCACAATCGTCTCCGAATGAGGTACGCTTGATGGTGGAAAGAGTGAGACTCGTGATGCTACGCATGATCAACGAGGCTGGGTGAAGGCAGAGCGATGTCGCACCATGCATACACGAAGGTGCGGCTGTGCCAAGTCTCGCTACCTAGCCATGCGTATGTTGGTCAGCAGTGATTGGGTCAGCGACCCTATATCATCGCATTGTTACGCTTGCTATATGCTTACTATCTTTTCGTTCGTCAATCCGATCTGCAAGGCCTGTTGTGGTGTCCACACAGGCTTCTCTAGTAGGGTGCGGTCTGGCAAAGCACGTGATACATACTTTCACATTTGCTAGTACTGCTGCACTGGTCATTGTTCTACTAGTGAATAAATCCTCATATCCATGTCTTGAAACGTTGTTTCGATCCGCCTATCCTGATGTAAAACTAAGGGATTCGTTGTGTATTCAGGAATGTCATGGTGACTGATAGAAGAGGCCTTCCCATACGACAAGAACAACCAAGACTACCACAACCGGTCACACCGTGGGCAGCGGTTAGTGAACCTCAAGCCGTCGAGCGACAAACCCCGCCTGGACAACAAGAAGAACATACAGGTCGTAACGAGGAGAGACTCGTCTCATCCTAGAGGACGGGAGAGAGCTCCGATATCTGCTAGACCGACAATGCGTATGACAGGAGCTACGGCTATACACATCTGCAGAGCTAGCAACCGACCCCACAGGACGCTCCACATCGAGATAGTCATAGAACAGCGGGACGCAGAGAGGGTGCTTCTCGAGGATCTCTTCACCCTTGATCAGCTGCTCTAGCGGTTCTGGAGGTCGGACGTAATGGCCGAGGGCGTGAGTAGGCAACGAATACCGCAGGAGTCAGAATCCTTGTACTCAGTGTCAATAGTAGCTGACTGCCGTCATGAGCCTGTGGAAAGCACCAATGACGACACGAGGCGGGGAAGGAGCATCCTGTTTGTATGTCGTGGGTCATTCTCATTATGATTACCTATATGGTGGTTGTATCTGGCTTCAACTGTTCGACACGCCGTGTTCCGGAATATTGACCTTTCCGAACCTGTTTGAGGGTAGTGGAAGCCACGTTGAGAAAGGTTTCCAGCCCATCGTACATTCCCTCACCCAGCTCACTGCTTTTGTTCTCCATCTCATCCACGGCAGTTGCGACGATGTCGTCCGTCTGCTCCTTGAACTTGTATAGTTTGTCGTCAACCACTTCGCCCAATTCACGGATGCAATCCTCCTTGATAGTATCGACGTTGATTTTGTGGTCGGCAATGACTTCTTCAAAGTCACCGTCAGCTTGATTCCGGAGGCTGTAGGCCTGGTCGTTTGCCTCATCGAAAATAGTCGTGAGGTGTTGCTTGGCTAGCTCCGTCAAACGGTCGGTGATGAGGTTGCAAAGTGAGGAAGGGGCGGGATGAGAAGATGGGGTTGTCGTTGGCGGAGGCGAAAGCGATGGCGATCTTCGAGGGGCGATACAGTTGTGAAGGACATCTGGTAGGATGTTCTTGACGATGCCAGGTAGCATGCCCTCAACCAGTGCAGGAAGCTGGGCCTCGACCGCCCTGCTTATCGCGTCCTGCAATGCAAGCGCGGCAGTGGCCTCCAAGGATGTTTGTGGGTAGCTGGATGACACAGCTGTCTTTCCCTTTGGTGAGTCAACGGATATGTGAGAGGGACGAGGGCTGGGCGTCGCAGTTGCGATTTCGGTCGGCGAGCCGGGGTCGTACTGGTGACGTTTCGAAGCCGGAGACGTAGACAAGGAGCGTGTGGCGGCTACGTGCAGCGTCAATAGTGATCGTATAGTCGGCTGGGGCACGAAGTGACTTACCATGCCTGGACCGCTTTCGCGATGCATCAGCGTCCACGGCCTTTGCGTACGAAGGCGGAGGCGCATCTTGTTCTTCAATGGTATTGAAATCCGTCCAATCTACATATCTGAATCTGTCATTGCCGTCTGGAAAGCCGGTGAACAAGTTCGGTTGCCTGAAAAAGCGCTCGAGCGGTTCACGGTTGTCTGCATGTACCCAATTGTAGTCGAGCAGGATATGTATCTCTGTCGCTTCGGCGAGCTTGACCAGCTGGTGGAAAGGAGCTTCGAAGCCACTCTTCGCCGCCAGGGTACCAGTACTAGCCGAAGGAGGACACCGGATTCTGCAGGGCTTCGCGAGTGTGAGAGTTAAGACTCTGATTTGTGGGTTTCCGGCGCGCGCAATCAAGGCCAGCTGGTGGTGCGGGAGAAGCGTGGTCGCAGTCTTCAGCGTTGTTGCGTCGCGTATTAGGTTATCAGCATCATAAATCAAGGTGAAGGTCTGCGGATCATCAAAGCCATGAATGAAATTAGTGTATTGGAGATAGAAGCTGATCTGCAATGGTGCATCGCAGTACTTTGCAACTAAAACACAGCATGATTGTGCAGCACCGTCCACTCTTGCGCTCGCGAGCACAGGAACACCTTTCTTGGGGACAAGATAGCGAACCATTGTGCGAGAGATGACTCACAAAAAAGATCCCCCTTGCAGTAATGCGAAAGCAAGGGAAACCCTCCCACCCGGGCTTTGGACGCGTTGTGGGCGAAGAGCAGCCCTGACTCTGGTGTCGATGGACGCTGAGATGATACTGGCTTGCAAGACAGGCGTGGTGCCTGCTCGTGAACTGCTGTCCCCACTGTGTTCACACTACCCTCGACTGCTTGAGAAACACCCCTCTGACGCGTGAATCGCCGGCGCGTGGGCTGTAAGCCGACGACGCCGTGCGCACGTCAAAGGTCCCTTGAGGAATGGCGAACTGAGGCGAGGCAGCGGGTGGGCGAAGACAGGACGGGCAAGAGCAGCTGGCGAGAAACAGTGACTTTGAGTTGGCGACGTCAGGTAACGAACGTGGAGATGGACGAAGGAGTCGGCAGCGACGTATGTTGGTGTCGAGTCGCGTTCAAGCGTCGTGTTGCCGGCGAGCGCGGCAGCCTGCGGAACCGGAATTTCTCACCCTCCGATCACGAACTAACCGTCTTTGGACTGGCCACCACGGCCCCGTCGTTGGAGTGACACGCCTGCAAACAGAAGATGAGATATACAGCTCGGCATCGTTGACCACACAGAAACAGGTCGACTCGTTTTGGTCATTGTGAGCGCAGCTACAGCCACACCTCGCATCTACATCTTCTTGGCGCCTATCACGTGAGCTACATGCTTTCCCTGGACATATGACGAACCTGATCGCCTTCGCATTCGCTGTATCCTCCCATGGATGCTTCAGCCGTTCGCGGTTAGCCGAACTGCAGAATTAATGTTGGTCCTGAGCATGGTGCACCATGAGCTGGGAGGAGGCATCGCCGCACGTGTCCCGGCGCGGTGTTCGCGATCTGCGCTGTTGCGCTAGTCACGTCTGATTTTGCACCCATTCAATCGGCGAGGCCTCTCGCCCAGACTTCTAGAACTATTACCGCAGCCCATCTCTTGCTCTTACAACACCATCTTCTGCGTCAACATGATCGCTCGCAATACTTTCCACAGTGCGCGACTTCTATAGTATCGGATGATAAATATGGATGACTTCAATGGCGCGACCGACCGCTTCTTGGCGTGGTTCAAGGCTGGCGGAGGTGTCTTTCGCGACGACTTGCTTGAGATACAGGATCTAAGAGCCAAGGACGCAGGTCGAGGAATAGGTAAGCCTGCGAGTCAGGTGTGCATGATCTGGGCCTTGATTGACAGCATGCAGTCGCAAAACAAGACATACCAGAAGACACAACGTTATTCACTATACCTAGAGATTTAATCATTAGTGTGAACACATCGCAACTACCTACCAGACTACCCAAGGTCTTCGATACGTTGACAGATGGCGAAGCCAATGATGAGAACGAACCATTGGATTCATGGACTTCTCTGATATTGGTCATGATATACGAGTATCTACAAGGCGATGCGTCACGCTGGAAGCCATACATGGATGTACTGCCGACAACTTTCGACACACCCATCTTCTGGTCCGACTCGGAAATCAAGGAGCTCCAAAACACCTGTCTATCAACGGAGAAGATTGGAAAGCAACAAAGTGATGAGATGCTGCGATCACAAGTCGTGCCAGTCGTTCAGCAGAACCCCAAAGTATTCTATCCTGATGGAGCCCGTGAATTGGGCGAGGAAGAGTTGCTTGCTCTTGCACACCGTATGGGTAGCACGATCATGTCGTACGCGTTCGATCTTGCCAATGAGCACGAAGAGGAAGACGAGGAAGAAGACGGTTGGGTTGAAGATCGAGAAGGTACCACGCCGCTTGGTATGGTACCCATGGCGGACATACTCAACGCTAATGCCGAGTTCAATGCACATGTGAACCACGGTGACAGCCTTGAAGTCACATCGCTCCGTTCAACACTGCCAGCTGGCTCGGAAGTACTCAATTACTATGGTCCGTTGCCGACATCAGAGCTACTACGTCGCTATGGATACGTGACACCCGAACACCACCGATACGACGTAGTTGAGTTACCATGGAGCCTTGTTCGCGAAGCGCTCATCCAGGAGCTCGGTCTGTCGAACGAGATAGTTGCAAAGACCGAGGTAAGCAGCCGGTACGAACTTTGTAGCAAATGCACTGACAGCACCATAGGCCAAGCTCGAAGAGGACGAAGAGCTAGAGGAATACTTCATTATCGAGCGAGATTCCGGCGAACCGAATTCGGAAGGGCAGCTCACATATACAGCTCAACTCCGCGACATTTCGCAGGAGCTTGAGGAACAATTCAAGGCTGTGCTCAAGGCTCTCAAGAAGAGCAATCCCGAGCTCATCGCGGAGAAGCGGAAGCGCGAGGATATATTCAACACCGTTGTGACCAAGGCGCTCGCCGCTAAGCTGGCGCAATATCCGACATCAATAGAGGACGACGAGAAGCTGTTGAAGATAGGAAGCTTGGAAAAGAGACATCGGATGACCATCGAGGTCAGGCTTGGTGAGAAGAGGCTGCTGCATGAGGCGCTGGCTTTATTACAGGGTGGTCAAGATAAAGTTGAGGGACAGACAGGAAAGAAGGCGAATCGCAAGGAGTGAGGTCGTCGTCTCGGCCACGGCTGCTCGTTGTCGGAGTCATATTTGCATGAAAACTTTGCCTCATTACACAAAGCACTTGATGCACTCGCAATAAGTTTTAGAACCTGTTTCCCGTACTCGTAGTTCGTACACGCAGATAAGCGAGTACGCGATCCGGCACTAGTCTTGGACGGGCAAGCCTAGCACAGTACGGAAAAGCGGAGCAACGACGTCCCATCCAACGCATTAGCAGGAATACAGATGTCTTAGCAGGAGAGCAAGAGCCTTGGTTTCCGCGCGTATGCACGGTTTTACTCGTACTGCGTGTCTGTTTAGCCCATACATATGAGCCGCGAGGCTGTGTGAACATTGCAAACTCCTCGGCGGGGGTGAAGAGGTATATCATACATATATAGGACAGGGCGATAATTTTTTGAGACAACTGCGAGACCTTGTTTTATCCCTATAATTCGTCGCATTGCTTAGCCCAAGAAGACTCACTCGGGACCAACGATAACAACGACACTTCGAATGCACTTCCACCCCGCTACGCCAAAGCTTCAACTATGAATCCCTTCGCTGGCTTATCCGCATATGCGGACCGCTTCAACCGCACCATTCACATCGCGCAGGCCATTCTCGTGCTTGGAGCCTTTATCACCGGATGCGCACTGCTCGCCGACTCGTCGATGCCACGCGGGCGCTCCACCACGCTGGTGCTTGTCTACTCGATCAAATCCGCCTTGTTCTTATTGTTCCAGTATCTCACCACACATGTGGATCGGTACCTCCGGTTCGCCAGCCCACGAGTGAACTTCTTCCTCGATGCGCTCGATTGCTTGCTTTGGTTTACGGCTTTCATCATCTCGTGTTTGGGCGGCAAGCGCTGCATGGGCAGTAGCTGTACAAATATTGGGATCGCGGCCGCGCTTGCGCTGTTTTTGGGGTAATTGGTCCAATCCAAGGTGGCATGTGAATTGAAACTATATACTGACCAGCGTAGTGTGTCATATTTCATTACGTCCGTTGGCATCAGTTGGCCTAAATGGAGAGGGAGCAAGAAAGTCCAGCATGTGGAGCAGGTGTGAAAGCGTCAGTTACAACCGTCGGCGATCGCTTTGTTGCAAGGCGGAGAGGAGGCTACGGAATCACTGCGTTGCATCTTGACCTGACTATATCCAACACAACTTACGCGCAACCCACATGCGCATCTAGACCGCGATTTTCTCACTAGCAGCCATATCATGGTCGCCGCGCTCAGCAACCACGCTATAGCAGCGTATTTTCAATTGCTCGACGTAGGTGGCTCGAACTAGAAGAGAATGAACATCGAGTGTGCACGCAGCAGCACAAATCTGACAAGTTGATCCGTCTCTGAGACAGCAGTTGGATTGGACGAAACATAACCATTTACAATGATTCTTCATTGTCAATCTTTTTCATCTTTTCTACATTGATCTGCCACAGCCAATACGGGTATGCTTCAATGTTGTATCTCGCACAAGGTTGATCGGCTTCTGGCCCCTTCTTGTCTCTCCAAATTCCGATCTTCAACCCCAGCTTTTCGAGAACGGCAGCAGCACAAGTGCGTTGGTAGATCTCAATTGACTTCTCCACCTCGAGCAGCGTCTGGGCGAGCCTGACATACAGCTTTAGGCTTCCATCATAGACTTCATGACGTGTTTTTCCCTCAAAGATAGGGCCTTGTAGCGGAACATCAGAATAATACAGCGGGTGTGTAGAATCCGCCCATCAATCAATGACCATCTTTTTCGCCTTCAGGTTCTCGATCCTCTCATTGAGCGTCTTGGGTGCGCTTGCATCAAGTCTCATAGCATACAGGTCGTCCCTCACTCTATCATTGATCTTATCGAGTTGAACCTGCGCCACCTTCATCACGATGTCACCAACCAGAACTCCAAAAGGGTCTGTGGATGCGGTACTTGTGGCGTTTCCGATAAGAGGAAATGCATTGCAAGTGGTTGTAACATTCTGCGCACAGAACGTATCTGCGTCATTTCGTCCGGAAAGAGCTCAACTGTATGGCACTACAAGGCTTCTAGTGATCGTCGAAACGAGAGTACCTTGCTTAATAATTATTATCTTAAAAGTCAAAGGTGCTATCTAAGAGAAAGTGTGGTAAGAGATAATAGGCTTGGTCTGAGCGTCGTTTAGATACGTATCGTCCCGCACTGTGCGCTTGCGCACGTGACCGAAGTATTATCAAAGGTTTACAGACTGGGCTCTAGCCTATTACAGATGCCTTCGTAACAAAAATAGTTATGAAGAGACTAAGCGCATTGTTAGAATCGCACAATTATCTTGCATAAAATAGCATCCTGAAACTTCCTCTTGTTACGAAACCACTGTAGTTCCCTTAACACTAAACGCGTTATAACATTCAGTGGGTGATGTCAAAGCTGGAAAAACTTCGATGCAAACGGCCACTATTAATAACTTCTCACCGCTTGAACATGCTAACTTTGTTTCCTTACGCCATGTCTTGTACTACTCTAGATATCGTACGCAGCTACTGTTAACGCTTCTAGTAAGCTCTGAGACACGTGCTCGTAGCATCCCGTGACACCTCTGCTACATCTAGTTGCTAACTCTACATGCCTAGAGTGCTACTGTCACGATGTTCTATCATCACAAGATTCCAGCCACAGACTGGTAAGCCACCGGGAACCCTTCGGGGCACCGTCGGCCCACACCAGCCACAACCACGTGACGTAGATATATATCATCCCTCCAAGAGGCTTGATAGCTCCTGAAGGATTTGTCTCAATACAAGCCTATACCGATATCTCAGTGCCTGCCAAACTGCTCCTCATAGCTACTCTAGACTTCTGCTCCTCTGTCTTCTTATCGCCCCTTATCAGCCTTTTCTGAATCCATAATTTTACTAGATGACCGTGCAGTCGCTGAGGGGCAGGCCATATTAGAAGCGATCGTGGTCGCGACGGACTTAGCACATATAGTAGTAGTGATTGGAGCGGACCGGGCATACCGCCGTCCCGCCGGGTACACAGCCGTCTCGGGTACAAAGCCGTCTCGGGCACACAGCCGTCTCGGGCACACAGCCGTCTGGCACGGTAACAGGCGCGATAAAGACTGTTAAGGAATCTTCGATATGATCCCGACAGCAGTGAGATAATGCGACTGTAGTGGTCCCGCAGGAACTCGCTAGGGAACAAAAGCCGCTTCGGGCTGTTATCCGTTCTCCAGATTTGGAAATCAGACGGGCTGAAGTCCGTGCTAAGAAGAGGGGTAGCGGCGAGAACGTCCTATACTGTCAGTCACCGTGACCTCTGTCGATCTCATGCACAGGAGAGTATAATAACACCCGCGACGCCCTCGAACTGAATTTCATCTTCTCGAGCATACTCGCAAAACACACAATTGATCACCTCTAACCACTCTTTGCACATCACTATCATACATCGAGTAAGACTCTACAATCCGACGTATGTCTGTTACAATGGCTGGGTCAGTCCTTGGTTACTTTGGCTTCGGCGGCTCAGCCGCCACCCAGGCCCCACCAGAGAACCAAGCTGTACGGGCGCTACCCGGTAACTGGTATACATCAGAAGAGATGTATCAGCTTGAGCGACGCGCGATCTTCACCCGAAGATGGCTTATTCTTACCCACAAGTCAAGACTCCTGAACCCCGGCGACTTCCTTCGCTACAATATCGCCAACTACGACATCGTTGTTTCTAAAGACCAATCTAGCGAGATTCACGCGTTTCACAACGTATGTAGACACCGTGCATACCCTGTCGTCGAGAAAGACGGAGGCAACGCAAAGATCTTCTCCTGCAAGTACCACGGCTGGTCATACGGCCTGAGCGGAAAGCTCGCAAAAGCGCCGGGTTATCAAGAGCTCCAGAACTTCGAGAAGGCCAAGAACGGTCTCTTCCCCATTCATACCCACATCGACCGTAATGGCTTCATCTGGATCAACATGGACGCAAAGAAGGAGCCTGAGGTATCGTGGGAGTCCCAGTTCAATCACGTTGATGAACAAACACGATTCGATCAGTTCAACTTCGACGACTACGAGTTTGACCATACGTGGAACCTCGAAGGTCCACTTAACTGGAAGATCTTAGCCGACAACTTCAACGAATGTTACCACTGCAAGACGGCACATCCCGATCTTACAGCGGGTTGGCTCGACCTCGAGAGCCATGACGTCCACTGCTCAGCTGACTACATCCAACACTATATCGAGTCTCCGGAAGACCACAAAGAGCTTGGCCAGGAGATCTGCTCGACATACTGCTTTCCTAATGCATCATTTACTATCACAAAACATTTCTTGTTCATGCAGAAGTTTATGCCCAAGTCACCTGATGAGACTGTCATGTACTACGAGGTCTGGCGCAACAAGCACTCTAGCGAAGAGGATTTCCTGTTTATTAGCGATACCTATAAGCGTGTCATGGGTGAGGATAAAGTACTATGCGAGCGCGCCCAGAAGAACATCAAAGCAGGCGTCTTCGTTAATGGCGAGCTAAACCCGTACAAGGAAAAAGGACCTTTATTTTTCCAGAACAGATGTCGCGAAATCGTTATGGAGCAAAGTATGAAGGAGAAGAAGCTTGGCCAGAAAATATGGCCTGCAAAGCAGCAGCTCGAGTCTACGGGTACCTCAGCTATTAGCAAAGAGATGGAGGACTTCTGCGAGGGTCTTGCATGTAGCAATGAAAACGAGAAGAACGAATTCGCTTGGTAAGCGACGATACGATGTTCACGATTGGAGTTCTATTGGGGCTCTAGCACGGTTGGGTCAGGCCGATAAGCTCAACTATACCCTACCCGAGAAGATGTCCTTGATTCGACTCAGATCAAGCGAATTTATTAGCGAGCGATAAGGAGCGATAAGAAACGAGGAGTAGGATTAAGGGAGTGAGATTAAGATAGGGGTTACTCGCTATACAGCTAGCTAGAGAAAATCGAAAGAAGCTATTCTATGCAGATTTACGCGAGGATTTTAAATCTTTTACTTAGTTTATCGATAACTCCTACCCTAGAGGATGTCCTTGATCCTAGTATACAATGCTACGTGAATCAGCCTCTAATACATCCTAGACAGGTAATTACGTACCCTATCCTAGGGCTGCAAGTGGAGGCAGTACTCCCTCCAGTTTTTGACGTGCCAGGATATTCGTTTTATCTGCGTAGACTACATCACGTATTGCCGACTCTAGTAAACTTTAAGCAGCTAGTCTAGTTAGGTTACTATAAGCTAATTAAACCTAGATTTAAACATGTTTATTAGCGTATTAAGTTGTATACTCTAGCTAATTTATAACCCTGCAGCATGTATAGTTAATAGCGTTAGAGTTTCGTGTTAGAGGTTAGGGTAAGGTTAGTAAGGTTAGGAGAACCTAAGCGACTAGGTTTAGAGACGTTCTAAGATAACAACTAACGATTACAAACGCTAACTACGCGTGTAATTGTATTACATATACAAGAGGTAGGACGCGTCTACAACGCATTATATAACATGCAGACTGTACTTAAGTGTAATAAAATTAATATAATTATTAGTAACCCGCAGTTTGCCCCGCACAACTTAGTGTCGCGAATTGTTAGTATTTATCTATAGTTTACCGTTCAGCAGCGATTATAATAGAGGATAGCGTTGCAAGCGAATATTTTAAGCATCTAGTAGAGTATGCGTTAGCAATTTGCAAAGAGTGTAGATACAGCGTTTTGCCTAGCTAGGTTACGAGCTATTTGCAGCGTTATTGTGTTAGCCGCAAGCAAGCTGAGTTGGCAGCAGAAGACGTAAGTAGTTAGGCTAGATTAATTTAATATGCCGGAGATTTAGAAGTGCCAAGCTAGGCTATCTAGCCTATACATTAGTTGCTGGTGTACGCGGACGGGTCGATGTGTTAGGTAGACGCAGACCATTGCCGTTAGATATTCCGAAGCGCAGAGGCAATAAGGAAGCATTAGCAGAAGGCGCACAATTGGTTGGTAGCAGGAAAAGGAGGTCGTCTGAGCTGGGTAGAGAAGGCAGAGATACAAGAGCGCATTAGCAAGGGTTGCAAGAGAATCTATTGCCAGCAGTTGTTGGTCTAGGGCCCAGGGTCGCAGTATTTTGAGGTTCACCAGCCCGACGACAGCGGCCCAGACGTCGTTCCTGATAGCGACGCGGCATAGGCGCAGGTAGGTGAGCAGATAGCTAAGGCGTAGGCGAATGTCGAGACGCGGGCGCAGAACACTATCTAGGAGGGAGACAGAGACGAGGTGAACCCGTGGCTGGAGCGGACGTAGTGGTTGCCGTATTTGGTTGGCATGGAGCGGCTGGAGTTGTTAGCGAGCGTCAAGGAGCCTGTGGCCGAGCCTGAGCCTAGGCAGGAGCAGCAGGCCGAGCCTGTGGAGCGGCGATGTGGGCGGCGATGGATAGTCTAGCGCGGTTTAGTTAAGCGTCCGTTATCTACTGCATCAGCGTGTTCGTGCGGTTAGAGGCGATACGCACAGAGAAGCACTAGACGCGGTTCTAGCCGTTGCAGCTGTACATAGACAAGAAGTCGATTAGCGACTACACGCGGCCGTGGCAGCAGATATTAATGTTTTTCGCACGAACACAACGGGAGCACGCGTAGAAGAGCCTAGAGTATCGTTTCACACGCCGGCAGCGCGAGGCGTGGGAGGCGTTGGTCGAGGCGGCGGAGAGAAGCGTCGAGCGAGAAGAGGACGAAGAGGGGGAGGAGGAAGAAGAGGGGGAGGAGGAAGAAGAGGAAGAAGAGGAGGTAGAGATGCAGGTCGAAGAAAGAGAGGACGAAACCATAGCAGACGTCGACGAAGCCATCGACGAGGTAGAGACAGACACAGCTGAGCCTACCGCCAACGCCATTAGCGAGCTAGAAAGGTTGTTAAGCATCTAGAAGGCGTGTTTAGAGTTTTGTATCGCGTTAATAAGCTAGTTAATTACGCGCAAAGAGTACGACAGCCTGTTAGTGTGCGCGTTAGCCGTGTTAGGCGTAAAAGAGAACGGATAAAAAGGCGCTGAGCAGTATCCGCCTGTTTTGTCGGCTGTTATTAAGGTGGCGCGGTTTATAGTTGTGCAGCAGGCGTTAGAGTTGTTAGGTCTGTTAGATAAGGACGAGTTTAACAGCGACAGCGCGTATAAGAGCGACAACAGCAGTAACCCGCCCTAACGCTAGCGCAAAGGATGTTTATAGTTCGTGCAGAAGATAATAGACTAGTTTATAGTTTGCGGTAGCTACAGCCTAATACAGTAGATGCTAGACTTGCGGATATATAGGTTAAAGATCTATTACAACACAACGTCACGCGGCTACGTTAAGTAGGTTAGCTAGGACGAGTTGTTGTATAAAAGTTTACAGTTTAGTATAGCATAGTTCTGCGGCATAGTACACAGATTAACGACAGAGAGCCAGCGGTTGTTAATAGATAAGTTGCTGTTTAGCAATAGCAGGGCTGCTAAGCCTATCCCTAGTGTGCCGTAGGACAGTTTGCGCGATAACCTAACTAACGAGCGGCCTAGGTGGAATTTTTTAAAGGACTATCGCACTCGCATACCTGTTAATAGAGAGAGGTAGTTGTTCTAGCGGGTTAGGCAGAACGCTGCTATTAGGGACTAATTTACAAAGCGGGGGACCTGTTCGTGCATTAACACGTAAGAGGTAGAGTAGTATATAGATTAAGTTGTTGCGTTCTAGGAGAAGTGGGTTAGGGTTAGGGTTAGGGTTAGGGTTAGGGTTAGGGTTAGGGTTAGGGTTAGGGTTAGGGTTAGGGTTAGGGTTAGGGTTAGGGTTAGGGTT